TGAAGATGAAAAATTTTTTTACCGTCACTTCATTCTTAACCACTGTCGATTTAGTACTGGGACTTTTCTGAAGCTTTGATTGTATCACATTCCTCAGGAATTTTAGTCGTTTTCGATCAATTTGAAAGACGGGTTAGCGGATGAAGACTTAAAATCCAAGGGAAGCGTTGAACCATCTTTATTAGAGCTTATGGATCCTTTTGGTTTCTTCCTTTTATAACACGACTTGACACAACGCGAGGACTGCTTTCTCGCATGTAGATTTTTAAAAGTTCCTCTTTCTTCAGTATTTTCATCCTCGTCACTATCAATAATAATTACATTAGAGATCCCATTATATTTGACGTTAGTTGTGCCGGACGTTAACGGTGTTATCTTGGTTGGTTCAACTTTTATACCATCCAACTTAGTAATTTCTTCATCCTCGTCACTACTGATAATAATTACGACGTTCGATGACATTTTTTCATGGCGTTTATCCACAGAACAAGACGAAAGAACATGATATTATTGATATATGATATGAGCTACCGAACCGCCATATTGTTTGCCCTTGAAATTAAGCTTTATGATTGGTTCAAATTGACGTCATTTTTGACAGTGCATCAAATTACTCCTTCTCTCTTAAAAAATTAACTCGTCTATTTTGAAAGAAAAAGAACTTCGCCAAAAGCATCTAGAAACCTGTAAAAACATTAAAACATGTCAGAAAGGCAAAACCTACTCTTGGTGAAAGATTGCTATCAATTTGAACAAAATAAACAAATGTCTTCAATATATTTTATGTTGTTTTAGGAAGGAAGAAACAGCAATCAGTACAAAATCGCTACTGAAGGTTGTGTAGAAGGTATAGAAAGAAATGATGGAGTCAGTAGTCTCGTATATCATTGATAACTCTAACTTTTACGATGTGTTTTAAACACAGATAATGATGAACGTGCCAGACAAATGAAAAATCTTGAAGACTTACAAAAAGAGCTTGTTGAAATGAAGAAGAAACTAAACGAAGCATCAAGTACGGTTCATGTCTTCGCAAGGTTATTTCTCACAATAAAATACACATAATTCTAGATATTGTTTCATTTTTAGTCCGTACACACAAGCTAAACATTGACGTGGCAACGATGTTCAATCCTCAGACATTAAGAAAACTTCAGTCGTACAAGGAACAATGTGATGTATGTTTAACTAGAATGTCTACAACACTTAATGAACCAGTAGATAATCCTGTTCAAACAGACAATAACACAAGTTAATGTTAACATAAACAAATATAAGTTAATGACAACATAAAAAAATATTTTATTGCTATGTTCTAGCGTTCAAATCAAACAGAACAGATTATCATACATTTATAAAAACATTTCTTACTCGTAGTTTCATTATGGTTGGGCTAATTTCACGAATTCACGATCGTAGACAGTATTAGCCATTGTTGACAAGTTGTTCAAAAGTTCAATAAAAATATGACTGTTGAAAATTTCTTTAGCTGTAGGTCTGTCTGTTGGTGATTTTGCCAAAAGCCATAAAGTTAGTTCACTCTGATAAAAAACCCAGATATTTTTACGACATCTTCACATCAGTACAATAGTGATGAAAAAATACCTGCAGTGGCATGTTTTCCAAAAATGTTTCTGGTATGATTCTCTTTCTCAATTCGGATAACGTCTGCAAATAAGGGATAGCAATTATTTTTTCCTACACAAAATCAACGTTTTTTAGTAAATACCTTCAACCTTTCCATATCAGTATGAAACACATAAAACAACTCGAAAAAAATTACTCCAAGCGAAAAGATGTCGGCACGAAAACAGTAACTCGTACCAGTCTCCTACAGCCAATGCAAACGACAGAGTCAGACAATCGAGTTGGTTACGCAAAAAAGAGGTAGAAAATGTTGATGAGAAAATAAAGATTTTTATATAACGATCAGTGACTTACCTGTTCAGGACTAGCGTAAAGTTGTGTACCAACCTGACCAGTAAGGTTTTCATTGAAATATTTCTTTGAATCTATGTAGTAATGAAATGCAAACAAAATGAATAACTTGGTTGGATCAAGATCTTTAAGAGATAAAATGTACCCTCGTATCCATTTTCATCAACAGTTGAAGAGTTTGATGCCGTAACCAAACCAAAGTCACCGACTTTAACACTACCATCCAGTGCAAATAATATATTTGATGGCTGTATTGATAAACGAAAATATCTCAGTTTATATATGACAATACTAGCACACATTCACCTCACCCTGCACTCAATAACATTATACACCCTGGTATTCAGTGGTATGTCCACCAACAACCACTATACACCCCTATAATTAGTGGTATGTCCCCAACAACCATTATACATCCCTATAATTAGTGGTATGTCCACCAACAATCATTATACACCCCTACAATTAGTGGTATGTCCACCAACAATCATTATACACCCCTACAATTAGTGGTATGTCCACCAACAACCATTATACACCCCTATAATTAGTGGTATGTCCCCCAACAACCATTATACATCCCTACAATTAGTGGTATGTCCACCAACAATCATTATACACCCTACAATTAGTGGTATGTCCACCAACAATCATTATACATCCCTATAATTAGTGGTATGTCCACCAACAATCATTATACATCCCTATAATTAGTGGTATGTCCACCAACAATCATTATACATCCCTATAATTAGTGGTATGTCCACCAACAACCATTATACACCCTATAATTAGTGGTATGTCCACCAACAATCATTATACACCCCAACTAACATAAAAAAGACCTTATGTATGTTATTTAATAATGACAAAATGAGCCAGCGCTACCTTCAAATCCCTGTGAATGTGACCTTTCTGATGAATGTAGTCGACAGCTTCTATAAGCTGAAATAAAAAACATTTTCGTTTTTTTAAACTGGACACAAACGCAGCTGGAAAAAATTACATTGAACCTGTCTGAAAATGTCAAGACTGTGATAAAAATTTCTGTTTGTCACGTTCATATTCAACCAATCTTTTAAACTTTCTCTTCGACACAATTGCATTTGAATGTAAAGCAAATGCAAGTCAAAACGATGTTTCCCTGAACACAACAATGATATTTTCAATTACAAATACTTCATGGCAAACATGTAGTCATCTTCAGAGTTAAATGAGGAGTAAACGTCAGGTTAGCCGTATTTATCTGGTTCTTACGTCATTGTATTGTGTGTACAGGACAACTTGGAACAAACACCCTGAACAGATCACAGCAATTACCGGCACCTTACAAACGACTTATTCACAATACAAACAAACGATCAACTAAAACATTACACTTCACACTAATTCACAATGACAATACACAATTGACACCCACACGTTACAGCTAGAAACATCACACCTAAATCACACATCACAACTAAAAACATTTCACTTCACACTAATTCACAATGACAATACATATTTCCTGTACACACAATACAATGACGTAAGAACCAGAGAACAAATACGGCTAACCTGACGTTTACTCCTCATTTGACTCTGAAGATGACTACCGCTAAGGTTGTCGAAACGTCAGTCAACAACAACAAAAACAGTCCTTCTCAGGACTATACCAACCTGGACAATCTACATTTACAAACATGTAAATTCTGGTTTATTGTTATTACCTGACGTTTCTAGTTCATCAACATCATTTACTTCGTCATTCTCAGATGAAGAACAATATGTCTGCACATATTGTTGACAAGAGTCCTATAGAGTGAAAGAAATCGAAAATTAAACCTTCAAACAATAAATTTATAGTAACAACAAATAGAAAAGAAACATTTTATCCTCAACACTCTCTTTCTTTACCTAACATAAGACACTTACAGATTCAAAAACCACTCCAGAACTTTCATAGCTCAGTTTTGTTGCATTGTTATTGACAGCGCTGTGTTTGGAAATTTCAAAGGACGCTGACGTGTCAACAATCTCTTCTGTATTCGGTCCCAGACCGTATGTGATTAAATCGTCTTCATTTTCAACCGTGATAGTGTCATGTCGCCTTCGACTGTAACTTATGTCAATATTTCTTTCGTAATCTGACAGTTGATCATTAAAAGACATTTCTTTCAATTGTATGTCTGATGAAGAACAAGTGAAAGATGATATCGACTCCATAGTCGGACATTTACTACATAAATGAACCAACGGAACTTCGCTCTAGTAAACTCTGATAATAATAAATACGTATAGTTAATCCATCCGGGTCTTTTACCTATCTCCGCGCAGTTTCTCGTCCCATTCCTTTAACCACTCGACCGATGGTTGTTCACACCATGAGTTATAGTAGCGTACAATACCAGGATGTTCAAAACTTGCTAAAACCTTGACTTCTCTCATCACTTTGTCTCGAGCTTTTGGACTAAAGAAAACGTTGCAAAAACGTGTAAGCCTTTTAACAAAAATAAACATTAAACAGAAGCTTTGGCCACTGTTTTTAAATTATTACAAGCACACCAAAGTAAATATTCATATATGTCAGTATATTTTTCATACCTAGAAGGAAGTCTTATTCTTTTCACAGCATACTGACGATCATCGATTTTATTTTTAGCTTGAAATACCAATCCAAACGCTCCACTACCCAAGCAAGCCATGTGCTCAAAATCTTGTTGGTATCTGTAAAGGTTATGAAAGAATGTTTCAAAAAGTTATGAAAGAATGTTTTTTTGAAAGAAAAGTTAGGAACGAATGTTTTCTTCATTCAATGTAAAAGTTATGGTGAAAATAACGTGAAATGAAAACCTTCCTTCTTTGACATAAAAAATAAGTATTTTCATCTTCTTACCTAGATATGAACTTTTCAGAGGACGATGGAACAGTCTGAAACAAAGAAACAAAGATGAATATGTTTCTTGAGAAACGTTTATTAAACTCTTTCGTCGTTGAAACAGCCAAACTTACATTTTTAATTTCACAACTATTTTGTCTTTCGTCAAACTCATCTTCATTACCGCATGAAAAATTTAACGTCAAGACTTCGTTGCTTTCCTGAAAATTATTGAACATCCATGTTTTAAACTAGCCATCAATGCTGAAAATTATTGAACATTCATGTTTTAAACTACCCATCAATGCTGAAAATTATTGAACATTCATGTTTTAAACTACCCATCAATGCTGAAAATTATTGAACATCCATGTTTTAAACTAGCCATCAATGCTGAAAATTATTGAACATTCATGTTTTAAACTACCCATCAATGCTGAAAATTATTGAACATCCATGTTTTAAACTAGCCATCAATGCTGAAAATTATTGAACATTCATGTTTTAAACTACCCATCAATGCTGAAAATTATTGAACATTCATGTTTTAAACTAGCCATCAATGCTGAAAATTATTGAACATCCATGTTTTAAACTAGCCATCAATTTTGGATTTTGTTCGTAACTTACACTTTCAATTCGTAAATCCAAAATGCGTTTTTTTCGCCAATATTTAAATATTTGTCTTGCAAAAAACACAAATGTGAACAGGAGAATTACAACTTCCCTCCTGAAAGAACAAAATCAATAAAAATATTTTAATTGGGGTAAGCAATGAAATTGTCTTGTTAAGAATGCAACATACATACCACCATTTAGATATTAACGATTTAAATTTAAAAAGAAATTCTTGATTATCAACGTCTTTGTTGAAAGTACTGTTCCTTAAACATTCTTTTCTTTCATCGAACGAGTTAATTTTGCCAAAAAAATAATGACCGTTATCTATAAGAAAAACAAAGCTTAATGAAATCAAGCTACACAGAACACTGGACTGTTATATAATGAAATAGTTAACAATGAAAATGACAAAACAACACAGTTTGCTTGCTGACCAAAAGGATAATCCCATGGACGACGAATTGCAAGTTCTGTTTTTCCAACAATAGATGGAGTACGGGAAGCTGATGTTGCTAGATATGGTTTCCAAATTGTTCTTCGAGCAACAGCTTTATAGTCATTGTGCAACGTTATTTTGTCCAACTCAATTCTTACGACAGACTTCATATCGTCGGATGGATGAATATAAACCTGATCTTCGTGACGACCTGGAACATAAAAAATCAATATGACGTGTGCACACTTGGCGATTTCACAAAAAAAAAGCTCTTATTGTTGCAAATAGTATCCCATGACATCCTCATTTTTATCTACTTTACGCATGTAATACATGAACAGTATCCCATGACATCCTCATTTTTATCAAATTTACGCATGTAATACATGAACAGTATACCATGATATCCCAAATTTTATCTAATTTACGCATGTAGTACAACAACAGTATCCTATGATATCCCCATTTTTCTCACCTATATAATACATCAATGGTATCTCATCATTTTCTTTGAAAGATTTTGGTGGAGCTGCAATCTTTAACAAATCAAGCTCCTCTAACACATCTGAATATAATAACCAAACAGCAACAATAGGATTACCCAGTTGCTGTTTCCACAACGTCTTTTGTTTGCCAGTCTTTGACCTTGTTACCATGGTAACTATTCCTTCAGGTATTGCTACTTGTATTTTTCTTTTCATATTTAATAAAACATTTTCATCTAACGGTTGATGAGAGACATTTTCATTAACATCAACAAAACTCAACTTGTGTTGTCCAACTGAAAAATTCCATCTAAAATAGTTATTAAAGAAATTTACTTGTAAACTGACTTTACTCATTATTATGTTAAAGAAGAAATGCAAACCGTTCAGTCCCAGTCCTTTCATTTACAGCTCGTACAGTTCTTTGGGTACGTTTGAGTACAAGAATACCTTGCATGGATTCAGTTTCATATCTGCTGCAACCATCATCAGAACAGGAGTAGATCACCTGATAATTTATAACTTTAAATTAATAACTCTTCAACTTCAAACAAAAATATCTTTAAAATAACTGAATTCTAACCTTTCCTGTTTCTGGATCAATTCCAGTTTGCCAAAGATTTTTACCACCAACAATACCTACTCCATCATTGATTTTGATGGAGGAGCTCAACAAAGACTCGGCATTCAAAGGTATCATCTTGATAAAAAACCATCAAAATATCATGAAAAATGTTGACCAATCATACATCATCACATCTTCATGGTGTGTAAAACACATGATAATAATGGTATGGCCACCCTGTGAGCATGCTGTTTAAGCCATATGATGATGGTATACAATCAAATACCTGAATTCCATCCCATGAAAACTGATAAAGGTCTCCATTCAATGATGGAATAAGACGAAAACCAGTAAATTCATTGATCATCTATAGAGTAATAAAAAAAACAAAAATAAAATCAACCTGAAAAGCATTTTTGTCAAAAACATGCCATGGCTTTGTCGCTCAAAATTATAAAAACGCTTAAAAATTATTTAGAATATCAAATAAAAATAAAATCAACTTGTTAAAAAACTTAACCATAAAACATATTCAAGGAGCTTACATTAATAAAAAAATACCTGAACAGAACTCAAAGTTGATAAAAGCAACGGTTTCTCGGAGACAACTGCACTCCATTTCACCATACCATCAGAAGTTGGATCCAGTCCCCATAACTTACCATCTATTGTTCCAACAATTACCAATCTATGAGTTTTCAAAAATTTGTATGTATATAACAATATACAACAATAATAAACTGAAATCTATAAACCAGTATTTGCCACCAGGGTTTTTGGCAATGGAGTCAGACAAAAGAAGCTTTTACTTAAGTATTTGTTTGAACATTGAGTCTCTAGTCCTGAGTCCTCTAACATGAAATTTGTAAAATTTCGTCAGAAGTATCCATTGACATATGTTGTATCAACTTGAGTCCTTCATGGGATTTGGTAAGACAATGAAGAAAAGAAAAATGGACTCATGAAAATTACAAATCAGTAGAATTTATAAAATACATACTGTGTTTTGCGATCAAGCTCATTTGATAACATCACAGAATTGTGAATTTCGTTGAAATTTTCTGAGTCTTTACAAACGTTTAAAGACGTAAGAGATATCAGCAATAAAGAAATACGAACGAAGTGGACGATGTTAAACATTTTCTCGATGTTAAAGTTTGTTTACATTTTCAAATTACTTGATTTTATTTCTAAGACTATAATTTACAATTGCAATATCTCAACAGCCAACCCCCCTGGAACAGGTTTATATGGATGATGCTGATTGGCTGAAACATGACATGTGATAACGCAAAATTTCAGATTACGTACTTTCTAAAAATTAATTACGCAATATTCAGAACAAAGATTGGAATCGAAACCTTTAGTAAAAGCATTTGCTAACATAAACGCTACGATAATTCAGCAAAAATAAATTTTTTCTACGGGAACCACTGAATGTTTTCATTACATACACTGCAACGGTAAGTCCTAAAAATGTATGCATTTTGATTCATATATTGACTTCTAGGTTCGTTTGCACAAAGTCGGAATAGCGCTATCCACAGGATTAAAGTGAAAAATCTACGATTTTAACTGAAAAATCAGTGAAGTACAATACTGGTTCTAGTATAAAAAAGTATCATTAACCTAAAAAAAACAAAAGTATTTTTTTCACATGTTTGAAATAATTACAATTCACTGGATAACTCTAACCAGGGTTTCGTATAACCACCCACTGAACTATTCATAAAAAAATACCGCTGGATGGGCTTGAAAAAAGAATGAAATTACACACTGCTGTGAATAAATAGTTTCCAGTCCACGAGTCCGTGTCAGAGTGTCAAATATCCCCTAAAGTATTTGGTGTACGTGTTATTAATCACACATTGTTGAGGAGTTATTATGTTGTCCAATGAGATCGTGGATTATTAACACATTCTTTCTCTAAGGATTGTTTCTTCTTTTTACTAGCACGTGTAAAACTTCACTTTTTTGTATAACAGCTGCATTTATTGTGTGAGAATAACCGTCTTCTTTTCTGCATCACATGTTTACCATACATATCGCTTGTCACCTTCAATTTTGATGGTAAAACAAGCTAGAAAAACAAGAACACAAAGATAGACTTCATTAGATTAATTAACCATTTCACGACTGTGTTTATCTGACGTTTTAACACCTGTAATGTAAACATTCATTGATTACGAAAAAATGCTTTGATTTTACATATTTTGCGAGTAAAATCCTAAATCTTTCTCAAAGTTCTACTAAATACCTTCTCGATCACATCAAAGAATGGCGATTTTCACCGCGTATAACACGCGCGGTCATGAATTTCATTAGACGGTTTAACTGGCATTGGTCAGGAAACAAGTCGATCTTATGAGATGGCAAAGCGGGATATTTATATTTGTCCAGCAACGGGGCATTGAAATTTTATATGAAAGCTGACGTTTCGAATGCACAAACATTGACGGGGTTGCGCACATCAGCTGAACACATTTACAGCCATACAAATGACGAGAATATCCACGCCAAATCGCGTTCCCACTCCCCCCGTCTGTACGCAGATTCAGAGCGCACAAGCTAGACATGTGGCAAACTATTGAACGCGTCCTTACGCAGAGGCTTCGAAATAATTCTGAAAGCGACGATTATCTGTCGTTCACAGGAATCAGAAAGAACGTTTGAAATGCATGTTTACAGAAATGGAACAGCGTCATTTTACACGTGCGTTGATTTTCAACATCATATTTCAAAAGCACTTGTGACCTTTCGCTTGCTTCTGTTTTGGCCATTCTGATAAACAGACATTTATCTCACAATATTTTTGTTCTAGATATGTAATACTGACGCTAGCCATCTCGGAATCTCAGGTAAATTGCACATGCTCAGTTGACGAGAGCATTAAAAGGGATTTTACGAAAGAACATTGTGAACTTAATGCTTTTTTCTTTTTTGTATGTTATCGTTGAAACAACAGAAGACAATTAATTTACATTGGAACCAGCAAAAAGCCAAAACAGACAAAAAGACTCCACCAAATGTTAAAACAATTCAACTCTATTCAATAAGCAGCCATAAATTCGTCCAAATTTTAAAGAAAGATGTAAGAGCAGACGGATTAAACACAAGCAATGCAAGTAAGTAAAATCATCGTTCCTCTTCCTTTGACGTATATAATACGTAAACTTGGGTTCCATTTAAGTGACAGGGTTAAATAGACGATCTATATTTTACAACACAACTCAATATGTGTGCCGAAAAAAAAATCTCGCGGTAAACATAGTTGTAACGTTGTAAATAGTAGCGCACGAGAATGATTTTTCAAAATACTTAATTGAGATGTTGGAAGAGACTGTGGTGAGAAAAAAAATTGCTTAATTTCGTGTTGTAAAAATCAACACGATGTAACGTGATAGCAAATTAACTCATTTTTCACGTTTTAACATTTTCGCGTTCTATATTTCTCCTGTTGCGAGCAGTTTTGTAAATTTGATGTGTGGTCTTGGACATTGCATGTAGTCAACTATATGAATATAGTGTTCAAATGCCACCTAGGAAAACTGTAAAACATTACTTGCGATGAAACACAAAATCGTGTTGAAATGAGGCCGTGTTTCAATAGGAAACGACTTAATTAACAAAATTACATCAGCAATATAATCGACCTGCAACCGCAAATGATTATGAACAATTCGTCAGAGAGTAGCTTTTATTCAGAAAGGCGATTTTAGTTAAAAAAATTCCACAAGATTGACACTTTGTTGTGAGCGCAACTATTTAGCATAATCTGCGCAATTGGAGAACTTTGCTTATTAACTGTCTCGAAATATTTAAAATTTTATGTCAAACAATATTCATGATTTAGATTTCCTTGCCGACATTTGCAGAGGAAGAACCTTATTTTCATATTTTAATGATATATTACAACGGAACAAATGATAGTCAAATCGCGTTTGGGGTTTCATAATTCACATGAGCGAATATAATTTATTTTGTCGGATGAAGATAATTGTTATTTTGCATAAAATAACATTTGCTGCCACTCCTAAATGGATAATCCTTTATAAATAAGAACACCCATGTTTATACACAGACACTTCTCCATGTAATACACACTTCTTTAGAGAGGAAAACTCGAGATTTAAGAACCGTTGAAGTGGTTTTCGTTCATTTATAGTTCTCGCATTTCATTTAATGTACAATGATATTCTTTTCATTATTACTTCAATAAGACGTTATGTGTGCATGGGATTTGAAAATGTGCGAGTTACTTGTCAGAATATCTGAAGACAACAACTGAAAACTATTGTCAATCACAGACACTTGCCAATGGTAGATTTACGCTAAGTATTCTGCTTTCAATTAGTTCTATAAAATGCAAAATCTTCTCATGGAGGAGTTCGCTTTTTGCATCGACATTTTGGAAGATTTTTGCAAAATTACATAGACGCATTCTTGCTTGTGTATCCCCCCTTCGGCAAAATTCAGCCCTTCTCCAAGAAATATTATCAACCAGAAATTTTATGTCACAAGATTAATGTTTTACTGCACAAAAATCAATTTATTGTCATTTGACAGACAAGACTTAAACAAACGGTTTTGATTTATTTTGCTTATTTTTAAGGTTAGGATTGAAATTCTAACATCTTTTGATTAATTGTGTAGGCGGTGTTTGTTACCGGCAAACTTCAAACAAATATTGTGATTTATAAAATTCAAATTTAACTGCATGGACACCTTACAATTTATTGCCAAATTTCAATTAAAAAAAGAACTCCTGCATGCACTGCATTTGCCATTCACGATTTAAATGAAAATGCGAAAGGTTTGTGTAATAGCACTCATCTCGATGTAAGTTTGCATACGTTTTTTAAGGAACTGTGAACTGTGTCACGCACGTGAGAGATTTGATTAAAGACAGGCGAACGTTACATATGTCGAAACATTAAATCCATTGAAACATTTTATTTCTCTGCAATTTCTCATCGTTTTAACTGATCATTTAAATCTTCTTGAGTGGGAAGAAAGGCGCGCTTTTTTATTTGTTTTCATATTCGAAAATAGTATTTTATTTCGCAGATAAAAAACACTTTATAATAAATCACTGAAAGTAAAGTTATTGACAGTACTTTCACACAATATAACACTTTGCTAGTTGGGCACTGTAAACACGTAATGATTAATTGAAATGAAGAAATTACAGTTGCTAAATGTTTCTCCGGTAAATCTTCACATCCGTAGAACACAGAATCGAGAGTTAAAATCTCCTGGCGACACTAAATCCATTTAGCAACTGTTTACCCAAGTAATTGTAAAACCTGATCTAAAAACCAAAAAAAAAAAACGCTCGAAGTAAAGATTCTTATCTATTCCATAAGACGTTCATCCTTACATAAACGGCTGTTATTTTTAACCAAATCGTGTTAACATGTCAGATATTTTCCGTTATTGTAGCTATTCGACCTACTAATTAGTCACAAATTATCAGATACACTATCTTCGTCGCAATCAGTCATTTAATCTCGTGCTTAGTGAGAAACAGAATTTGTCTATTGCCATAAATGAAATGCCTGTAGAAAATGCATGTTATTGGTAATTCTTGAAGAGAGCTTTTTCGCTTACTATATTGCGGGATTTGTGGCGTGTTTTCAGGAAGACAGACACCTGCTTACAACTGTTATAAATCCATTATATAAATAAGTCAAAATAATTAAATAAGAAAATATTATGATATATTAACACGATGACTAAATTAACACAATCAGGAAAACAGTCTAACTCACAGGACGGTTTCCTGTGCGTTCGAGACGTTTCAAGGATTTCACAAAAGTTGATTTTTATTGTATGAAATTGCGCCAGACAATTAAGGTTTAATATTTCCTACAAAAATGACGTGTCTTTAAAAACCAATTGACGAACGTTGGCAAAGACATTTGGTTTCTGACGTCTTTATATGACTAAATCTAGTTAGCAACTTGGTGCTTAATGACAATAGAAACCTATCCTTGAAATTTGACTCGTCTTACCACTAAAAGTTAAAATTTCATCCAACACTTATGTCATTGTAACATTGTATCGCTAGTTCTATGGCTATTACACAGAAATGATTCCTGTAGATGATTATCTTCTTTATCTAGTAACAAGACATTTTGTCCATCAAATATTATGTATCCACAAAATCATAGTTATATCTTCTTATTGCTCAGTGCAAATTTCGATAATAGATACAGAGAAATGTTGCTATAGAGTTGTTATAAAGACTTGATCATATTTCTTTTCGTGCCCTTAGGCTTATTCAATTAAATGAAAGATTTCAATTGAGCTATTCATTCATTTTGTGAAACATCTTTTATCATCTAGAACAAACCATAGACAGAATGTCGGTGTGGGAAGATAGAAATTAACATTTAGACATTAAGTTAATTTTCTATGTCTTTGTTCGTTGTGTTGTTTAAATGTCGAAATCGCTGTTTGAGTAATGAAAGAAAAAGTTTCGCGTCGATGCGCCATAATCATTTGTAGTTTCAATGAAGATTTATTATCTATCTTGGCTGTTATCTTAAAGCTCGCCTGCTTCTCAATCCGCTACCAATTTAGAGGCAACAATGACGTTTTAATATCGGTCAATTATCACCAAATCCTTTATAGAGAGACAATTTTGGTCATAGTTGAATTGGCTCCAACAGAGTTTGGTCGAAATGAAATTTATAAAGCAACCTCAAAATCAAACAACAGAATTGTCACAAAGTTCGCGTCATTTCACGTATAATTGTATCTTGATGATTGTTTTGTCAGCATTTAAGAGCAGACAAAAAAGACTGACACTCTAGATTGGTTACATCTGTGGGGTTTTGATGGCACATATAATACTTAAAATTCTGTCTCGCAGGGGAATAAACAGAGACTATTTAAAAAAAATTACCTGAAGAGAAAAAGAAACAGACGCGTAAAGCAAAATTACATAAATTATTTCAAAATGAACCAATTTTTTTAAATAAAATAATTTACGTCTTAAAATCATGCCAGTTTTTTGAAAGATACCAGTTTAATTTTAATCACTTAATTTTCACAACCATAATTGTTGCGAACCTGTGTAACACAAATCACAGTCACAATTACCAGTTACCGGTCGTTGGACAATGTTTGTTGACTCCGAGCCGCGCATATACACAAAACTGTTTATGTTAACTTAAACACATATTGACCATAAAGTAGAAACACCATAAAAATAATTGCTGGTCTCCATATATTAGAAGGTCATATTGTGCATAACCCTCGAGCAAAGTTTTGTAAAAAAACAGTCACAATTAGAAAAAACAAAAGAACCTACGAATACATGAAGTAAAGCATTCATTTAACAATGATTTAGTATTTGTTCTGTAAACTTTTAAACAAACATTTTCAAAATATTTTCTTTCCGACAAAGGCAACACATTGAAGCTTGAGAAACAGTTTTCGAAGAAATTCAAATGGTAGCGCTTGGGAAAGAAACCCCGATGGTTTTGCCACGTTCCCAAGCAAATTCCTATAATTTTACTGTTGAAACTCAATACTTGTCTCCTTTATCAAATATATTCATACAAGTAATTGCAGTAACAGCTGTCAACCAAAGTACTTGAAAAGGAAAAATTTTTATTAACATTGAAAATTGAAAAGAAGTTCCTAAAACCCAACTTATGATGCAATTCTTTTTCGTTTTCAAGCAATTCTGAAAATCGAAACAGATACATTTGGACGCGTGCGAATCCGTCACTACTTAAGTAATTACTACATTTGCATGAATAAAAGAGGGGACATATATGGCATGGTAAGTAAATTATATACAACTTCACATGTGAACCAATGAAAAGACGTTTTCGTCTGATATATAAAGTGATCAACCAGGTATTTTCATTTTATTTAGCAGAAAAAAAAAGGACGCAAAATGCGTCGATGCGTTTTCAGAGAGATCACAATGGACGACGGACAAACGCAATTTGTATCAGACAAGTTGTATAATAATAAAAGACGTTATTTAGCGTTCCGAAACGGAGGAGAGCCCAAACACTTTTCCAAGGTACTTACCAAGACTCAAAAAGCGACCAAATTTTCGTACCGCTTCTTGAGTCAAAAAACTCGTAAAAAAAGATTTGTTAAGATGTATACACTAGGAGAGGAGAGGACAAAATATGATATTTTACCTTTTGATAAAAGAAGAAATAAACTGAGACATCGCAGAGACATTTGCAAACGTCAATGCTCGCGCACAAAGAAAGGAAATTGGGAAACGTTGAAATTCTTCGTTACTTCAGTCGGCCGGATGCAACATCCAGAATACAGTCGATGTGAGTGTGTGGAAAAATAGTTTCCATAGAAACAATTCATTTGTTGGTGGAAAGATGGTTGTTCTGGTGTAACAGTGGCTTACATAAACAGCCAATCACAAACCAACGTGGATATGGTAGCTACCTCAAAGAAATATACGTGATGTAATTTTGACGTAAACAAATATGGTACACTACCGACCTGCAGAAATTTTGCTTGAACGCAATAAAAACTATGACAGGCAAGCTATATGCAAGTCAAAATGTATGTAAAAATTTCGTTTTATCCGGGACTTTAACACATAAACGTGTAATTAGTCTGAGTTTCCAAAGAGAGGAAAAAGTCTGACCTAATTTTAAACATTTGCGGGTCGGCAAAAAACACGTTTCTTCTTATACATTCAAAGTTATTAATATTATTATATATATATGTATATGTATATCTTAATAGAATATTCAGACACTTTATATGACTTTTGTAATAAAACTGAATACTGAATAAATTTATTTATTATTATTGATTACTTTATTTTTACACATAAAAAAATGACGCTTTTCGCAGATAAAGTTTGAAAAAAAGGATGTTTCCGCAATTTCGACGTAGTCTTGCCTGAAGTAATTTTCAAGTTTAGTTTGTGCCTTTAACATATCTTGCGATCCAATATTTAGAAGTCATAATGTCTATTCTGTCCGAATGGTTGTTTATGAAAATAGTGTTTATTAACAAGTTATAAACAAAGTAAATGGTTTGAACCCGGGAGTATCGTTATATGTTTGTAAATGATGATCGTCCAGGTTAATAAAGTCCTGAGAAGGACTGTTTTTGATGTTGTTGACTGACGTTTCGACAACCTTAGCGGTAGTCATCTTCAGAGACAAAGTTTGACTCTGAAGATGACTACCGCTAAGGTTGTCGAAACGTCAGTCAACAACATCAAAAACAGTCCTTCTCAGGACTTTATTAACCTGGACGATCATCATTTACAAACATATAAGTTATAAACAGTTGATTTTATAAAAACCTTTCAAGAAACAAGTAAATTTGACATATAAAGAAATCGTATGGTTTGAAATCAAACCACGTAACAAAGATAACTTTAACAGCATATTTAATGATCTGTAATTCACCATGATGCTTCCCTGTTTAAATTCACTGGTTAGAACGGGATCAAAACGAAGCATACTCGGAATAAAAAGTTCATGTATAACTCAATATTTGAGAAGGAAACAAGACAATTTTTATTTGAATAGTTATATTTCGAATTTGTTACAAATTCATCATCAGAGTCATTGTAACAAATTCGAAATATAACTATTCAAATGAAAATTCAAAATTGTCTTGTTTCCTTCTCAAATATTGAGTTATACATGAACTTTTTATTCCGAGTATGCTTCATTTTGTACTACATAAACTGATAACTGGATCAATACACTAAATAAATCCAATGGGTTAATCAGATTATCTTGGTTTCACGATGGAGTTTAACTGAAATGGTCACGGGGCAATGAGTTCAATTTCTTTCCAAGCAAAATTCACAGTCGGTTTAAAACAAAATCATTCTCTACGTGATAAGAGAAAAGTTCATTTCGTTATAATGACGTTTAGTTTAAAAAGTATGTTAGAAAGTCTCGAACACGTCGACATTAACAGTATGTAGAATAGCCAGCATGCATTGACTGCCAATTCCTGATACGTCCTACAGGACTGTGAAAATAACATCAAAACCATTAAAATTCGGACAAAATGATAGTCAACCCATCACGAGTTCTACTTTCACGCCGTTAAGACGTCAGGGGTCTTATATATCTTCTATTTCAATACAATTATCGTACATTGACCTTGGCACGTTTGTTGTATACACACTTGAACGCTATCAGACTTTAAAGTGTTCCGGTCTTCGTTTTCCTTGTCTCCTTCCATCTTAAACGATCAACGCAAGAATGGCGACTAGCTACAATCACATCTGTAAGGGAATTTATCCAACAACAGCGTTGCATGGACATAATTTCCGGAGACTATCGTACAGGCAGTGCGCAGTATGTTTTCAACAGGTGGTGATGTCTTACCTTACCGCCTGTTGCGACTCTTGTTTTTGTCTCATTCACTCATATTACAACGCAAATTATCAGCTTAAGACGCACAATTATATTCGACTTAACATGAAGAAATTGTACACTAACGCCGACGCAATTTTGACGTTTGAATTTCTTAGCGAAAAAGAAGCTATTAAGTTGTAAAGTTAGAACATGTTGACTATCCTTCAACCTACTGTATAAAGATCTACTCTCAAACGAGGCTAACGGCCACTGGAAATAGTGAATTCAAAAGGTTTGCATGAACCAGCATTAACAGAACTCTTAAGATTTAGCAATTTAGCTGATTGTATATGTAAAGTATGTAAAAAAGAACATGTTAAACTGTTGGGTGGGCCTTTTCATAAAAACATCAAAAGTGAAGCGAAGAAGATGAAATAGAATTTGAGTGATATGCAGAAAACCTGTTTGTTTATAAATCATTGTAGTACAATCACAGACTTCACAAATAGCTCGTGAAAATTGAGGAGTGATCTTTTCATGATAATCACACAAAATTCGCGCAAGTGCCATTCCCTAAAATCATAAAACACATAAAAAAAGATTCCACAAATTGACATCGTGTGAAATTCACAAATATAATATTTACAGGCAGTAATAAATATTTATATGAGATGAGGAGTTCGCAATTATAAATTCCTATCAATCTATGTACATTGTATATGTGACATTTGCCACTCTAGAATTCATATACTGTATAACAGATTTCACATTCAAACATGCAAAGGTCAGGCTGAGAAGATATACGCTCAAACTCAGTGAAAATAGCCGCCACAAGGAACAGGTAAAGTATTTAAAAAAAAAACATCACCTTTCAGCTCTCTGATGTTGTGTAGTTCGGTTACGACGTTGCTTTCGTTTCATTTCGCCTTCTTTGTAACTTCTACAAACCCCGGTACAAATTTTTGCCCCCGGATAACACAGTAAGCAAGGGAAAAGTAGTGACAGCAATCCCATAATACCCCATCTGGTACAGCAACCAACATTGACAGGCGAGCAAGAGCATGGATGATCTAAAACATCATCTGAGTCCTTGGTACAATGATAAAATACACCTTTCACACACCACATACAAGTGCAAACATCTACCGTCGTTTCCACATTACATCCACAACAGTTCAAGGAAACATCTTCTTCCAAGCAATAGTCTTGTAATAAACTATTCTCATCATATTCTCTAACATTCCTGTATGTATTAGAGGATTGAACTTTTTGACATTTGCGGTTATCACCGACAGTGGGTTGTACTGTGAGCGTATCATGTTCACTGCTATTTACACCGCCAATAGTTTGTTTTAAAAATTTCTCAAAGGACACCTTTTGTCGACCGAATTCGGCGGTCGTATTTGTTTTTAGTTCTCCAGGTCTTGAAGTGTCATCTTCGGGCTTGATGGCACCCGATACCTTACAATATTCGTCAATATATGAGTAATCTATTGCCTCATCCTTTCGTACGTTTTTATTTTTGCCTGTAGCATCGTTAACAGACTTGAAGGTGTTTTCAATCTTTGGCGGTTTTCGCCTGGGAAGATAGTCCTTGGAGGGAAAATTCCTCCGAGGTTTCCACACAACATCGTAATGGTCTGTATTTGGATTCTCTCGAATTATCAATATATCATCCTCGTGTCTTGCCATTTCTAAACTCCTTATACACGGCGTTTGTACAACATCAAGAGAGACGAGTCGCTGTTGTATCGAGCAACGACATAAAGAACGTTTAGTAGACGAGAGAATCTGCAAGGAAACGATCATAGATACATAAATGAAAACTAGGGGGAAATATGTCTACATGTATCTAAACCTGACCTATTATAATGAAGAGTGCATTTGTGATTCAAAACAAGCGCTTTCATGTGTGATCAACACATCGTCAATGTAAGCAAACATAGCAAGTATGTATGGCAACTTACCAAAATTGTAGGTTTCGAATGTTTTCCACTTCTTTATGACAAATATTTTTTTTGTTTTTTTTAACGAAAGGCTCTACATTACAGTTATGAACTGGATGCTCAACGAAGACAAATGCACATCCAATAAGAGATGGCAGGAAACGGAGGAATTTTTGGTTTCCGGACCCCCAAGTCTAACCGTGGTCAGTATACCTCCGTAATAAACATATTATACAAAATTAACAGCACAAATTTTGATGGCTCAAAGACGCAGCATTATAAATAGGCCACTGGAACTTAGATGGAGAAAAGGAATGTAAACGTCTCTTTTAAATCCCACCAGCAATAACTAGTAACTTAAAAACATTACAACTTACTACGAGACAACCTTAGGGGAATAATTTGTCCAATACCTGCCGACCTGACAAATTACAAGACGAACATTTATTTGCTCAAGCTCAAATGACGTCACAAAAAAGACTTCTACAACACAAGCTGAGATTAAATGTCGTCTTAAAAATGTTTCTTGCGAGAGTAAAATTGGCAATGCCATCCACCGAAATCTCTCGAGATAAGGTTAAACTTTCGTAAATGTTAAAATTTTGAGTGTTTTTTTTTAATGAAAATGAATACCCGAACGGTTGGTAGTGAGATCAAAAATAGATACTGTTATTATTTGCAAAGACTGCGACAGGCAATAGTCACACAGTAGGACACCGTTTCCGGCATATTGAGACGAGATCAATACACCACACAACGATTATTTACATTATGGCCAGTGAATTAATAATTCTGCTCGAAAAATTACCTTCGCTAACACGAACATTTTCAGAAAAAGCTAAAACTTCGTCGATGAAGCACTTTAAAAACGTTCTGATTCATCAAAATAGAAGAAATAAAAAACGTGCGTTATGTAGTTGATAGAGCAGAGATAATAATTTGAATAAAACAGCTTTCGCGAAGTAAGCGGGTAATAACAAAGAGCTGATATTTTTACAGGATATCCACAAATTCCGTTTATTGAACTAACTTCGGCATTGCCAAAATTAAGAACACCAAACGCATGTGTTCTATAATTTTTTGGCACAGAAATCATTAATGACAGACTCTCATATAAAGTCATCACGACGCGACAAATTTCCGTCTGTCGACTGAGGTATTTTTAAAACGAATTTCTTTCTCGACGAAAGAAGAAATCTACAGTTAAACTATCAAATTACGAACGGATTTTCTAATGATAAAGAAGAAATGCTACAGTAAAACGTGGTCGAGTTTCAGTTTGAAACAACCATAAAGAAAACAGTAAAATTGTTTTGATATCAAGATTAATAAATTAGATCATTTTTATCTTAAACCTTCATGTTCGTTTGTCATGTTTTTTTTTCTATGATATAAACATGACTTGTCCTTGTACTTGTAAAATAATTACACATTTCCACCTGAATTTATTGTACATTTGCAGGGAAAGACCAAAATACCACCGTTAATGGTTCCATGTTATATACCATGCAAAGATTCAATTACAGAGCAAATGTACATTAACCAATTAGCCGCAAGCACAAGTCAACTGTGCCTATCTAGTGGTACTGAGTTTCTATTTTAACCAAAATCTATTTTATTGCACTCATGGAGTTTCGTGAATTCCACCCTCGGAGTGGAATCAAAAATTCAAAAAGCGAAGAATTCAATAAGTTACAAGAAAAATGGTTAACAATCTAAACACTTTTGATTGACTGTTGTTTGTTTTAGCCATAAATTAGACTCTTTCTTGCCTTATTTCGTTTAATGGCGTATATTTTGTCTACGTAAAACGAATTCATTAAGTGTAACATGTCGTCAAGTTATGACAATGTGGAAATACATAAAATGACAAGCTTAGAAAAGACCAAATAATGTATCAGATTCGTTTGTATTTTACCATTTACTAATCCAAAAGTTGACATTGTTTGACAAACCAACCGCTCTTTCTCCAAGACCGGAAACAGTATGACATTTTAAACTTTTACTTTACTTTCCCCCCTCCATTCCATTAAAAATTTATCCTGACCAACAATTTTGATAAACATGCAATTTATTAAGAAAAATTCTAAGGATAGCTTACTTCAACAGACGAAAACGAGATACGGCAAAATGATTTTCCACAGCCATTCATTATACCACAAAAAAACAAGCTTACATTTGAAAAGATTGCCAAAAACCATTAATATAAACAAGGGTTTTTCTACAAAGCTAAACAGATTACTTAGACTTTGATGGTTTCCTTTGCAAATAAAGGAAATTAAAGGACATATCTTCATTTTATTGTTACCTAGGACGTCACACGAAACTACTTTAAATAACAAAAAGATTTTTATAACAACTGCTTTTAGTCTTGCTATCTCAATTGGATAAGTTAACCCTATTATATACTAACAATGCTGATAAAAAAAAACTTAAGACGAACATCATGATCAAGGGCAGCGAGCCAGTCTCGAATACAACTTTTAATAGTTGAAACAAGTGGACATAAGTTAAGTGTTTACTAAAAATAATCATCTTCCTAAACGACGTTTTTACATAAAGATTCTCTATAGAACAAACATTCGAAGGGCAAGAAAAATTTCCTGTTTATATATGATTATACAAGATTGCAATACAAGGCAATAGAGGGATTGACTCTTTCATTTGTTATAATAGTTCACTATGAAGAACGGTTCAACTGTGAAGTATACAACCAAAAAATTGCTTCTAACTTGTCAAAATATTGTCAATATATGATAGAAGAGAGCCATCTTCGTGAAGCCAAAGTAAAAATATTTCAACAATTTGGCATAAATACTGTCGTAACGGAACTGAAGTAAAAACTCACAGGACGACCTTGGCCTTGAGGTGTAGCAACTCAAAGGGAAAATACAATGTCCAATTATCCACTTATCGTGTTTTAAACCTTCATAAGCAAAATTACGTTATTGTCTTTAAAATTATTCACGAACTATATGACCCATAAACAATCAGTCTTGTTATTTAAAAGAAGTCAAGAATTTTCTGGATAACACAATATTATTTCTCAAAATGTAATAAATATCAGTTTACAGTACTTGTTTATGTAATATATATTTATATAGAGCCACATCAATATACTTTTAATGGTCTTTACAATTTAGATTGTATCAATAAGTTCGTAAACAATAAAATCAATAAAAAAACGACACAAAAATGCATTGAATGTATAATATTGTAGCTAAATTTGCTAACAGGTACATTTAGTACAGTTTCATATCATTAACATTAGAATAAGAAATAATCAATCGATAAAAATCTAAATTTTTTATACATCTTGATAGTTATGGGTGAAATTTAAGTAAAATATAAACACAGTAGTCAACAGGTGTTGATTATCGACAATAGATTTGTATAAGATCTTCACAATGCTAATACCATGACAAAATCTACTTCATTAACTTTCATTTTTAGACACAAAATTTTAGCCATATAAATCAGACCTTGGATTGTCTAACACTCTATGCAGTAAAAATAACACCTAACATGACAATATATTTATCTTCATTATCAGTTGAAATCATCAGTCTGAATTGGTCAAACATGAAAATTTTCAATGTTGAAAAAAGTGTTTGTTGTTCTTTCACTCAAGATTCTTTTTTATATTTTAATAATAACCAAAAACATTATCTTCTCTAAGCAACATTATCATATATTTCTCGGTAAAATTATAATTTTTCCTATGGCTTCCTGTTGCTGCAAGGCAAAGTTCAAAAATATTTTTATGTTTATCTCATTCAATAAAATCAAATATTTCCTGTCGTTTTGCACAGTAAATATCATCAATGGTACATTTTCATCATTGAGTTCAAGGTGAAAACGCAAAGTTCACTCTTAGATGGCAGACATCTTAATTTCCATTTTATCATTAAAAACATGTCTATTGATAGCTTATACTGCATAAGAACTACCACAGAACCTATCATAGATGTATAGTTGATAATTAAGACACTGCTATTAGTACTTATAACCAAATCATGATGAAAAAAAACTTGCCAAGTAAAATGTCGATATGTTCAAAGCAATTCAAAGAAAATTTCTCAATCTCCTGCTTTGCCCGAAGGCCGAGGAATTCTCAATTACTTCACTAACAGACCTTAAATTATAGAACTAACCCGTAACAAGCCAGCTCAAACAAAAATATTCATTCATAGTAATAGTTATTCATAGAAAGAAACAGAATTTATATCGCTACATCCAGCAGAGGTAGAGAATACAAAAATTTAATGAGAAAATTAAAGGTGAAACAAGACAATTTAACAACTTTGATAATTTAATGAAAGATTTTTGAAATAAATGAGACGCATACGGAGGAGTACCATTAACTTCGCCCTCAAACTACGAATACTGTTTGATTATCTGGAAACTTTATTAAAAAAACACACTGACACAAATCGTATGTTATCTCTATCACTCTGCTAGAAGGATATAGTCTATATTGTCGTACGTAAGAAGAGACAAATAAAAATTTTCATCACTTTCTTCTTCCTTTCATGCAGATGCAACGGGTTGTAATTTTCAATATAATTTTACAATAAAATATAAATTTCATTTAGTCACAGCGTTATGAGGTAATTAATCCTCACAGTTAAATTGCGTGCAGCAAGTAAAAGAAACAATTAAGTCAAAGAAAAGTTTCGAAGTATGTATGATTGTTAAATTTATTGCAAAACACAATTAACCAATGGTGTAACTATATATATATATGTATATAGCGTGTATCTGTATGCACGTATTGTATGAAAAACAGGAAGTCGTATCGGCAAACATATTTCATGTCTATATGTATGTAACTGTAACTTAGTAGAATAATAAAAATTAAGGATTGTTTTTGTAGAATTATGGATTGCATCTACGAGAGTGTATGGTCTGTCAACAATAAGTAAGAGATTAAGATGAATTATAACCAGTTGATATAGAAACACTGTTAAGTTATAATTTTTATATCTCTGTTTATTGAAGGCGTTTATCAATGATTTGCGCCACGCGATGAAGAATTCTTAGTCTTGATTATAAAGGACTTAAAAAGTTTTATTTTATTGAAACAAAATAAATGAGCATTTTCAATGAAATCTTACCATTAAATTCTTGTAAAGCCGTTGCTATATTTCCTATGTTCCTTCCCATTAATTTTTATTAGAAAAAGCACGCGATCACGAACTCGTTGAGAACGCATTCTACCCGGTCACAGCTCACTCGATTCATTGAAGGCAAATGCTCACGAGAAAGTTCTAGCAATCAAATTCATGAAGCAAAACTGGTGGTTAATTTTACGAAAGATGATTGGCCGAAAGTTTCAGGCAACTATCTCACTCGACAATGTGCTGGTGGTCATAAATGTCGATGGAACTTTTCAAAAATAATGAACGTGTTGAAAGCCACGAAAACATATCGTCTACGGAGTTGGTTTGAAAAATAATGAAGCGTAAAATATGAACTTGAGAAACAGAAGATCTTTGTCATAGTTTCCTTGTTGTCGGCGACGACGTCTTTAATTAAAGTAACACCGTCAATAATGATTTCATCCATTTTTAAACCTTTATGAATATTTATATACAGTCGTAAAACTTTGATTATCTCAGGTTGTAATTTGTTTGTAACAAAAATAATATTTTACGATAAATTGCAACAGCTTTCATAATCGAACTATTTAAGTTTTTATGTGTATTAAAATGTCAGACAACTTTACAACATAAAAATAAAATGTGCATTCACGAGGTCAATGTGATAGTAAATTTAATATATTATATATATCCTATAGGGATATTTTTACATTACCAATCATTTTGCTGGCTGATGGAAAGATGAAATTCATTGGTCATTAGCAATATTGTTGCCAGTGAGGTGCCAGGCGGGAAACGGATTCTCAATATAAATATAAGAGCCCAACATATAATTTTTAAAATTGCTATAAGCAATTTGGTTTTATAAAATTTATTAAAAGCGAGTGACATTTCGTCTTAAAATCAAGACTATTGGTCATCAGATAAAATAAAATATCCGAAGTTGAATGAAATTTGAATGAATCTAATAGCAACTAGTTTTTAACTCTAATTATCCCCCGCAGCTAGCAGAGAACGCAATCCTTATCTATATAATACAAAGTACAACAAGCGGTTTGGTTATTTAAAAGAAAGACGATGAAAAACAATGTCGAAAAGATGAAGAACATATTCACACCAACGGCGACAAAATGATACCTTTTCAACAGCTAGAATGTAGAGATAAGAAAATCTCCAACGCATAGAGTACGTCACTCATTAAACACTATAACATTTTCAATTTCTCGTTAGACAAAGAGCTTCTAAACTAGCTACAGTAAATACAACAAGAAATACGACTTACTTTCACAGCTAAAGCCAATACCCTAAAGCCACGAGTCTTCTACTCTCTCAATGACTAACGCTCAATAATAATTTCACCATTAAATGGATGAAAATATACAATTCGTAAACACAATGGCCATTTCTCAATCCATTAAAACCTCATGTAGCTTGATACGACCGATAGTATGGTATGGTCAGCGTGTTATTACGATACTAACGGTGGTTAAGCACATTTGTGCGTCAGAACACTTCAATGATCAAGATGCAGAACGATTCATCTCAAACGTTACAAGGAGATGTTTTGACATGGAAGTCATTGTAGATACTTGAAGTTTCAACTAACTTCACCTCACGGTAACTCAAAACTGTCAACACAATAACAAATAGTTAATACAATAAAAAAATTTATTAACACACAGAAAATTAATCGATGGTAAGAGTTTTAAGCATTGTCTTTCGAAATAGATTTTTTCTTTTTCTTTTTCTTCAACGAAGTTGTTTGTTCGTGAACACTTTCTTCCATCACCTGTCGTTTTCGCTTCTTAATTTCTTTTGGAGTTTCCATTTCTTCCGAGTCAAAACTTTTCTTTTTTTTCGATTTAATATTTTCTAAAATTGTCTCTTCATTATCTGACACAATAAAAAAGGGTCAAAATTCATTATAGAAGAAATAAAAGAAAAATATACACTCACCTTGAGACTTATTCAGCTTCTTTTTCTTTTCAAGATTTTTCTTCAGCAGTTTTTTGCGCATTTGTTTCATCTTCAGGCTCTTCTAACGTCTTGTCTTCATCTTCTACAGTTTCATCAAGGCCATCTTTTCCTTTCTTTCGCTTCTTTTTTTTCTTTTTCTCTGACGTCGTTAAAACCTTTTCAGCAGCCATTACCATAGCTTCTTTCATCACTTCAACATTTTTGCGAGGTGCTTCGCCACACTCAAAGAATTTCAAACGTTCTTCAACTTGTTCATTCATTTTTTCACCAAAAACACACGACTGAATTTCTACATTGCATACAGTAAGAATTATTATGTAAAGAAACGATATTCTGGCATGGTTACTTTTATATACACAAGAATATAAAATTTCTGTACCTGAGAAACAGTCGATTCTCGATGCGATTGAACACTTGTTTGCAAGATATCTTGAAATGCGTCCTTTATTTTGTGAAGCAGCACGTCCAATAAACGAAGAGTGAAAAATAAGGCCATATTTTGGTGTGTTTCCTTTTTTTTTCAAAGCTCTAAAAATACACATCTACATTGCTCATCATAAGCGCCATTTATATTGAAATGTCTTGGGTAATTAATAAATTGTCAGACATTGGCTTTCAACATGAATTCCCCATTGATTTATGTAAGAGCTAATTCTCTCATTTCGTCATTCTTCACCATGATCTCTAGACAGCAAAGTTTAATTATGCTTTGCTGAGTTGCTATGGCAATAAGAGGACTTCACAAAATCATTCCCAGACCCCAACAAACCTACATGCAAAATTTTTTCTCAAACCTGAATAAAGCTTTTTCTGCACCAAGAATTTGTACAGTAGATGCAGGATACTTGGCCAAATTAGTAAGACTACCAGCATGAGATATAAGACGGGCACCAACCTTAATGAACATTGAATAATTTGAATAAAATCAAAGCTACATAAAATCAACACTTTATTCAAACCTGTTCACCAACAAGAGCAGCAAGATTTGGTGCTACAGAAGCCATCTTTGAGACCAAATACGAGTGAAGTTTTGAACGATATTCAATGAGACCAATTACTTTGGATGCAAATGTTTGAATGTTGATTAAATCAATGGGAGAAACATCCATACCTAAAAGGAATAATTTTAGTTGTTAAATACACTAGTACTGACTGACAAAGATAAAATTCTGATATTTCCACAGTTTCATAGTAGTAAAAAAAACATCAAAAACCAAAATTGACAGCAACATAACATGAAATTACGATAACTCACCCATTGAAGATCGACTGGCATCATAAATAGCCTTTACTTTTGCTTCATCATCAACTAACTGTTCCAGTCCTTCAAGTTTATCTTCAGTTAAATCTTTGCGAGATTTTATGTATTTTACAACACGAGAATAAAGAAGATTATCAGAAACAATCTTCGACAGTTCAGGAAAATGATATGAAAACCATTCTCTGTAGAAAATAAATTTCATATTAGACAAGAAGCTTAATTTCTTCATTATCGGGAATTTTTTTAAAGGTTACAAACCTCACTCTCATTGAAAATGTATTAATGTCCTTATCCAATTGGTCAAGCAAACTTATTGATTGCATAATCATGTTGTCAGCACGATGAACATTAAATTTCACCTTGGCACGTGAATAACTATGACCAAGGCCTAGTTGAGCTTTTCCTGACATGCTCTCAGACAGTCCAGAGACCATTTTATGAAAAAATAGTCGAATACCACGGATAATTTCATTTACAATTTCACCAGCTTCACAATAAATCTCACATGATTCCTGAATAGCAGCACCAAGTTTTGAATCAGCTACACCAAGACTGATTTTAGACTTTTTCTTTCCCAATGGAATGTTGCTCTCAAGAAATACTTTCAGATCATTATGGATGACACCTTAGAAAAGATAGGTTTTTAAACAGGAAAGAAGATACAAAGACTTTTTAAGGATTAGCTTAACAATACCTTCAGAAACGCAATTTATATTATCCAAAGCATTTGCTGCAGACTTGAAAGGGTTAAACGCCACCAATTTCACGAGTTTACCAAAACGAGCGAGGTCTGTTTGTGCTTGTTGTACTTCGGGAAGCAATACGCCAATTTCCTCCTGAGCAATAACTTTAAAGATTCCATAGCCACAGGCATGCTCAAAGAGAGCAAAAAGAACCTAAAATGAAGATAAAACAGCTCAATATGTGCTAAAATAGTTCAAAATATTGTATACAATCTCTCTTGAAAACTCACCATGTTTTTCCTCGTGCTTTCTCTCGTGGTAGCAATCTGGATTCTCGCGTGGATTTCACGTGATCACGCAGGATAGTCCACGTTATTGGAAGAGAAAGGAACTGTACCATACCATATGAGAACTGAAATTGTCAATCCCGAATTGTCTTGCCTTGTCTGCTTTGGTTTACTTCAATTTTTCTTCATTCTGGTATTTTGTAGAAAGAGATATAAAAAAATATGCGGTTTTTACAGTTTAGTGATGAAAAGTCAACGAGGATTGGAGTCGAAATTGTGGAGGATGGTGACATTGTGGACATCAGTGAAGTGGATTCATCGATTCCTAGCGATATGAAATCGTTTATTGAAGGAGGCGAAGACATGCTTGCAGCTGCCAAACAGTATAGTATTTTGTTTAAATAATTCATTTTTATTGCTCACTGAACTAGTTTGAAATAAAAGCATTGCTTGTGTAGAAGTAATTTATTATTTTCATCGTTAATGATAATGACAACACTCATTTATTTCTCTTCCACTTTTGAGGAGAGACTAAGTTTTCGTTAACTTAGAGGAAGAACAAACACGTAGCTGTATTGTCAATATGTTTTGTTTCAGAGCTGTTGCTAGTGGAAATGGTGTAATAAAGAGAGATAGAACGAAGGTCAAGGCTCCAATCAAGAATCCAGAAAAAATAATCTGTTTAGGAATGAATTATGCTGACCATTGCTTTGAGCAAAATAAACCCATACCTGAAAGACCACTTCTATTTTTCAAACTTCCTAATTCTATAATTGGTCAGGGAGATGATATTATCTGTCCAGATATTGTTGAAGTAAGAACGGTATTTCGTAATAAGTTGTTGTGGAACATGTTTGTGATTTAAATTCACTTACAAAAAATAGGAGTGCAGCAGCTTTTATGAAAACGTTTCTTAAATGATTTTAAGGAGTTAGATTACGAAGTAGAGTTGGCAATTGTCGTTGGGAAAACGTGTCATTGTATAAAGGTTTATCATTGCTAACCTTTCTCTTCATTTTCTCAAACTTTGAGCAGTTTTTGTGATTACATCTAACTTGACTTACGTTCAACTACCGTAGGAGGAAGACGCTATGGACTATGTCTTTGGATATACAGTAGCACATGACGTCAGCGCCAGGGACTGGCAATTACGTAAAAATAACGGTCAGTGGGGACTGGGGAAGACATTTGATACATTTTGTCCTCTTGGACCTGTCATCGTGCAAAAGAATGGACTGTCAGGTTTGAAGAGAAAACGCAATCCATGCGTTTTAAAAAGTGTTTTTATCACAAATCATTATATTTGCAATTTCTTTCAGATCCACACAAGTTAGGAATCAGATGTCGTGTAAACAAGATTACAGCACAGGATTCCAATACTGAACAAATGGTCTTTAAAACAGCTGCGGCAGTTTCTTATATATCACAGTGCGTATTTCATCTATCCTCTACCTTCGTTTTGCTTGTCTTATGATTAATTTCGTTCATCTAGATTCATGACGCTCAAAGCAGGAGACGTGATACTAACCGGTACCCCTCCTGGTGTGGGCTGTTTTAAGACCCCCCCTGTTTTCCTTAAAGATGGTGACGTAGTTGAAGTTGAAATCGACGAAATTGGTTGTCTATCAAATACAGTACGACAATTTGAAAGAACAAACTAAATCAATGATTTCACATGCACAGACTGTAACCAGACACCTTTCTATCTCTCATAATTTTTGAATTTATTGAAATATAAAATAAAATACGAATGAATTACAAACTTCTCAGCGTGATAACTGTTACAAACAATGAAACATTTGTTGGCAAAATTTTTTCACAATTTCCACGAAAAAAATATCAATAATATAAATTTTACGTGTTTGTAAATGTAGATCGTCCAGGTTGGTATAGTCCTGAGAAGGACTGTTTTTGTTGTTGTAGACTGACGTTTCGACAACCTTAGCGGTAGTCATCTTCAGAGTCAACAACAACAAAAACAGTCCTTCTCAGGACTATACTAACCTGGACGATCTACATCTACAAACATGTAACGATACTCCCTGGTTCAAACCATTTACAATATAAACTTTAAAGACGTCAGCTTCCACGGTCAATCATTTATTCGATTGTTTACAGCAGTAAACTCTGCAAATCAAACAGAAACTTTCGTGTTAAAACAACAACAAAGAGGTGAAAAACAGGGATAACAGTTGACATCTGGGTGTATATCTTCACGACGACATAAACTGTTACAATCCCTACATAAAATTATCCATGATATCTCTATATATCTTCGAAGACATATTTTGTTCCCATTTTTGATCTCATTTTTTCTCACGCAATCTCTTTTTTTCTAAAGTTCTTTAAATCTCAAAAGATTTATATAATATTCCTTATTACACTTAGATAACTCATCTGCCGTAAATCAAATAAAATTACGATCTTTGAAATATTACTGTTTACAAGTGAATTCATTGTCGTCTTATGAGTTCCGTATTTTTAAACCGTCCTTTTCCTTTTAAGGCATCTTTCTTTCTTTCTCTTTCTTTCTTTCTTTAAAGCCATTACCATAGCTTCTTTCATCACTTCAACATTTTTGCGAGGTGCTTCGCCACACTCAAAGAATTTCAAACGTTCTTCAACTTGTTCATTCATTTTTTCACCAAAAACACACGACTGAATTTCTACATTGCATACAGTAAGAATTATTATGTAAAGAAACGATATTCTGGCATGGTTACTTTTATATACACAAGAATATAAAAGAAATTTTCTGTACCTGAGAAACAGTCGATTCTTGATGCGATTGAACACTTGTTTGCAAGATATCTTGAAATACGTCCCTTATTTTGTGAAGCAGCACGTCCAATAAACGAAGAGTGAAAAATAAGGCCATATTTTGGTGTGTTTCCTTTTTTTTTCAAAGCTCTGAAAATACACGTCTACATTGCTCATTATAAGCGCCATTTATATTGAAATGTTTCTGGTAATTAATAAATTGTAAAACATTGGCTTTCAACATGAATTCCACACTGATTTATGTAAGAGCTAATTCTCTCATTTCGTCATTCTTCACCATGGTCTCTAGACAGCAAAGTTTAATTATGCTTTGCTGAGTTGCTATGGCAATATGTCGACTTCAAAAAATCATCCCCAGACCCCAACAAACCTACATGCAAAATTTTTTCTCAAACCTGAATAAAGCTTTTTCAGCACCAAGAATTTGTACAGTAGATGCAGGATACTTGGCCAAATTAGTAAGACTACCAGCATGAGATATAAGACGGGCACCAACCTTAATGAACATTGAATAATTTGAATAAAATCAAAGCTACATAAAATCAACACTTTATTCAAACCTGTTCACCAACAAGAGCAGCAAGATTTGGTGCTACAGAAGCCATCTTTGAGATCAAATACGAGTGAAGTTTTGAACGATATTCAATGAGACCAATTACTTTGGATGCAAATGTTTGAATGTTGATTAAATCAATGGGAGAAACATCCATACCTAAAAGGAATAATTTTAGTTGTTAAATACACTAGTACTGACTGACAAAGATAAAATTCTGATATTTCCACAGTTTCATAGTAGTAAAAAAAACATCAAAAACCAAAATTGACAGCAACATAACATGAAATTACGATAACTCACCCATTGAAGATCGACTGGCATCATAAATAGCCTTTACTTTTGCTTCATCATCAACTAACTGTTCCAGTCCTTCAAGTTTATCTTCAGTTAAATCTTTGCGAGATTTTATGTATTTTACAACACGAGAATAAAGAAGATTATCAGAAACAATCTTCGACAGTTCAGGAAAATGATATGAAAACCATTCTCTAAAGAAAATAAATTTCATATCAAACAAGAAGCTTAATTTCTTCATTATCGGGAATTTTTTTAAAGGTTACAAACCTCACTCTCATTGAAAATGTATTAATGTCCTTATCCAATTGGTCAAGCAAACTTATTGATTGCATAATCATGTTGTCAGCACGATGAACATTAAATTTCACCTTGGCACGTGAATAACTATGACCAAGGCCTAGTTGAGCTTTTCCTGACATGCTCTCAAACAGTCCAGAGACCATTTTATGAAAAATAGTCGAATACCACGGATAATTTCATTTACAATTTCACCAGCTTCACAATAAATCTCACATGATTCCTGAATAGCAGCACCAAGTTTTGAATCAGCTACACCAAGACTGATTTTAGACTTTTCTTTCCCAATGGAATGTTGCTCTCAAGAAATACTTTCAGATCATTATGGATGACACCTTAGAAAAGATAGGTTTTAAACAGGAAAGAAGATACAAAGACTTTTTAAGGATTAGCTTAACAATACCTTCAGAAACGCAATTTATATTATCCAAAGCATTTGCTGCAGACTTGAAAGGGTTAAACGCCACCAATTTCACGAGTTTACCAAAACGAGCGAGGTCTGTTTGTGCTTGTTGTACTTCGGGAAGCAATACGCCAATTTCCTCCTGAGCAATAACTTTAAAGATTCCATAGCCACAGGCATGCTCAAAGAGAGCAAAAAGAACCTAAAATGAGGATAAAACAGCTCAATATGTGCTAAAATAGTTCAAAATATTGTATACAATCTCTCTTGAAAACTCACCATGTTTTTCCTCGTGCTTTCTCTCGTGGTAGCAATCTGGATTCTCGCGTGGATTTCACGTGATCACGCAGGATAGTCCACGTTATTGGAAGAGAAAGGAACTGTACCATACCATTTGAGAACTGAAATGTCAATCCCGAATTGTCTTGCCTTGTCTGCTTTGGTTTACTTCAATTTTTCTTCATTCTGGTATTTTGTAGAAAGAGATATAAAAAAATATGCGGTTTTTACAATTTAGTGATGAAAAGTCAACGAGGATTGGAGTCGAAATTGTGGAGGATGGTGACATTGTCGACATTAGTGAAGTGGATTCATCGATTCCTAGCGATATGAAATCGTTTATTGAAGGAGGCGAAGACATGCTTGCAGCTGCCAAACAGTATAGTATTTTGTTTAAATAATTCATTTTTATTGCTCACTGAACTAGTTTGAAATAAAAGCATTGCTTGTGTAGAAGTAATTTATTATTTTCATCGTTAATGATAATGACAACGATCATTTATTTCTCTTCCACTTTTGAGGAGAGACTAAGTTTTCGTTAACTTAGAGGAAGAACAAACACGTAGTTGTATTGTCAATATAATGTTTTGTTTCAGAGCTGTTGCTAGTGGAAATGGTGTAATAAAGAGAGATAGAACGAAGGTCAAGGCTCCAATCAAGAATCCAGAAAAAATAATCTGTTTAGGAATGAATTATGCTGACCATTGCTTTGAGCAAAATAAACCCATACCTGAAAGACCACTTCTATTTTTCAAACTTCCTAATTCTATAATTGGTCAGGGAGATGATATTATCTGTCCAGATATTGTTGAAGTAAGAACGGTATTTCGTAATAAGTTGTTGTGGAACATGTTTGTGATTTAAATTCATTTACAAAAAATAGGAGTGCAGCAGCTTTTATGAAAACGTTTCTTAAATGATTTTAAGGAGTTAGATTACGAAGTAGAGTTGGCAATTGTCGTTGGGAAAACGTGTCATTGTATAAAGGTTTATCATTGCTTACCTTTCTCTTTATTTTCTCAAACTTTGAGCAGTTTTTGTGATTACATCTAGCTTGACTTATGTTCAACTACTGTAGGAGGAAGACGCTATGGACTATGTCTTTGGATATACAGTAGCACATGACGTCAGCGCCAGGGACTGGCAATTACGTAAAAATAACGGTCAGTGGGGACTGGGGAAGACATTTGATACATTTTGTCCTCTTGGACCTGTCATCGTGCAAAAGAATGGACTGTCAGGTTTGAAGAGAAAACGCAATCCATGTGTTTTAAAAAGTGTTTTTATCACAAATCATTATATTTGCAATTTCTTTCAGATCCACACAAGTTAGGAATCAGATGTCGTGTAAACAAGATGACAGCACAGGATTCCAATACTGAACAAATGGTCTTTAAAACAGCTGCGGCAGTTTCTTATATATCACAGTGCGTATTTCATCTATCCTCTACCTTCGTTTTGCTTGTCTTACGATTAATTTCGTTCATCTAGATTCATGACGCTCAAGGCAGGAGACGTGATACTAACCGGTACCCCTCCTGGTGTGGGATGTTTTAAGACCCCCCCTGTTTTCCTTAAAGATGGTGACGTAGTTGAAGTTGAAATCGACGAAATTGGTTGTCTATCAAATAAAGTACGACAATTTGAAAGGACAAACTAAATCAATGATTTCACATGCACAGACTGTAATCAGACACCTTTCCGTCTCTCATAATTTTTGAATTTATTGAAATACAAAATAAAATACGAATGAATTACAAACTTCTCAGCGTGATAACTGTTACAAACAATGAAACATTTGTTGGCAAAATTTTTTCACAATTTCCACGAAAAAAATATCAATAATATAAACTTTAAAGACGTCAGCTTCCACGGTCAATCATTTATTCGATTGTTTACAGCAGTAAACTCTGCAAATCAAACAGAAACTTTCGTGTTAAAACAACAACAAAGAGGTGAAAAACAGGGATAACTGTTGACATCTGGGTGTATATCTTCACGACGACATAAACTGTTACAATCCCTACATAAAATTATCCATGATATCTCTATATATCTTCGAAGACATATTTTGTTCCCATTTTTGATCTCATTTTTCTCAAGCAATCTCTTTTTTCTAAAGTTTTTTAAATCTCAAAAGATTTATATAATATTCCTTATTACACTTAGATAACTCATCTGCCGTAAATCAAATAAAATTACGATCTTTGAAATATTACTGTTTACAAGTGAATTCATTGTCGTCTTATGAGTTCCGCATTAAAACCTTTCATAAGAGATTTCATCTACGTCATAAAAATTTCATCTTTAATAACAGACCTCGTGTGACCCTAAAATCGTTAATATTTTACGACTCTGACAAACTTTTAAAAGTTGAATGTCTCATTTTATGTAAGACATTATTATCGTCATGATTTTAAATATTTAGTAATAAACTAGCTCTCTGAACGTCGACATAATTATGAAATATAAATTATTGAACAATTAATAACAGCTGAATTTCCCGGAAACAATTGCAGCTTTTTTTCTGAAGTCTAAAAAATACTTTTCATAATACAATCCACGAGCTTTTTTTAATCAATTTATATTCCTCAAAAATACTGATTATTTCACTCGATAATTTAAACGAATCCCTTTTTTCATAATTTTGCTCATTATTTTTTTCAACTGGGAAAACCCTCATTAAATAAATAATTTATCAAAATTTCACATTACACAATAACGAAATCTCTGTACGTTAAAATCTAGGCAAGTGACTGTCACTCTGTTATAACAGTTGTGCAAATGTAATTTATCGTCGCTTATGTAAGTTTACCAATTTGAAACTTTTTATAAACTTCTGACGCTGTAAAAAGCAAAGAATCAATGATTCCAGCAACAGTAAAAGTTCCACCAACGATTGCAAAAACCTTTAAGAAAAAAACCCACAACAAGTTAGCTTGTGATTACCTACTTAAACAAGATGGATAAGAAAAATTTTCAGAGTTAAATTAAAAAAATTGTTTCAACTTACCGTCGTAATGAAATGATAAAAAGGTTTCCTTCTCTCGATGTATTTTACCGTGATTGGACTGAGATCGTAACGAAACCAAATTGCTAAAAAGAGGAGAAACACTGTGAAGTGGCAAAACGCACTTTGTAGAATATGGCTGCGCCTCTCTAATATACAAAATATACAAAAAGTTGAATGATATGAACGCGAGTTTCCAAAACATCTTCAACGAAAACATTACCTGGCATAACTCTACCACCATGACCATATGAAATATAATCCTATAAGAAATAAATCATCTTACCTTCTCAAATCCGTTTAAATAGATAAAGATACGCATAAATACCTTATACGCCCATGAATATTGGAATGAATACAATTGAGTACCATCTAATTTTTCGTAAATTGTGGGAACAACTCTCAGTATATAATCATGAGAAGATTGCCCTGAAAAACGATCATAAAGACAAAACATAAACGATCAAATACCCACATTAACTTATTTTGCACACTTTCAAAGAAAATTGTATAACATTATATTTTTTGATGAAGAAGGAAATTATCGAACCGTTTTGTTTCTTCTTTATTCACATTCTTTAAAGATACAAAGGCAGCGTCAATTTTTTCAGCCTAAGACGTAAAATGATCTGGTTTTTCAACAATCAATCAATAAAACACGAATTGATTATAAACATCGTTCTACGTCTAACTTACATGAATATCGTCGCCAAACCGTAAACCATCTATTGTATGCGCCATGTCAATCATCTCTGGCTAAAATAAATACGTAAAATATAGCTAATAACCATACAGTATGTATCAAAATGAATGTTACGCCCTGAAAACGGTTAGGCAAAACTGTGTGGAGCTTTTCAAATAATAGAAAAGTGTGCTGTTTGACATGTCTTACCTGTTGTACCGCTCCATGTGTAGATACATGAAAATTTCCTGGTACCTAAATATTTATTCAAGCTGTAAATAATCATAAATTATGCTACTATTCATCATTCACACTTATACCTTATTGACATTAAAATGTCCTTCAAATTTACAACCTTCTACATTGAAAAAACACAAATTAACTCATGCAAAACTAACAGGTTGCATTGATCTCTTCTTCATTTAAACCATGAAACAAATACAAAGCCAAAAAAATAGATTTTTCAGACACACCTCCACCATTTATTTCCCATTTTTGAGTGTTTTCTTGAAAACCAACCTCATGTCTGTGACAAACTAATATATTGTTATTGTAATATGTTTCAAAATTGAAATATTGTACAAAAAAACATGTACCTTCCCATTTCATCTTGGATGTCTAGACCAATGACTTAAACAGAGTTGAGGAATTTAATAATTTTACCAACTAATGAGAGTACTAATGAAAATGCAACTTACAATCACATCTTAATCTGGGCAGAGTAATATTCAGACTAGCTCCCATTCTCCCTCTCGATGATCCGGCAGCATCAACAAATAGCTCACTGATGCTAAAGAATGCAAAGATATGAATTCAACACAAGCTAAACTAGACTTGATTTTTAATCAATTTTGATGTTATAAGTGATGAAAATGACACAAACAAATGTATACATACATTTCTGGTGTGATAAAACTGTAAAACTCGGATAGAAACAGAAACACCATTACAACACCACTAAGAATTGAAACTAGGAAATAAAAGATCATTGTAAATTCTCAGATGTTTATGGTCACATATGAAGAAAAAACAAAATCTTACTTATTGCTCCTGTATGAGTAGGTTGAGTTAAATCTTTTGGAATCTTACGATAAATATCAAACCTAGAACAACAAAATATTTCCTCTACATAAAACAATTGCCACACGATGCAATCCATTCTCTTGTGTTGTGTTTAAATGAAACATTTAACTATTATTTTCATCTTCAGATATGGAGTGATAAGGTTTTAACAATGGTGAAAAAGACTTTGATACAGAGGGTTTCCGTTAGTATGGAGGGAATCAAGGTAAAAAACAGGTAGGAGTGCATGAATTTATACTAAGAAACCAGATATCTAGTATTTCTTATCATACATATTTGACAAAACAATATGATATCCACAGCAACGAAATATGCCACATAAACACAACTGACACGTGTGGTATAAATTTCAATACGAGAAAGACAGAACTATTACTTAGGTATTAGATTTCATTTTTTACAATCAATTACATGGAAAGCGACTCACCTTCTAATATCAAACTGCATTATAACGACAATAACGAGAAATAACAATATTTACTCTTCTCCTTTCTGTCTTTTCTGTTTGTGTTTTGTTCAAAGTCTCAGTCAATATTTTGTAAATACGCGCCTGCAAACTGTACTGGTCAGTAACAACGTTCAAGACGTGCTCCATTCTTATTGGCTGATCTATTGAAGTACCTTTACTTCGTCCTGTCGAATCTTTCATTTGGTAACAAAGGATTATTTATAATTCACGCGTGTGTTTTGTCGTAGTTACATTACAAAGGGAGGGATATGAAATATCAAACCAATTTGTACTACGCTTTAAATCGTGGTTATTATTAGTTTTTTTCCTTTAGACAAACATCATATATTCCAAGAGATATTTACAAAAATATTACAAATGAAACTAAAGCAAAATGTACATATACAAAATGAACGAACTTTTTTCATGGTAGACTCATTTTTCGAACTTCCGAATCAGAATACACATTTCCCCCTCCACCGAATCTTTTCTTATAAATGTATGGATGGGAACATAACAAATAATTTGTCATAGAAGTGAGACTTCGGTGGATTCCAATACAAAAACATTTCGTGTACCGTAGTAGAAAGAGTAAAGCAAACATAGCTCACATCACGTTGGTGTTGATACAGTGACAAAACAATTATTTTGATGAAGACTTTTTGTTCTTGAATCAGGTGTAGCTTTTATAGCAGAATAACTGAACAAACAACATTGTGAAGAAGTGGAGGGTGACAGCTTCTCTGGTGACTTACTGCTTTTAAAACAGCTAATTTCACGCTCCCAGTTGAGAAGTTGTCCCATGAAATGAAAGTTTGGTGAAATTACTGGGCGTCTTGCCTTTACATACTTGTACGCCTCTTCTAAACTATATCCTTTTTTACTCATAAGATAGGCCAAACAAATTGTTGCAGATCGAGATACTCCAGCTTGACAATGTATAAGAACTTTACCACCTGATGTTTCAACAGAATCTAAACAAAGAACGAACGTAAAACGTCAACAAAAAATATTACTTGTTTACTTAACTGCCTAAACCGAATACTAACCAGAACGATGTTAAGGTTAACTTTTCAAATTATTTTTTCTATTCTCTGGCTAAGTTTAATTGAATATTAATTGGAAGTTTGGCCCAGCTCTATACATAGATATTACACTAAAACCGACTTAAAAAACAGTTCTTTTTTGTCAGCAAGTTATTGAATATTCATTTCCACTCAAGATGCAATATCGTCTGTTCTTTATCTTTCACGCAAATGAACGTCTTGCCGACAATAATTATTTTCAACGATGACTAAATTGGGCGTGTCTAGCTTGTGCCTTTCGCCAGCTGGAACATAATTTACTTTATGATAGAACGAACCGTGCATTAAACATATTTTAAATCATCTCTGCACAAATTACTTATCAACAATGTATTTTCATTACCAAGTACATTAGAAACTTGTTTGTTGAACACATATTTATTAAAAATGTGCACTAAAATGACAAATTAAAGATACTTAAGTGTTCGTTGAAACACACACAACAATCAAGTACTTCAGCACGGCCAAATAGTTCGTTCTTCTCTATCTTAGAACAACAGCTTCACAAAAAGTTCAGAAAACCGAGCTGACAAAAGCCCCCGCCTACCCCACTCCCCCCTAACTTAAATTTCGGCCGAAACCATGAACGAACGAAAGAGAAGTTCACAGAAGAAGAAAACACGTCTAACCATAAAAGTAAAAAATACGACCAAGAACATTATCCCTAACAACAGAACATGTTCTGACACGATTGACGATAAATTCAAGACACGAGCAGTGAGCTTTGTAATTAATAAGCAAATATGTATGAAGTGACATATTGATTTTTAGCAAAGAAAAGAACTGTAAAATAACTGGTTGAAATTCAAAATAATCTTGAATAGTCGACAAAACTACAATACAATATTGAAACTGTCTGGCATTGAAATTTTTTCAAAACTGAAAGTTTTGGAAGAAACTGTACGATATTCCCTCTTTCTCTTTAAGGTAAAAAGAGTTTAACTCCGTAGCAAAACATGCATGGTTAAAAATGAAGCAATGTTTTGAGGAACACGAGCAAATAGTAAATAGCGTGTAGATATTGGCCTAGTACTTACCAATGAACTCAACTGCAGCATGAAACCATCGACTAATATCCGCATTATGATTGTCTTCAACCGGAATGTTTTTATAAACGAAGCTACCTTGAAAATGATTATTTATGGTTTTTGAAACGTTCATTACGGCTGTCACTCCAAGATTTTCCAATACATCTTTTGAAGAGCAATGCAACTCATTACCAAGATACAGAAACGGAAGTATTTCAACGGGGGGACTTCTGTCTTCTGCATCGCACGATGATTCTCGCGAGCTCTTTTTATTAAAATCTAAATAAAGCGATGAGGCTGCACTGTTCCTCGAGGGCAAATCTCCGCACGGTAAATGATTCCATTCACACATGTTTGGATGTTCTGCTTGGAAAAGTTGAAATCCACCTGAAGAATAAGGAACAAACCATATAATAAATAAAAAACAAACACTGGGAGGAAACACCAAAACCTTCACCTAGAATTATATCTTGAGTAATATTAAGCTTTTCGTCGCCTTTAAATCGATACAATTTATAGCTACAATCCCTCGTTCTATTCTAAAGTAACTTCATGTCTTCTCTCTGAGAATTTGGCGAATCCACAAACCAAATTAAAATGTAAAAAGACCGTTATTGTGTTTAACGTTGGCCAGCATAACGACATTCAACTCTATATCGATCAATGACAAATTTGTATTACTTGTGACTCGTCGTGCTGTACTCCAGTGGTGCAATAATACAACATGCAAAAGAAACGAACTATTGAAAAATCATGAATTAATAATAGTTACACGCGGTCACACGCATTCAAAAACTGGTCGTTAATTTAGCCAATGAGGGCAACGATACCGATTTCCTGTTGTCTATGACCAAAGAAAGACGACCGCGTGTATAGCAGCTGACGATCCAAGCAAACACTTTCTATATTGTGTTTTACATTTTTGTTACTGTTAATATAAAAAAATGAGTTGCAAATATCAAAGAGGAATTACATTACACAAAATGTTATATATAAGACAAAATTTATATTTTGCGTTAACTAAGCACGGCTTTCCCATGACATGTAAAATCTATCATGATGGCGCGGACTTATTTAAAATTAATGTTTGCACTAATGCAATATAAATTAGCAGTTGAATACGAAATAAGAACACGATCATTGCAAACATCAGGGCCTCTTGCCTTTGAAAAATGCGCGAATACATTTACAACAAGCAAAACACTGAGTTTAAGATATCTTCATGTTTCAGATGAAAATGTTTCAGCAAGAAAATTTTACAGTCGTTTGAAATACATCGCGATGAATGATCATCAAAATATCTATCACGTGTCGTTAATTGAGGATTAGTAGACATTTCAAATCTCTAAGTTGCAATGTATTGCATCATCATGTTTTAATACTAACATGCGCAGAGCAAGGAATCTCATTCGGTGGCGAATGAAGGATCCAAAAATTTTCTAATAATACTGTTTAATTTATAAATAAGTATGAAAATTGACCACGATATTTTTGCGGCTTAATTCTATAAAAAGATATGACAAGTCATGAAAAATTAACCGTTGAAAATCGCTGATGTTTCATATTACACTCGTGCCACTATCTCTCCATTGCGTAACTTTTGTCGCCTTAAAAAGTACGGAGTCCAAGTAGAACTTCAGCACTTGAAAAGGAATGTATTGGCCACCAAAAAGGATTATGTCGATGATTGATGATTTTTACTAAATTTTCTTCGATATGTCGACTCTCTCAAAATTTACCTCGAAACAACGAAAAATACTGATCTTTAAAACGTAGATAGATCGAAGAAGCAAAAGAAAAAACAATTTGTGCTTAACTTTAACTCTATGGCTTTGATAATCCTAACTTGGTTTTAATCAATTTTCATCCGTCTTTAGATTTTACCTAATCTTTATTTTTTTGTTTTTTTCCTTGGTGCTCAACGCCACTCGGAAGATGAAAAGAAGAGTATGATGGAACGGAAAAAAACTTAATAATCATTTCCGCTGTATGAAAGAAAACTGAATTAATTCTACGTTTTTGCGTGTTTGTCGTGTTTAAACAGCTTCGAGAAATAAATATCTCCAGGCATTAACGACAACAAGAAGAGATGTTATTATAAATAATCCACTCACAGTTTCTTTATTTAGTAATGTTGTTCATCACACGATTGATAATGAAGGCATGAGGTGTCCTACTCGTGCAACAGACAACACAAAAGTTCAGAGTTCACATGGAGTAATGGAAAATGCAATATGTATAAAATATATAATATTTACTTTACAAACCTAGTAGATAGTATATTTTCTTCTTTAGATTCACAGCTAGGATTGAACCAATAAACGACAAAGTATCATTTCTGGTCGGTGGAAGAGCACTGTTGTCGTCATACAGTACAATCACATTTACTTCACGTAAACTGTTCAACGTTGTTTCACAAGATATTAACGCTTCCAATGACGAACCACTTTTTCTTAATCTTCGTCTCAATATAGTCGGGCAACATACGTTAATGGCTTTCTTGATGTGACTGCGATGATGCGCGATGTACGAACGACAATCGATGATCTGGTACGTTTTGGTCTGCTGAAATAGATCCAGTAGGGATGCGGTTGTGAAGGGGAATAGATTGCTACAACCCATGACAGTCATCTTCACATCAACGATTCATCAAGTGGAGATAGACATTGGTTAATGCGTACTTGTGCACACTCTTTGTTAGTGGACAATTAAATATGCGCATTTTATATACTGTGAACATTGCGGTGGAAATACATCAGTTCTATAAATATGAAAAATCGTCTCATGACGTCGTTATAAATAGAAAACTTGACCTTATGTTAACAGCGCGCCACGCGTTAAACAATTCTCGACGCGTCATTTTGATGAGTCATTTGAATAAATCAACACTAACGTCATAGTGTAAAAATAATGAAAGAAGAAAACACATTTGAAAACACATTTGAAAACACGTTTACAAACCTGGTCTCTTCTCATCATATTCTGTATCTCTCAAGTCTCAAAGTTGTAAAAAGAAAAGAAAACCGTCTTTCTGTACTCAAATTGATTTTCGATTTTAGTATTTCTTTTCGAGTCTGTAGTCGATGAGGGTCGCCTTTTGACATGACCCAACAACTTGTCCATGCAAAACACGCAAGGTGTCTTGAATACTTATGCCACGTAACATTTCTTAAAATACAAATGCCATGACAGGTCTTGACTTGTTTCTCCTTCATCTGTCACCGCTGCAGAATAATAACTATGTAACAAGAAGAGAAATGTTAAAATTATAATAAAAAATAATCCATTATTATTTTATCTCAAATGAAAAATTGATGACATATGTATTTTGAACTTCAGATATAATAATCTTTACATAAAATGGCGAATGGACATTGTATCAGAATGCATTAAGGTTAGAAAAGTATAACAAAAAGGAAAGTTTCATTTTGTGAAAAACCATAATGAACAAGACGTCGAGTGAATCTTTGCATTGAACAAAAGCTTTATGAAATATATTTCTACTTGAGTGCTCAAAGCATTCTGACAAAATGTACTGATAATACACATTAGATTCATTGAAAATTTAAATATTTTTCACTCGCAGGCTTCTTATTAAGCGAATTTTATCCCAAAAAGTTCATGGGTATACACAAGATAAACCATGTCTGACCTATAACATGCATTCTGTGAGGATATTATTAGTTTGTTATAATGTCTTCGAAAGTAAAATGTGCAAAAAATATATAAATATATAAATACAGTATGTATAAACAATGTTGATATACATATATAAGATAAAACACAAAGTTTATTTTTCAAGATAGTTAGAGGGAACCCAGCCAGATCGATTACCTATCCTAGCTAGCCACCAACCCCCTTCATCTTTACGAATAACCTCAATTTTGTCTCCTTTTTTAATATCTAAAGTATCATCCATTCCGTCCGTATAGTCCGCTATGACGTGATAATACTGGACAATCTTCGGTTGAGCGGACAAGTTTTCAGTACTTCGGGCAGTTGCTTTGTTCAAAACAGCCGTTGGCTTCAACGACAGCAGATTCTCTGCACTACTCGAGTTGATATATCGGGGTAAAGTGGGTTTCCTGCTGCGATTTGGAATTGGGGGACCTGGATTTATTCTATGACCACTCGAAGTGTTCTTGGGTCTATCAGGGGGAGAAGGCCTCGGAGGAGTGCGACGGGGGGTTGGTCCTACATTGGTCTTTTCTTTCAAATAAGTTGAAGGTGCCCATCCTTTGCTACCATTACATTGTACATACCACCAACCACTAGGTGTCTTCTCCAGTACTTTCACCAATTCGCCTTTTTTCAATGTTACGTTCAGCTGATCGTCATCAAAAAAGTCACTGATCGCTAAGTAATCAAAGCCTTTAACTACAGGTTTAGGTATTGCTGTTCTTATAGCTGGTACAGGTTTAGGTTTAGGTCCTTGAGGTGTTCTTATCTCAGGTTTTTTTTCCTCTACAGCATGTGTTTTTTTGTCTCGTCGTTCGATATAAGAAGATGGCAGCCATCCTTCCTTGCCGTCTTTTCTACAGTACCACCAGCCATTTGGAGATTTCTCAATAATATCAACAGATGACCCTTTTTCAACGCTCAATACTCCTTTCCCACCCTGAGCACGATAGTCTGACATTGCAACATAAATAGCTTCGTTTAACGACGATGTTGAGTCGTGAGCTTCGGGAGACGTCGGAGGCGAACGCACACGATTCTTTATTTTGTGCGACTTTTTTACCTGAAATAAACTAGATGTAAGAATAAAGTTGTTGAAGAAGAAAATGCAAAAAAAAATATCAAAAGCTTCAAGAGCAAACAATGCTCAAGACTTTCGTATATAGTCATTTTAAAATCCGTCATGAAGACAATATTTTAACACCATGATGAGTTCAACTATATTTCTAAGTGTTTCTCTACTTTCTTTCTCGTGATACCAGCTTTCCTAGAAATACATACCGAAGCTTTCCTTGGTGGAGGTTTGTTAGATTGTGTCCCTATCAAAGATTATTGGACAATGTTACTGCTCTTTCTCACTCCATTTGTCATTGAGATCAGCCCCGTGGCAAATATAACTTACCTTCAACAACAGGTTTCGGAGGTCGTTGTGGTCTGTTTAATATAGCTGGCTCATTACTTAAGGTTATATTTTCGTATGCATGACGAATGGGTAGTGGTTGGTTTGGATCAAATTTCTTCAGATATAAAGATGGTGCCCAGCCCTCAGAACCGTTATATCTAAACAATAAACATTTGAATGTTTTATGCAGTGCGGTGTTTTGAAATTAAATGAGATATGATCTTCGCACTTAGCTGGACAATTTAAGCAATCGTCTCAGGATCTGAAAAAATCAGGTGACTCAACGGGATGCTATTAGATTGGCATGCGATAGAGCTATTTACATAGTTTGAGGTATCATCTCATCCTGCTCCGACACATTCGACCTCATGATCCACGAAAGCCTCCTCATCTCCAAACTAAAACCTTCACTTAACACTCAAGGCATCTCCATCCCTCTTAAGCTTTTCTAGTCTCAACACCTCACCCTAACTATACATCATATCACACTCACGGTAATCTGATACCTCAAACTATGTAAATAACTCTCTATATATATCTATAATTCTTGTTAACTTCCTTATTAGTCTGAAGATGTCTTGAGTCAAGACGAAACGTCACTATTTTAATAAATTTCACAAAACCAAATTGTTTATGACTATGTTCAAAATTATTTGTTGGGCTCTAATATTTATATATGCTTGTAAATGTAGATCGTCCAGGTTGGTATAGTCCTGAGAAGGACTGTTTTTGTTGTTGTTGACTGACGTTTCGACAACCTTAGCGGTAGTCATCTTCATAGTCAAATGAGGAGTAAACGTCATGTTAGCCGTATTTGTTATCTGGTTCTTACGTCATTGTATTGTGTGTAAAGGAAATATGTATTGTCATTGTGAATTAGTGTTAAAAACTAAAAACATCACAACTAAAAATAAAAATATTTCACTTCACACTAATTCACAATGACAATACATATTTCTTGTACACACAATACAATGACGTAAGAACCAGATAACAAATACGGCTAATCTAACGTTTACTCCTCATTTGACTCTGAAGATGACTACCGCTAAGGTTGTCGAAACGTCAGTCAACAACAACAAAAACAGTCCTTCTCAGGACTATACCAACCTGGACGATCTACATTTACAAACATGTAACGATACTCCCGGGTTCAAACCATTTACTCTAATATTTATTTTAAACAATGAACATTTAGTTTGAGAGGCAATGTTTAGATGTACTGCAAGGAATCAAAATAATCATGATATTAATCTTATCCAATCATCCCAAGATAAACAACCCAAAAGATAAACTAACTTCAAGATAAACAAACCCAAAGATAACGCATTTGAAATATAAAATGACCTTATCAGCCACCATCCATCAATATTTTTCTCTAGCACATCGACAACAACTCCTTTCTGAAATCCCATTTCATCAGGCTCATTAGCAGTATAAGCTCTGGACGCAATGTATCTTTCTTCTGAAAGTATTTGATCCAAGCATTATAAAACGTATGTGACATAAAAATGTCCTTTAGATATTGAAAAGCGTAATACCTCCTGGCTTAAATACAACAGTAACAGACTTCTCAACACTGCCATCTTCAGGTTCAAGATACGAAGCTGGCAACCATCCTTGTTCTTCATCCATATTTACAAACCACCAACCTTCAAATCAAATAATAAATGCCTTATAAATATTCACCAGTCATCTATTTCATGTATCAAACTTTGAAAAATGTTACCATTTTCATTTTTTTCAATAACTTCCACAATGTCTCCAGCAAGGACACTAACTTCACTTCTGTTTTGCTTATGGTAATCAGCAATGACTATGTACTGTTCAAGTTGAATTGGTTCAGAAATCACTTTAGCTATAAATAATGATTTGATTAACACAATCTCAATTAATTTGATAGTTATGCGATCACACATTGTTTTAAATGGATAAATTCAAATTTGTCTGAAATATTTACCAACATTACAAACAATATAATGTTTATAATAATGTCTCGAAAGCTAAACATGATTTTATGTGCTAACCCCTTTCTTCTTTAACATTTAACTTGTCTTTCCTGCAACAAAAATTATTCATAATAAAATAATTCACAGGCAGTTAAAGTAATTTTAAGATTTTTTACTCACTGAGGCTTTGATTCATGTTCTAAGGCACTAATGTCATCATTTGTTGGTTCAAAGAAACCAACAACAAGGTCAGATTGTGAAATTTTATTTGCAAGCTTAATCAAGCTCTGAAAATACAAAAATAAAATGTCATTGGATGATTACAAATAGAGCAGAAAACAGCAGTTCTAATTTCTTGAGACAATGGAATATTTTATAGCAATAAGCAACATGTGAATAATAATGTATGAAGAGCTTTGTCTTTACACATAAAACTCACCTGACAATAATCATTGATTGGCTTCTTTCTTTTCTCTGCCACATCTCTAATGTTGCTTCTGCCAAAAATGATTTTCCCTATTAAAACAATATGTAATGTGAATTTCAATTTCTTCTGAAAGCCAGTCTGATTTATGATGGTTTAATTTGAGGTCATTTTAGATCTACCTGGTAAGAATGGAAGTGATCTAAGAGATGGATCTTTAACACCACTCTCTTCAGGAAATTGTTCGAAAAGTTTTGTCTAATATGATTATAACAAATTGAATAAAACCAAACAAAAAAGAAACGTTGCAGTAAAGGTAGAACAGCATACCTGTAAATCAAAGAAATGGCTATATCTTCTAAATATAACCACAACACTGCTGTCGGACCAAGTCACGTTAATAACATAAACCTAAAACAATTGAAATTTGGATTAAAGAATTACTTCATTATTATATTACCGGGGAATTATTTACTATGTTGAGTTATGGCGGCTATCTCAGTGAAACATCAAGTTGCCATGATTATATGAACATAAATTTATTATTTAATGTTTCTAAGTTAGTTTGACTATTTTCATGTTTAAAAGAAATTAAATAAATATAAACTGAACACATATTTTCTAATCCCTTCTCTTCGGTTTCCTATTCTCGTAAAGTTGAATTTACATCGCGATTTGAGTAAACTATATCAACGTATATGGGGAAATTATACAATTTACACATACATAATGCTTTGATGGTTTTCGTCTTTTTTGATAATCAACAACGACAGCATCTTTTACATATCTTCTACTCATCTCTTGATAATTTGATGTTGTAAGCTGATTATAGCTTTAACAAGTCAAACGACAACATCGTACCAAGTAAAATTTCTTCCTTTTCGTTCTTTTGACTCGAGAGCTTTTTGAGTGTGTGGTGTGTACAGACAAAATACTTCCGCTTTTTAAATAAGCAATTTGTCTTTACGAACAAAGTGGGGAGAATGCTTTGCATTAATGAATGCAAGAAAATGATATCAAAATAGCTGAATCGAAAACAAATTCTCTCGCATTGTGCTGTTTGTTTCCACTTTCCATTTCTAAACTTATTTAATCAGTAGTCATCCATGCCATGCTTGATGTTTGTAACTTTTAATGACTATTATAATATATAAATAAGTACTAAGTTTTCCTAAGAAGTCTTTATTTAACAATTTTTGTCTACTCTTCACATTCAACATTGAATAACTGTTGGCGTAACTAGCTTTTTTAAATAAATATTCCTTCTGTTTATTTACAGTAATTTATCTCACATGGCCATGGCTTATGTCAGGTTTGGGCATAGAAATTTTCCAAAAAAAAGTTCAGACATTGTCAAAGAATTTTTCATTCTACTTATTTAGTAGCATTGTTTGATTCTACTAGAAAATTAGGATTTTTAAGGGATTCTGATTAAGAAAGTTTCTGATCAAATTCCTTACTATACTCAATATCGACTGTATCATTAATCATTCCACGATTAACAAGACGAAAAAAAATTGTCATCTGTGGTCGTACTACAACCATCAAAGTCATATTGCTATTTTATTTCATTTTTTATATGTTTTAAAATTTTCCTACACACAAGTTATTCGCAAGGAGAAATTCAATTTCAAATGAAGGCAAACTAGACTTGAACAAACATGAACAGAAACTCTCGCCATAAAAGTTGAAATCAAACCGTCAGCTCTAACACCTTGAAGTGCTAAAGAAGAACTGATAGTGAACGGTCAAATATTACATTAATTATTTCAAGGGAACACTTTGTACAATGTTAATTAAACTAGTAGAAAAGCGCATCTGTCCTTTCAAAGAACAGCACAAGTTGATCAAAATCTCCTCACAAAATACATCTAAATCTTTCATTAATTGTTGAGGGTAAGTTATACGTATGAAAGACATTTTGGAATAAAATTTATTCTTTATATAGCAAAGTATCATTTAGACTTTAAAGAAGGAAAGATCTTCTCCAGATAAAAAAAAAAAAAAATAAGAAACGCAGGTGTTTCAATAAAATTGAATATTGATTTGATATATGAATGCAAACATCGTTTAAATATTACTTTGAGCGATCCTTGTTTCAAAGCAATAGATGTCTTAAGAAAAAAAAGAGATAAATTTCATGTTGCATGCGAATATTGAAGTTATTAACCAAACAAGGTATGTTTTACTGTATACTACAAATTTATAAAATGTAATTAAAGTTTTCCATATGCCCGCCATTATTTTGGGATATTAACATTGTCGTGTAATCTTCAGTAATTACAGCAATGGATATCAAAAATAGAAACATACGACTTATTTATTCCATAAACTAAGTTAGTCAGTTATCAAATTAAATAAGTTTCACAAGTTTTCTTTCTATCAAACATTTAATGTATGTTATGTTTCTTTCAAGTACGACAAAAGAAGACAAAGCATATGGGACGAGTTTGACAACAATTGTGTAATTAATTGCTTTATACAAGAATTTGAAGAAACGACCAAGTCTTGACATGTCAAAGAAACGCTTACAACCAACTCCTCAGACTCCTGACGAAATAATACCTTATCAAACTAATCTTCTTTGTAATAAGATTTCTGGTCTCTGTACGACTGACCAACGTGGTTTATTCCCACCAATAAAAGGGGATTTCATCTACAGAAAATGCTCTGTGCGAATGCAGAATGAATTACAAAAAGATCTGTGCAGCTTGAGTTCAAATTACACAGATGCAGACATCTTAAATGTTCTCTCGGTTTTTACAGAGAGAATTAATCCTCAAAATAGCTTTATTAAATCTGAAAGAAGAAATACACTTGGTTAGAAATGAAGTACTTCCCTTTATAATGTTTAATTGTAACTCTATCATTTTTCATAAAACATATAGATCAATTGTTAACGTTTTTTTTAAAGCCAACTGCTCTTTATGGAGGACGAGAATGGAAAAAGACAAAAAAATAGAAGATGTTCATATTTTGAAATCTCAAGAAGACTGGAGTGACGAAGACAATCGTTATCCACCACAAATGTCCCTAAGTCCTTCTCCTAGTACGGCTGTTTCTTCTTCTGGATTGTTATCGAATGAGATAAAACCCAAAACTCTCACTAGCCCTGATGGCATCAAAGTAAAAGAATTTGAGGTAAAATGTTCAACGTGCATATCAGAAGAAAACATTTTTTACATTATTCTCATATCTTAAATTCAACAACTTTCACATTGGCTTCCTCTTTGTACGGTTTCACTAGCGCCGCAAAAGTCCACTCAAAACACCGCTGGTAGATATTGCCAATCCAGTCGTGGTCGCTAACAAAACACAAAATCATTGCTCGAACAATAGTAAATTTAACAGTAACCTATTGTCTGCAACAAAGACGATGTCGCATCTTTCGCATGTCGGAAGGTTAAGGCATGGACAAGAAAAGACGTCAAAAAGATTGAGTGAAAAGTCAAGCACATTTACTGGGATTGAAGTGTCTTCACCCTCTTCAGTTTACACAATATTTAAAACCTCAGAAGACCATCGCTCATCTTTAAATATCAAAGTGCAAGAGAAAAAATCTCAATCAGAGAGGTAAAACAATGTTTGTGCCTTGTTTGTATTTCTACATAAATTGACAGTCTATACTTTTCAAAAGAAATTTAAAGGAAAAACGAAGGATATACAGATCCCAGTCAAGCAACACAACAACAGCAAAACTTTTCCTAACATCCCAGCAAATGGAAAGAAGCAAAAAAGGGAAAACAAGCTTTTCAGATTTCAGAAAATCAACAAGTAATGTAACAAAGTTTCATGTAACTTAACCTCAAGGCTTCATTGCTCATCTTATTGTCTTTAGGTATTTTTGGAAGATTGGTCATGAGAAACAGCTTAAGAAAAGGAAAAACGAACGATTCTGGTTAGTTTTATAACTGAAGAATGAGAGCATTCATGTTGTCTTCCTTATCCAGTTGACAGTCACATGCACTGTGAGTCGGTGACAATAATCAATTTCAGCAATTTTATTTATAGAGGAAAAACAAAACGACATGTTTGAGTTTGCACCGATTGACAGTTCAAGGAAAAGTTAAGGAATTTAACAATGTCAGACCCGCAAGTGCAATAATAATTATTTTAAGGACAATGAATACTATTATCTGTAAATAACTTATATGTTGTTCATTTTGTTTTAGCAAATTAATGTTGTAGAACATTCTCAATTTTGTCTTTGCTTACTTTAATTTTTGATAACTGTGTAGCCAATTGCTTAAGACTTTTGTCATCAAAATGGGAGAAAATATTTACATTTGTGAACACATTTCGACATCTTTTTCTCCAAAGACAACTGCAGAGAATTAAGATTACTTGCTTAAGACGTTTCTGAAACTTCTCAGGTCTCCAATGTTTTGGATGTGGGCGAGACTTGCACGCGAGAAGAACAACATTTTGAAGATGATAACGTAACAGATTCCACATCTCCCGAGATTGATAGACTCCACACAAAAGATCCAGGATGTACAAACAATGATGAGCGCACACAAAATTTGAACTGTTCAAAATTCCATTCTCCATATCGTTGAAGGTAATGCACCACAGAAATTGTTCGTCAGAGCACATTGGTATGGCAACCAAAGCTATTTTCTCAACATTTTTGTCAGACAAAAGAAAAGAACGAAATACATTTCGAATCTTATCGTCAAATCTGGTCATAGACTTTAGAGTTCGGTTGACGCAAATTGTTGGTAGTATATTAATGTAAAGTTTGTGAAAAATATTCAAATTGACAATGAGGGTAATGTGGTTGAACAAACATTTACAAGTTATCGTAATGTTCTCGTGTTCTTGCGACATTTCCCCAAGTGCTAGATGAATTGTTTCAACTAGAGACATTTGAAGCTTTTTTGTACTTAGATATCGTCCTTTGTTTGGTATTAAAATAATTGCATCATCCCAGCTCACCATCCCTGGTCTGTCAATAACGTGTATTTAAGATTGAATATCATTAATACTATGCACCATTCATAAAATTTACCTGCTGTTGTAACCATCGGATACTTTAATCATTACAGCTCCAGTTTTACCATCAACCTGAAAGCTACATTCCTCCGAGGGAAACTCCTTTAATGTACATAACAAGTTCACTTCATTGTACGAGGCCACTTCACAACGACAATCTTCTAATGATAATGGATCAAAATGGTATCTGACATCAAAATTTCCCATGGTTATAAAAAGGTCGTTGATGTATAACGCTGCTTTATTGAAATGTCGCTGCATCTTTGATTCACTGAGGCGTAAGGACGTATTGATAGAGTAAAAAAAGTCAAGATTTTTCTCCGAGGCATCCTTCCTGAAATCTTCCAAAAGCACGCAATTTTGTAAATGATTGTTTTGTTGATTCAGTTTACTTTGTAATAAAAAGAAATAAAATGTTTTGTAAAATCATCCCTTCGTCCCTTCGTCACTTATTTCTTTCATATCAAACTGATATAGGCAGGATTTGTGCTATATCATCGACTTGAAGAAAACCAAAATAAATTAATGATCATCAATAAAAAAACGCCATCTGTGATTACAACGATATCAGTTCTAAAACACCCAATTATACATTATTATCTTTTAATTCCATACCACATTTTAACAATCGTTTGTTTATGCGTTGTTACAGTCGATAAACAATTCCAATATTTTCACGAAGAGATATAGTTACGCATGCCGACAATTGTTACAATGTCATTTCAGTACGTCAAATATATAGCTCTCAAACAAATGTTTAGATCACAATAAATGCCCAACAATCATTGCAATTGTGGTATTCAACTTCGAAAACTGGATGCTACTTGTGTTTATTATTAACATGGTAAAAAATGGATTATTTTGAAGGGAAAAAAAGAAGAAAATAGTTACGTTTTAGATATTCATTAATAAATAAATATTTCAAATGATGGAGCTTAAAAACAATATTAGCATTACGAACATTAACTAAAACAGCATACATACAACAGTTTAAAAAATTTGTCGTAAAACCAGTTTTCATTTATCTTAATGATACCTGAGTACTTACTTCTTAAGTAAATTACGATAAGGAAGCAAAGCCTGTAAAGTACTGTAGGTCGCTGATGTTAATACTAAAATTATAGTATCACCAAAGTAACAAACACAATAGCGATGTCATAAATTTGTAATTATTTAGCGTCTCTTTATTCATGTAAATTCACTGAGAAGAGAGAAAAAGTCGCTTCTTACGAACAAATTCCAGTACATATTTAGAATAATAAGCATTTGGCATCGTAGACTAAATGACACCTCGCAGGACATAAATTGTTTCCTAATAGAGTACAGCAAAAAAAATTAAAGCGCTGTATGCCACGATAGCAAGTATTCATGGGAATTCCAAAAACAACAAACTCAATTTTTTCTATTCTATACTGTAAATTTTCTAATAGAGTAAAACTGTTGTCGATTTCAATGTAATTTAAACTCCACAAACTGACATACTCCGCAACAACACAAACTACAGGCTTAAATCAATATTCTTTATTCAGAGATGAAGGTAGTTTGTAATACAGAAATAGGTTGAAAGTTGTGGAAACACTTGATAAGATACGCTTGCTTTAAGAGAGTGACATTTAAAGTGACAAGAATGAATTGATTTTTACAACAAAAACTACCAAAAACTATCATTTCGTGACTCCATTACATAGAACACGCTATGTTTAAGAAAACGTCGTGTAAAATTATGTCACAATTACCTCTTCGTTCAACTCAACTCCCAACGCGTTAGCTTTTCTCGAAATTTATGCATTGCATGCTCAACATCTTTCATTGAAACCTTTAATGATTTTTCATCAAAGTTTGACAGCATATTTGCCCCTGATAAATGATTCACGAATATTCCCTCTCGCAAACATGACTTCAGTGACGTTAAAGTACCTGTCAGACGCTTTATGAACTTCGTTGGTGTCCAGTCTTTTGCTTCAGGAAGCTTCGTAAACTCTTGAATGACAGCTGTTCGCAAATGCCATTCAGTTAGCGATTGTAAGCCAAATCGTGGAGACTTGCACGAGACAAGTAGATGACGTAATGCGTGTAAGCACACGCGACCGCATGTAAACTGTTCAGCGTTCATCACTGTTTTTTCAATTGTTCCGTAACAAATGTTCCACGATTCGTCATGAAAGTTAACGCTTGGTTGTGCAATTGCGTGCAGAGTTTGCAAGTGAGGATCTTGGCCAGCAAGACTGCTGATAAGATCAAGTGTAGAGCCAGTTCCACTGGTGGAGTATGCATTGATTTTAACCGCAGGAATTAAAGTAACGGAAAAATAACCCGTTTCGGGGATATCAATGTATATACGAGCTTGATTATCGGATACCCGGTACACCAGACCAACACTACGGTGTTTGTTCCATACATCACGAACTGCTTGTCCCAGGGCAGTTGTAAAATTATCAAGTAATTTTCTCGTGTTTAAATAGTTCTCCTCAGATCTTGAAGCGTTGGTATACATGTCTTTCCACGATGTTTCACTGCTTCTGCAAAGGTTAGGTTGAATGTTAGGTTAAAAAAGTTATGAAAGAAGATATTTTTGTAAATTATTTTTAACTAAGTTCACAATACCTTAGTATCATACATTTATAAAAAATACGTAGAAATTAATACCATACCTTTCATCATCATTTTCCAGCATTCTTATTTGAGCTTCACCATTTTCTATATCACCGACAATTTTATAACAATTGTTAGGAAAATTCTTCAATTCACACACCAGTTTGATTTCGCTGCTAGAGATAATCTCACAGCGATTATCCTCAAATGGTATTGGATCAAAATCAAATCTTTTGTCATATTTGGCAAGAGCACAAAAAACTTCGTCAACATAGGTTGCCACATTCTGGTAACGATTCTTCGATATCCTTAAATCCTTTCGATAACTCTTGTAAACAATTTCATAAATTTCTTCATCTGTTACCTTTAATTCCGTAGAATGACCAGACCTACGGCGAGAATTTGAATAATATGTTAAAACGTAATGCCAAGAGTTATGGCGTCAATAAACGTCATGTTATTGTGGTCTTCGAGATCAAAAATTAAAATAATACACATACCTATAATACAATATCAAAATAAACGCAAAAAGTTAATTTTCATTTACCGTTAAATAACATGCACAACTAAGCCGACAATGGTTAAAAAAAGACTCAAACAGTCTCTATAGGATCCACTGCAATTATCTTCATCGTTAACATTTACAATTTACAATTTGAAAAAAAACTCATCGACGTCAAGAATGTGAGGCGATAAAATACATTTTCTGTATAGCGTGATGCTCAATTTAAATTAATCAACTATTTATAAGTCATTACTAGAAAAAATCACTCACCAAAATTGACGTAAAGATATCTGCTTCCTGATTCTCATTGTTCAATCAAACGTACGTTGAAAAAATGTTATGTCAAACTGTTGAACGTCTCTTTATAAGTTATCACTTTATCCAAGATTCATACATGCATGTACAAATATGGCTAGAATACAACTATATGTTCAATCCACAAGGTATTAGTTTGTCTAACAAGAATGCAAATAAGGACTAAAGTTTTTGTATGATCATAAACATCACACAACCCACATATATCGTCTAGAAAGACTTCCTGTCAAAATCATTGTAGCATAAATTGTTTAAGTTCATTATCCCTAAAATCATAAAGATAAAAATTGCAAAAAAATAAACAGCGCGTATATTCCACAGATAAAGGGTTTTCCTTCATCCATACATTAACAAACTTTATCGATCTATCTTGAGTAATTAACGTCAAATGCTCTTATGAAAGCAATTAATGTAATTGTTTCTCAAAATGCCTACGCAAAAATATTTACACGACGAATGCTATACGATTTTCTAACTATTTCAACGTGTATGTCTGTTTACTTACAATTTACAAGCCCAGGTCAGTACACTACAACTTTAGCCAAACCAAATTTTCATTATCAAACATAAAACAAACAGGCATCATTCAGTGAAGCCTGAATTTTACTTAAATGTAGGAGAATCTTCACTGTAGAGTTTAAATAAATGTATCATGGTAGTAGTGTTTACTAGCCTCGAGTGAGATGAAATTTATTTAATGAAATCATTATTATTGGCATGAATGCATTTTCTTCGCCATAATGGGAGCCAACATTACTAACAAGTTTATGTGTCAGCAGTACTAAAGATATTTTATGCGCGCGCACTGGAAGTGCTCATGTCACCTCTTCTTCCCTGTTCTAGTAAAAAATTTTGAAAAAATGATGCAGGTTTGTGTAATACGATTGTATTTATAGGTATTTCTTCTTTCTCAAGCGTAAATTACAATTGTTTCTCTTCAATTTTAGTCTTATCAAGGTGCATCTAAAGTTCTGTAAGTGATCGCTTGTTCTAACAACGTGTGCGAGTAACTCATATACAAACGTTTCTTTGAGTTGAATTTGAATTTTTTTATTTGCAGGTATGTTGGTAACTTGGACAGGCGCTGCACGGAAGAGTTTTTAAAACAAGTGTTTGGTAAAATAGCTCCGGTCGAAAGATGTAAAATGATCTATGATGTGAGTTGATATATATTTAAAATAATCAGTTCACACGAGTGCGGCGAGGAAATTTTCTTACAGGCGTGACGATTTTATAACAATTTTCTTTGAGAAGTAAACGCTTTATACTTTCATATTTCATTGTAAAAATGGAAGTAAAGCCACCAGGAGTTGATATTTTTATGTACACCTTCAAAAAAGATAGTTTCCGTTGCATAAAGCCAACTTTATTTAACGACCAAAATACCACATAATTAAAACTCCCTTCGCGTTGTTCATCATTCATCTCTCTGCTTCATACACATCTTTCTGAATTTTATTTTCTCTTTGTGTTGATGTCAAGGGATGTAATTTTATACGAAGGTGGGTTATTGGTGTGTTTGTTAGTGAAAAATAACAGTTGAAAATAACAATTGTACACCTTCTGTCGCGCAAATTTTCCCAATGACATAACAAGTCCAATTGCGTATTAAATTTGTCTGTTATTGATGAATGAAAAGTGACAGTTTTTATAGCAAAGCTGTTTTTGTAATAGAGATACTAATGCATATTAATGATTATTTGAAGCTGTCAGTAAAAAATAATTTTTACTTCACTATCATACATCATTGAGGATTTTCTCACTAGGTGCTACTTGTATGGTAAAAACAGACATAAACTATCAATAGACTACAGTGTTTAAACTATTGCTCGTATGCAATTATAGGTACATTAAATTTAGATTTCCTCAGAAGAAACTTTGTGAAGTTTTATTTTGAAAATTTATGGCAACCCAGATAGAAAGTTTGTGGTGTTTTGTTCAAACTAATTATTGTTGATAACTTGATAGCACACTGGAAGTGATCCGTATTGTTTTGTTGAGTTTGAAGATCATGACTCAGCGAGAACTGCTCTAGAAACCATGAATGGTCGACGTGTCTTTGATCAGGTTCATATATTAATTTCATGAATAACAAACTCTGTGTTTTTGTATTTTATATTATTTAATATGAGTAATGCAATGAAATGACATAAATAACTGCCCAAGTGTCTTGTTTATTTTAAATCAATGTCTGCCACCTTTTGAAATATTGATTTTATTTACTTTGGTCACCATATATGTTGTTTTATATCATTTAAAAGGACATAAAGGTGAATTGGGCGACAAGTAACACTGGAATGAGAAAAGATACAAGTAGTAAGCATACATTTCATTTATAAAGTATTTTTCTTTTGAATTACCGTACAACACGACAATTCAATATATTTCTATGTATTTTTTATGAATAAAGGTCACTTCCATATTTTTGTTGGAGATCTACCTGACCAAATGACAACTGATCTTTTAAAGAGCTCCTTTGAAAAATTTGGAAAGATATCGTAAGTATTACAAAAATAGATATGATTAATGCTTATGTTCGTATTTAATTGTTTACTATGATCATATTAAATATAAGCATTAAACAAAATCTTTTTCATTTAGCAGTGTTCAATTTACTTACCTTACCAAGTTAAGATCAAAGTGTATCATTTTTAGAACAAAAATTTGCCTTGGAAATTAAGAGATTTTCCACTAGACATCTTAAAGTTCGGCTATATTTTTCTTGTCAGGATTCTTCATACCTTGAAACGGATTCGTTAGATAAAGACTAAGGTTTGGCCTTAGCTTGTTTTATCCTTTCTTTTTTACACAAAAATTTTTCTATCCCCATTGTAAATTCCTTGAAAATATTTTTTGTACCATGTCTTCAATGATATGTGTATAAGTCATTCCAATTTATCAATTTCTAAATCATAAAATTACATGTAGATGGTAAGTTTTAGGTCCAAATTGTCCTGTTTACAAAATTCTTCGTTCATCTGTAGTTCATATTGCATCATCTGCATAAGAATAATAACTCATTCTGTTACAGAAAAATGGTTTGTACTTTTTCCCATCCTTGTCATGTACATTCAAAAATGTTTGCAAAAAGCAAGCTTGTGTGTATGTTTAATATGTTTGGTTTATTGGTCTTGGCCAATAATGTTCGTGTTCAAGGCTTGTTCTGATAATGAAAGAATTATTTTTAAATATTTTTCATGATCTTTAATGACGATTAAAATTGAAGAAATATCAAATGTACAAAATTTTTATTTTGTGAAATTAAAACGTATTTGTCTTCTACAGAGATGCTCGAGTTGTGGTGGATGCATCAACAGGAATGTCCAAAGGATATGGTTTTGTTTCATTTTATAATAAAATTGTAAGTCTTGTTTTTAATATTTGGCTCATTCTTGGTAATCCTTTTCAAAGTTTTGTGTAGCCGAAATTCATGATTTTATGCCTTTATAAATATAGATTAACTTCCTTTTTTAGAATGCAGAAAATGCTATCAAAGATATGAATGGTAGGTACATTGCTTGTTTTTTAGAAATATTTTAATTATTTAGTTGTGTTCTAGCTAAGCACTGGATTGATTCTTTGATAAACTCTGTATAGGTAAAACATTAAATGGTAAACAGATTCGTACCAACTGGGCATCTAGAAAACCCCAACCACCACAAGGTAGCGGTATGTGCAGATTGTCAGGCATGGCATCATTCTAGTCTTCTATACATGAATGATTGGTTACATCCATCTTTTCATGACATCATAGAAATTTAAACAATTTTGCCAATCTGTTTTGGCATTCCTGTGTAGTATTAATGATAAGTTTTGATGCTTGATCATATTTTCTTTATTTTGCATAATTTTCAGTAAAAAAACTTGACATGAATGAAGTAGTGAACAAAACCAGTGTTTACAATAAAACTGTCTATGTTGGAAATCTCCCTGATCAAACTTCATGTAAGTCTTGTCCTAATGATGTGTGCATACAATTGGGGGGAGTGTTGTGTGAAAACATAGTGTTTCCCTTATATAGCGGAAAGACTTTCCAATGTATTTAAAGGCTATGGAACTATAATGAATATACGAGTATTAGCTGATAAGGGATATGCTTTCATAACGTATGTACTTGACAAAAACAAATGTGGATAATTTATATGTAACATGTGATGTATTTACTAATTAAAGTGTTGATTAATCTGTTTTTCAGTTTTGATGATCATTATCGTGCAGCAGAAGCTATATGTGGTATGCATGGAGAAAATCTTGATGGGAATGTGTTAAAGGTACTGTGCATGTGTGACAATTTGATAAAGATTACTGTAAAATAAATGTTTGAGAATTTCTCATAGCTTTAAAAGTCATACTCCTAAATTTCATTTGTGTATCAAACTATTGGTAAATGAAACCTACGTATGTTGTCTTATAGTGTTCATGGGGCAAAGAACAAGATGGTCAAAACAGTAATATGCATTCATACTTCCAACAACAACAGCAACAACAGCAATATTACTACGGACCTTATTATCAACAACAACAGCAACAACATACACAGCAACAGATGGGAGGACCATTCATGCATATGCAAACACAACCTGGATATTATTATCCAAATCCTTATGGGTATGTATGTCATTGACATTATATATACTATACATGTAATGTCATCTCATCTTTGTATATAATAAAAATTTTAGACACATGATGCAAATGGCTCATGGATACCCACATTCAGGTACATGTGAGAAATTTTACAACACTCCTCTTGGCTGTCCCAATTTACCTTAAATTGTCTGCAAAATGCTGATAATGTTTAAAGATTCGCCATACCAGCACTAAGTTGTGCAAAGTGTGACAAATATTTTCTATTGCTTTCAGCATGACAAGTATTTTCTATTGCTTTCTGCTAACAAAGTTGTCAAATTTTCATGTTTGTAGGTCCACATATGGGTGGCCAAGGTGGACCTGGGAATGGACAACAAGGTCCTAATGGGTTACATAATGCCGGCCCCCAAGGTGGTGGCATGGGATATTGAGTGTGGAGGCCTGCAGGTTTCAGGCATAAGTCCATTCTCTTGCATAGGAAATATGAACAAAAGAAAATACTTTTGAAAGAAAGAAAAAAAATGTTGTCGAAAATGTCTTTTCACCTTATCCTGAATGGATGGGCTGCACATCATGTCGTAGGATTGTCAAGTATTTGCATGAAAAAGATATTTGTAAAGATGAAAAATGCTGTACAAAGTTCCCTGTAAACATTGTCTCTGTCATTGTTTTGTGCAACATAGAGTTAATTGTCAAATAAATATGTCGGGTCTTGTCATCATATTGTTTAATTTCTGCAAAAAGCTTGGCACCTAAATTGACCGAGACTTTTTGTTTCAAGTTATTCAATTTTAAAGGTTAAAAAGTGTATATGTTATGGTTTACATATGTTGTTTCATACATTTTATACAACTAAACTCTGGGCCTCTTTAAGGATCTATAGTGAAATTCTGTTATTGCATGCAATTGAAATATACAGGGTGTATGAGAAAAACCATCAGAAATTAACCTTTTGTTAACTTCTAATGCCTGATCACTATGCTTATCCCACAGGGCATTACAATACTTTTTTGCCGTTAAAAGTTATGTTAAATTCCTAGGAGCAGAAAAGCTCCTGTTGCTGACAATACTTTATGAGCTTAACATAGTGGCAGACAATGTTAGATGAAGTCATAAATCTGCTGGGGAGGAAAAATTTGTCATGGCAAAGAGCCAGAATGACATTGGGGACCACAGTTTATATGCTGAAAAAGGATATGATTGCACTATCCTAAATGTTCAATACAGCAAATAAATTATCAAAATACACTTTACCAACATACACATGCAAGAGCAACAGCTTTTCATGTTGACTCTTCTCCATTATAAATGTTGTTCAACTTTTGTTTTCAATACATTTTGCAATTGTAGTCAGTTGAATATTTGAGGTACCTTCATAAATTGAGCCTAAAATAATGACTGTAGAAGAAATGTATATTCAACTACATAAACACATGTTTCATTCAATAGCTTACCAATTTTAGCATCTCTGTAGTATTTTTCTATAGGATACGCCTTTGTAAAACCAACACCACCCATCCATTCCATGCATTTTGATGTTGTTATGCTTGCAACCTGAAATGTATTGTTAAACATTTTGTATATGTGATTATTTTTCTCAGTTTTTAATACAATTTCTCAATATTCTACACTCATTTATATCCATAAGAATAGGACATTAATATTAACCTCAGATGCATAGAACTTTGCCATTGCACCTTCTTTGACTACAGGTAGACCAGCTTCTTGTCGTCTGGCAGCATTATAAACCAACATTCTTGCAGCTTCAATCTGTGTGGCAACGGTTGCAATTTGATGTTTCATTGACTGTAATAGAGAATGTAAAAAGGACTTTCATTTCATTTCAAGACATGACAATGATGCCCTATCTTAACCAATCCATTGTTCTTGCCTGAAAATCCCATATTTTCTTTCCAAACTGCTTTCTTTCTAGGACATACTGTAAAGTATGGTCAAAGCAACCTTGAGCAACACCAACCATCTAAATAATGTAAGCATACATTGGTGACCACTATCAAAGATTTCATCTAAATCATTGCTCACCTGGGCACCAATTCCTATACGACCTTCATTGAGTACCTCAATGCTATATTTGTAACCTTGCCCTAACTCTCCCAGTACATTTTTCTTTGGAATCTTTAATAAATGCAGTTGATTATCCAACTAAACTTTGCTTTTAAACCTTACTGTAAACATTTGTTGTTTTTCAGAGAAAATGGTTCTTGAACTCTTTCTGTGCAATGTACCTTCATGTCATCAAAATTTAATGTGCATGTTGAAGATGCTCTGATACCAAGCTAAAATATATTTGATAACTTTACTTTAGATCCTCAACAATATAAATGGAAGAACAATTACCTTATCTTCTTTAGGACCTATATGTAAGCCTTCTGTATCACGAGGCACAATGAAACATGTGATTCCACGATAACCCTTGAATTAACAACACATTTAATTAAATATTTCAGAATCATTCAATATGTAATGTGATCAAACAACCTTTTCAGGTGCAGCATTGGCAAACAACAAGAACAGTCCAGCCTCAGAAGAATTTGATATCCAACATTTACTGCCATTGATGACAAAATAGTCTCCTTTCTTTTCAGCTATGGTTTTCAATGCAAATGCATCACTACCAGACTCTGGTTCTGACAAGCAAAATGATGAAAGCTAGAGGCAAGACACAACAAATGTTTATTGAACTGTTTAGTTAAGTTTGAATCCAAGATATATTTTAAAATTATCATATGCAATGACAAGAACTCAACTGTTGATGTTGCCAACATTGGCAAATATAAATTTCTTTGCTCTTCTGTGCCATACTGCCTTATTAGACGATTGTTTAAAGTGTTTTGGATGTCACAAGGTAATGCAATGGCAGCATCAACTTTGGCAAGTTCTTCTATAACTAAGATTGAACTGAAGAATGTAGAATTTGAACCACCATATTCTGATTCAATCTCAATACCCATTAACTGTAAAGAAGCAGAAGTTAACAAACATAGCATGCATAACATCAGTCTAATCACAACTTTTACCAACCCCATGGTCAAACATAGATTGAAGAAGATTCTTGTCCATTTTACTGCTTTTATCCATTTCATCAACTAAAGGTGATATTTGCTCTGAAGCAAACTTTGCCACTGCAAACATTATAAAAATAATTAAAAGACACCTCCAGAATTTTTTTTAAAGCTGTGTAAAATTGTACCCATGTCTCTCATCATTTCCTCTTCTTCTGAAAATGTAGTCAGTGGTGAAAATTTTGTTTCTGAGCTATCAAATGAATTAACATCTGAACTGATGCTGGACAAGCCATCACTTTTATGCCTCATTAAGGAAAATACTAGTCTAGTGAATGGAGCCTTGGGTGAAAGAAGACAAATCAATTAGTTACCGTGGAAAAGAATAAAAGAATAACTAAACCATGAACTTTCATCATGAATTAAACAGTGGATAAGTCAAACCTTCCACCCAAAAAATAAATAACAATAAATGACAAATTCACAATTGATGAATGATATGTTTGTAGATTATAGTTGATAAGTTGATGTTAGGGTTTGGTGGTGGTGGTAATGGTGGCTACAGTGGTGGTGATGGTGGCAGTGGTGGTATGTGTGGTGGTAGGTGTGGTGGTGGTGGTGGTATAAAAGTGGTAATGAATGTTTTGTGAAAAAATTATTGAAAGATTTTTCTTTAAAAATTTTAATTTTCCTTTATAAAACTGTGACTTGCCTGTTCTTACAAATAAACAGGAATTTTCAAAATCAATTGGTAAAAGATCATTGGATAAAATAGTTGTTATTATATCTTAAAGTATGTAAATGACAAAAGGACAGCTACAATACCTTTCTTAATAATTTAGTCCACATCATGATGCCAATAATGAAAAAATTCTTGATTTTGATAAGACGTACGTTAAATAGATTACTTGTTTTCAAAATTTATCATATTGTTTTATTCAACACTTTCTATAACGTTTGATTGTTATTGTGCTATGAAAGTTCAAAAGAATTACATAATGCTGACTTGGAGGTTTGTTATCAATGTTTGTACAATAACACGTGACTAAATTTGACAAATAGCCAATGTTACACGTGACAATATTAGACCAATTACAACCATTTTAAAATTTTAAATCGTGCCATAACCAAAACGATCCCCATTTTATTAAACGTCATTTTGGCGGAGGCGAAGTCGATGAGATCATCAATGTAGTTTAAAACAAAATTTCTATAAATAACTTGCTGATTATATCTTGCTAACAGGAAACAGACATTATATCGAGTTAAACTGGCTTAATAAATCATTTTTTTAATTCACGAACGCAGAAAAGACTTCGACATTCCTCTTACAGTTACATGGCAGAATTGGCATGGCGAAACTTTTCGTCTAACGACGTCGGTTTTTTACCAACATTTTTGTCAATTTACACCTCGAATGGTTAGCTTCTCGTTTATACCATCAAACAGGATTATTTTTTGATGCTGTGGAAAAAGTTGTTCACGAATTCAAACTCCCAAAAGCTGTTGAGAACTATTTCATTGGCATTGCGGACTTTTCGTTGCACGAGGTAGATTTTTTACCAAAGTTTTTGCAAATTGCTTGTTTATCAAACATTTATACCTTCATACTTGATTATGTTTTTCAAGCTGTTGGGAAAATCGTTCAAGAACTCTAAAAAAGCAAGGAAGACCGCTGAAGTGATACGGCTTTGTCGAACTTTACGTTGTATAGGGTAAGCTTGTTTTTTCCTAATATTCTTTAAATCGTTTGTGCAAACTCCGGTTTTTCAGCTCCGGCTCCGGTCTTTTGTTAAATCTGAATTCCAGCCGCATCTAGTGAAATGTTTCTGATATTCGTCTAGACAGTCTGAAAATCGTTTCAACATTTCTGAATTTTACCTGGAAATGGTAAAGTTTGCAGCGGGCCTTTACAAAAATTTTTGTTTGTTTCAACGAAGCGTTTTCATAGTTTTATTCCAAAATAGTATAAGAATCACTATAATGAAATGAAGAAAATTTTAACTTCCTTCTTCCTTCTCGCCTTCAAAAATCCCTTACGTTTCTTCTTGTCCTCGCTTGCAGACGTGTTGTATTTCTACAATCGTCGCAAGTACAGGAACTCCTCTCGCAAAAATGATTTTTTGCACTTACAATTGTTTTGTGGTTCCGACAGGTGGGACTCCTTCCTCTTCGTTTCATTTCGAAATAAAAAATATGTCCAAAACCATTCTGAGTAAGGTACAATACTTCTGGTCCATGTTGAAGATGATGTTGAAAATCTACCACGTTGCAGACTTTACGTTGGTTTTGACACAGTGTTTTTCGAGTTTTCCTTTTGCCACTCGGTAAGCAATCATAAGTTTAGGCAAACCAGGGTTTGATGGATCATTTTTCAAAGGTGGTGGTGCTGCTTTCATCTCTGCTGCTCTTAGTGTATAATGAACTACGAGAACTTTTGCCAAGTATATTTTAGGAGATGACCATTGCTACTTATGGAGTATATCATAGGGTAGGAAGTGTTATTCATAAAATATATTCCATGACCAAAAAGAACTCCTCAGAAAAGCAAATTTATTAGTTTCTTGCATATATAAATATATTTTTTTTACAAGAGTAAACGAAGGTATAGGACACTGTTTTTCATCAAATTCAGTGTATTCTTGGGTGACCTGGCATTCACTCTCACCATCATCATCATCATCATCATCATCAGCCTGTCACGCCACTGCTGGTGGATGGCCTCCACATCTTTCTCCACTCTTCATGGTCTTGGGCTCTCTGGATCCACATGCTGCCTGCTCTCTGCTCGATGTCATCTCTCCATCTCCTTTTTGGTCTTCCCTTGCCTCTTTTCTTGTCCCATGGGGTCCAGTTGTTTTCTTTGCCCATTCATGGTTTTTCATTCGGGCTAGATGTCCTGCCCACTTTCCATTGGCTTCAATTCCTTCACCTTTGTTCTTGATCTCAGGTCTTCATTCCGGATCGAAGACTCTCACAATAATGAGAGTTTTTTTTTTCTCACCATCAAGGACAAAAAATCTTCTCTTTGATAATGCTCTATGAGTATCATTACCAGTGTCTTCATGTAAAATGTTCCCTCTTTGACATTGTGGAAACTTACATGGCCTGTAAGGATGATTATTGTAAAAATTATGTGTCAGAATTATGTAGACAATGTTATCTCCAACCTGCAGCAATTGAATAACCAAAAAAAGTCTGGTTCATTCAGATCTGCACTTTGATAAAAAGCTGTATTATTTTCTGCATCCAGTTCATCTTTCTCTAGATAGATTTTTGAGATATTGGCCACATGATCTTTTTCTGAATGGGTCTGTCTGATCCAAAACTAAAGTTTCCCAACCTCTTGTTGAGCTCGTGCAACAATTTGCACTTATCCTGGCATTTCCCCTGCACACCTGAATAAAAACAGGTTTGGCTTTCCTTTTAAGCCTTAAGTTGCAGTTTTTTTCTTTAAAAAATTTGTGATCTCTTTAATCGTCACATATCTTCCATTGTTCCACAAATTCTAGCCATTTTCCCATGAGACATTATGCTACACACAAAACAATTTCATTTCTCTTCCATGTTAATTTTGCCATACCTTCAACAACATTGTAAAGTATGACCTGTCAAATTTACATGTTTTTCAACCATAAATCCCAGTGTTTCCCAAACTTTTTCACGATTATCTTCATCAACATTCGACCCCTTTCTCTCTTTTAATTGCAAACCATCTCTTGTTGATTTGCAAGAAAATTTTGAATGTTAATTATGAGTGCGAACCCTTGAGGTGGACTATCCATGGGATAACATGATTTTGGATCTCTTCCTGATAGAGAGGATGGCACATCTATAAGCAAAAATCTTTAGAAATATTACAAAGATAAACGCAAATAAAATGAAAATTAGTTATTCCACTTTATCAGCATTTTATTAATGCATTTTACCAATCCTAGCAATAAAAACTTTTAGCAACATAGATGGTTGCCCAACATGCCTAAAACAAGATAAACAACATGGCATTTGGCTTACAATGAATTGAACTTTGAGTTGAATCAAAATTTGACCTTTGATACTTTTCCCAACATTTAGGTAGGGATAACATCTTATGTCATCTGAAGTTATTTTGCCAATAGTACCATGCTGAAGGACTTGCCACTTTGCTCAAAATGTGGCTATTTGTTCACACAGTATTAGTTGAAATTCCTCTTTATAACTGGAATATTCAATCCGAACTTCATTGCATTAATTTTATCTAATAATACTTGGTCTGCTACAGCTTTTGAAAAACCTCGATAAAATGATATACTTGATAAAGACACCATATTGCTGGATATTGGGCTAGCATGGCTGGTCCCTGACATAGGCAAACTACCAGGACCATGAATAAAAATCACCTTTCCTTTGGAAAGGGTGTCCTCCTATACAATTATTGTATATTCATGCATTCACGTAATTTCCGGGGTTGATTGACAAAATCTTTGTTAAAACATCCTATCTTGTACACAGTAGTGAAACCAGCCCGTTTTTTACTCCTGCAATGCAAATTTTGTGTTTAATCCATAGAAAAACAATGAATTGATTTGATTTTCTAAAAAAATAACAGTTTTGCCGGAAAAAAAAATTGTAATGTAAGACAGCAGCAGTAATAAGAGACGTTTTGCTCCTACGCTCGCAGTAAGCGGTTGCACTTTTAAGTAACTAATATTCTATACGCGTGGGAATTTGACTGAGTTTGAAAGGCTCTTGAAAGTATTCTTAAGGCTCTTTATGACTCTTGAAGTATTTTTTCGTCTTGTAATTAAAAAGAGTGCTTCTATGCTAATTAATCATCAATATTTGTTAATTCCTTTCCAAGATTATATTTGTAATCTTCATAAATGAATTGTCATTAAACAGGGCATCCTCTCGATTAGACTACTACTATAGGATGCCCTGTTAAACTTATTATCATTATTATTATAATAATTATTATTATTTTCGTAAATACCAGTGCAAAAATACGAAACACCGTTGCAAAAAAGCGAAACAGCAGGCGGCAACGTTATATTGTGAACAAAGCAATTACAATTGCTGGCGTAAGTTTTAAGTTTATTTTCTGTTTATGTCGATAACAACCGGCTAAAATACACGTACGATGAAGTTGAAAATCAACAGAATTGAGAAATTTTTTTGCTATATTATTAATAAGTAATAGTTTCTCGTGCAATTTTGATAGTCTTTGAAAAACTCACTCGTGCACGTTTTTCCCAAATTGTACTCGAAACCATGCTATTACATATTTAATAACTATGATGTTTTCACATGCTTGAGAAAAAACATGCAAATTTCTAGCGTTTCATTGCAACGCATTCAAAAGCGACAACTTTATTCATTATTCTATCGAATTATCTATCATTGATTATTTGTTCATTGAAATTGCAACAATTTTATATTCTCTCATCACTGGTGTTTCCATTCTTATTCTGTCAACTTTTCATCGTAAGAATGTTTTCAATATTTAAATTTGTACTAATGGGTGATTTGATGAGCTCATTTTTTGCATGCCAAAGTGACACTTTGGTTTGGTACCTTTCCCAAAGCATCTGAACCTGACCGTCAAATGCAATGAAAAATGTATAAGTTGTCGTGATTGCAGCATTGAATATGACATTAAGTTGAACTGTCCGAACTTTTTTACGAAAGTCTGTCATTTGTGAAATATTTAACATATTTTTGAAATGCCAGATCATATTACAAAATGTTCAGTATTCTTTTTGAAGCCCATTCATAAATCAAGAAATTTTTGTTGGTATTAGTTAAACAATACTCGTTAGTTTTTTTCAGTTTTCATAATAAATTGTTTGTAATAGATCGATTTAAAAGTGGAAGGATGTTGACTCAACTGTCTCATCCTCATCTTTAATAGTTAGTCACCTATTTATTATGCACAAACGTCTAAACTCAATATTGGCAAACATTTAATCTGTCAACGGCTTATTTTCCTTGGGAAATTATCAAAACAACGCAAAGAAGGGTACGTCAAATCACACATTGCTCTTTAATACAAGTCAACAAAGAATTTCACAGAGAAGAAAAAATTTCATTGATATTTAGTAATGAGCGATCTTTCAAAAATATTGGCTTTGTAACGAATAGAACAGCTGAGCCGCTCGTGAGTTGAACAGGGCCAACAAGAATTTAATCATTAAATTTTCTTTGAACTATTTTGAAACAATAGTATATAAAGAGAGATCGTTTCGTCACTCATGCATCGAATGTTGTGAATGATGTTGTAACAAACTGTGGTTAAGAGAGCGAAAATCGATCTACAATGAATTGAAGTGATTTTAAAATCATCACAAAGTACAAAACCTTTTGTTTGCTGTTTTGTCTCGGGAAGGATTTTTCAAATAATGGAAATGTGATGGCAAAGAAATATGAGTTCCTGTCACGAAATCAAAGTACTTCGTATTTTCACAAAACGAGACAGTCGTTTTGGTTTTACTTTGGTTGGTCAATATCCTTGTACACTTGACAAAATCCAACATGGCAGTCCGGCTGAGAAAGCTGGCATCAAATCAGGAGATGAATTACTTGAAGCTAACGGAGTGAATGTGGAAGATCTTCAACATAATTGTGTGGCATCTTTCATTACACCAAATGTTGATGGCATCACTGAGTTACGTATTCGCAGAGCGTTGAAAGCTAACGTAATGACAAACAATCTAAATGAAGTGGAGTCAAAAGAAATGCTTTCAAGAAATAAGAATGATGTGTCGCATGCTGTTAATATAGTTGTGGCAAGCTTAGAGCCACAGGACATTTTCCCTTCCAAAGAAAAAGATCTTAACCTGTCGACATCATATAGTAATGATCTAGCTTGTGATGAACAGTTAAAAACCAACTTTGCACCAGTCAACTTGAAAGTGAGTTTTTCTGATATTTCAACGCTCAACGGGTTTAATTTAAAATCGCCATCACAATATGAAAATGACACTTGTGTAACATCACAAATTTTTGTTGGCTATCTGGGCTCAATAAATCGGCCTCTTATATCAGCTTCTTCATTGGGTCTTGTCACGCATTTGCGTATCAAACAGAAATCAGCTGTTTGGGTAAGTCTTGAGCTTAGCTCGGACACGATTTATATCAGAAATACGAGTAATCAAATCATGATGATGAGCCCACTAAAATCTTTGGTTTACTTTGGCTTTTCTCGCGAAAACAAACAAATCTTAGCCCTCTTAACAGCGAACGTTGATTTGATTGACTCACACGCAGGGATGAACAATCATGTTTCAATTATTGATGATTGCAACTTAAATTGTTCTTGTCACGTGTTGCTCATCAATTCCAACTACAATAAACCCATCAAGCATTCTATGGTGAAAGATTATTTTCAGCTGCAGTGTCACCCTTCGGCCGGAAGCTGTCGTCGATATTTTCCTACCACAAATAAAACGGTTATAAGTACGTTCTATAATTATCTACGACGCTTAACTACCACTGGACTCATTGATGAGAATGAATTGGATCATCCTGATTTCAATGGTTATGGTAGTGAAGTCGATATACTGCGTGATTTAGGGGTTATTATCCCGCAAGAATTAGTTAATACTGATCATTTTTCAGCGTCGAATAGTGACGAAACACAGCATGAGTTTGGTGAAGACGATCAAGTTCTGTGCCTCTATTTAAGATCTTTGTACAAAAATATTAGCATGAAAGAACAAGGAAAGAAACTTGCTGGTAACAGAGAGTACAACATCAAGATTTTTCAAGACGGTAAACCAACTTGTACTCAGGAATCTAGTGGTGGGGTTACCTTAACATCACATCATATTATTCACATTGCAACACCGAAGAAAGGTGACACTTCCATGGCTGACGAAAGGGATTTTCGACCATCAAATAACGAAGTTAAAGCTGGAAGAACCGGTCATAAAACACAAGTTTATCAACAGCGTTCTCATTCGCTTGCAAGTAACGTGAGAACAGTTATAGATGCTCACGCTGCTGCGGTTACAGCGATTGCCAAAGCTCAAACTTTTGAGGTATGTTGACGATGTAATAATTTCTCATATGAACCATGGCATGATTTTTGTATTTCATATATTTTCGATGAAGAATAATTTCACGTTTAACAGTAGCGTATTGTGCGTAAATTTTCCACGTATTACATTGTCCATCATCGTTCATTGTTACTCTTTTCAGTTCAGTTGCTTATTTAATATAAATTTATAGTAAATACAATAATTGGTTAATTATCATAGATTAGGTCATTATAATTATGTTATAATTTGTTTTATTTTATCACAATGCCACGTTCACTACTACTCATAAAATTTGTTCCTGCTCTTGAGCCAATTGATTAATGTCTTATTCAGAACAATAATTTTGGTGGTACTTGACTGTTTTCCTGTTTTTAAGAGTTTAAGTTTAAGCAAACGTATTCATAATGATTGTCTACTTAGTAGAAGATTGTTCTTTGTTTATGTAGAATTCTAGAAAGAACTTGGAAAGTGGTAAGTATTTTTTGAACTGTGTTGAAATGGGTTGTGTGTGTGAAGTGTTATCATGTACAATTGAAAATTTAATTGCATATTACAGGTCATTGTGATGGTCAATTGAATCATGCCTCCTCCACCAGCATGTTGTCTTGTAAAACAGTTAATAATCATCCAGATGGAAATGTAGCTCGTTGGGCTGTCTCATTTGATCATCTACTGAAAGATAAAATTGGCCTTCAAGTTTTTAAGGTAATTGCAGTAGTCTTATTGAACAATATTGATGGTATAACATCAACATTATTCTCCTTTTCTAGTGTTTTCTTCAAAAAGAATTTAGTGAAGAGAATCTGGTATTTTGGTTGGCTTGTGAGAAGTACAAGATGTTGGAAAATAAGAAAAAGGTGAAACTTCCATAAAGATTTCTAACCATGTGATTTATTCTTATCTGTTTTATGTCAAATTTCAGTTAAAGCAAATGGCCGATGAAATTTATGATGAACATTTAAAGCCCTGTGCTAACCAACCTGTCAATGTTGATGCAACTGCACTTAAAGAGGTTGAATCTTCTCTTGAGGATCCTTGTTGTGAATTATTAAAAAATCTTCAGAGTCAGGTAAGGGAAAGGCTTTTATCTTATGATAAATTGTCATTATTTTAACTTATTTATTTAAACACTGAGACTTACATAGTATTGTTTTTAGATTTATACATTGATGAAGTTTGATAGTTATACAAGATTTTTGAAGTCTGAATTGTATCGGGAGTGTCTGGTTAATGAAATGGAGGGAAAGGATTTTGTATTTGAGCAAGAAGGGGATAAAAAGGAAGATGAGGAAGAAATTAGTACATTAAAGAGAATGGTAAGATGAATAATATGTCGTTTCTGGGGGTCATACAAACCAAGGAGATGTTTGCAAGAGCTTGAGAGTTACATTCACCTTCTCGAGAATTTTCACAAATATCTGCGAGGTTTGCATAAGCCAGTGTAACAGACAAAAAAAACTTTTATAGAATAACTATGATACGGAATAGATAAATTTTAAAGAGATGTTTTAATTTTTCATCTAACATTTATTGATGATTGATTTGCAAATTCTCTTTACTTCATTTAATGGCTTGAGCCCAGATCAATGTGTTGACTTAAATTAAAGATTTCTTTTTAATACTTACATAATTTAAGTCAAATAATATAAATTAATAAATATTAATATGGTGGAAAGGATGTTGTAAAATATATAAAATTATTCATGTTGTCAGGTGAAATTCCAAAAAATTTTTGGTCATCGTGAATGTGTTTATTTTGTGAATGAAGATGATTTAAGTCTGACCTTTTCTCAAAAGGTAATTTAAAATTAAATCAGTAAATATTTATTAAATGTCAAAGTCTAAATATAAATAAATACATAACAAATAAAAGTGTTGAAATTAATAATGTTTCCAATTAATAACCTCTTCTACTTTCAAATGCAAAATGTTTATTAATATCGTTTGTTAGTAGTGTATGTATAGTCTTTTCTTTAATTCTAAATCCTTTATTTCAGTTTAGCAGCACAAAAGTAAAAGTAAAAAAGCCTTCAAAGCCACAAGCCAGTCAAGAAATAGATGATATTAAGAAAAAATCAATTCTTCCATGGAGAGGTAACTATTCATAAATATTGCCAGTAAGGGTGCTGGGGAGTGTTCATCCTTTCAAAATTCTTGGCTGATGGGGTGTATGCAAGGGCCTCAAAAATGGTGGTCAGGGGATGCCAGACCCCCCAATCATCGTTCTGTCGGCAAAAATTGTTCACATATCAGTAAATTTTCACTAAATTTGACTACATCTTCATTAACTACCCCCAAACCAAGACCATGCCCCCTGCTTTGTCAGCAAAGCGTTCACTACGAACCTGGGTACAGGAGGGGTGTCAATTTAAAATGGGCAACAGAACTCAACAAGAAAGTAAAACATGGTAAAATTCGTCCCCCATACACGCACAAACCATTGTGGATCTACCCTGAATATCGTCTTTTCCTTCTACTAAATTGTTTTATATCTAAATGTTTTCATCATATAATTATTTTCTTTTAAAAGGAAGGTTAAAAAGTGATCAATCAAAGAGAAACAGTAAGTTACGTTCTTATGTAAATTTAGAATATAGCGCTATATTCACATTAATTTTAAACAAACTTTGCTATTAATATATTTTAGACATACGCAGCACTGAAAGTCAGGCAAGCAGTACGAGAAGCTCTTTATCGTCACTGTCTGATTCTGTATTTTCATCAAATGCAAATAATTCCGATGAGGTACGTTTTAGGAATTGAAAAATATCCGTAGTGTTATAATCTTATCGAAGATGGGAGAAACGTTCTGGGATCTTGCTTGCAATGAAAAAATATTGAAAATTATGTCAGACAATATGAAGATAAACAATATTGTCTTATTATTGCAGACATTGAATGACTTGGATAGCAAAGAACGACCACCACCAACTTGTAAAGTTATTTTACCAAATACATTATCAATGTTTTTGTTCTGCAAGAGTACAAGAAGTCTTCATGATGGTTTATTGGATTTATGTGTTCGTCATGGATTGTCACTACCTGCATTAAGTATTTTCCTTGGGGAAAAGGTGAATATGAAACTTTCTTTCTTTTTTTATATCACGTTAGCTTTATTACTGAAATATGGAATTTTAGGAACTAAATGAGGAAGATTTAAAAATGAAACTTACACGTTTCATCAACAAAGAAATTATTCTACTCCAAAAAATTTTATTCAGGTATGTTATTGTAAAGATGATTTAAGAATAGGTCGATATGCTCATTTAAAAAAAAACAGTAAATTTTCATTATTTTGTTTTATTTATTTAAAGAATGGAATTACCAAATGATGCAACAATCGGTGTAATTGCAAGCGAACAACAAACGATCCTTGAGGTTATTCAACCCATTTTACGACATCATGATATTGATTTGGATAATTATTCTATCGTTTTGGTGAGTTGGATTTGTTTAAATACATGTCATACGTAAATCCATTCATATTTTATAAATGTTTTAATTCGGTGATTAAACATGTGTTTTATTAAGCGTGGTGATGATAATGAGGATGGTGGATTTCTCGATATAAAATTACCTATATCGACGTGTCATCAGAAAAATTTGATTATTCGAGAAAAAGCATGCAAAGGTGAAGAATCTTTACATTTTTTTTTTTTTTTCTGCAAAGATTGTCCTCCATTCTCACAGTCTTTATCCTCAATGATTATCTATAGTCTTAAACGAGGCAAGGGTGATGACAGTGAATAATAACGAAGCAAAAATGTACACTCACCACACTCCTTCGAAAGCAATCGTTGCTCTGGACCACAAAGTATTTGATGGGATAATGATGGGTAAACGACAATCGATGTCAGGATTTTGTTTTGATGACTTGGGTGTATTTGTACCAATGTTGAAAATGCAAATGAATGAAAAGAAAGATTCTTCTCTCTATGTTAATGACAAAGAAAAACAACATTTGTCTCGTAGTCCAGCTTTGTTTCGTAAGAAAAAACGTAATGTGGGTCAAACGAGCTCTTCATTTCGTACATATGTTCATGAAGAAAAGAAAAACACGGAAGGTATGCAGTATTAAATTTTTTGTTTGTTTGTTTTGTTTTTATTTACGGTGCTTTTCTTCTATTTGACGTCACACCGACAGGAATGATTCTTTCGAATAAAGAATTTTTTTCAATTAAGAGCATCTACCATCAACGGTTGCTCATGAAATGACAATCCGACTATTTTTGATTGGATATGATAATGTACAAAGACATAACGTTACTGTACGTGGTATTGCCATGTTTTACGTTTTGATTATCGTTCTTATGTTTTGCCATCGTGATTACCCCACTAAAACCAAAAGCACTCTAGTTTTGCTATATCTATAGTAATTCCTTATGAACTTTGAATGAACTTATAATAACCGTCTTTGGTGATTAAAGAGTTTAAATATTTATTTGTCACATTATTACTCACTGTGTGAAACTTACTCCGACATTATCGTCAAGTTGCATCTCTAAAAAATGGCAAATTTCACGTCACGTAGTGTTTAAGTATTAAAAAGTCCATCTTCCATTTGCAGAATTTTTCGTTCTTCTTCATCGCTCGCAGAACAGCCGTATGGATGATCAACGAGGACTGTTAAATCAAAAGAACATTGAGTTGCCAGAGTTTTTGAAAGATCAAGATGTTTCGTCTGCTGCAAGGGTTAAACAGTTTTCTGTCGTCCCCTCTTCATGTCCTTCTCATGAACCGTTAAAGAAAACCACTTCCTCTCCCTCGAACTATTCTATCTGCGTTAGCAAGCAACCTTCTAGTGGAGCAGCGGCTGTTTCCGATGAATTTCATACGATTTCAAGGTTTACACGACATTGGTCGGGTTCAGAATTAACCCAAGCAAAGGTTTATCTTGATAATGGACCACAGACCCAAACCATTGATCGGAAAAAGTTCTTTAAGCATGTTCGAAATCAACCTGTTGGTCGTGTCAGAGCAGGCTCGTTACCTTACACTCACCCTGATGACCGCTGTACAACGTCTGATGACGTTCATGAATGGAAGGCGCGGCATCATGAAAGTCAACACTATAATAAGAACAGCAACACCGAAGTTGTTTGGGTGTCAAACATAATTAATAAGAATCGTGAACGCAATTTGGCTAAAATAGACAACTCTGTAGACACTGGATATGAAAGCACTACAGAAGATGAAGGAGCGGGAAAAATTACTGAAAAGATTTCATTTTACGCCAACGATAAGCGATTGTCAAACAGAGTAAGTTCTTCGAACAGATCGAGTTCCGAAAATTGTAACTTTAAAGAGAACATGGCGACAGCAAAATATCACATACGGGCCCTTGTAGAACAGTCGGAAAATTACGGTTCGACGTCGACTCATGATCGTCAAGCAATTCTGGACAACTCGTTTCTGAGAGATGAACTTAAACCATTACGGTTGTATTCACAAGTGTCTCCAAAAATGAATACATTACAGGAGTCATCCATCAATGACAGAAATGATGGTAAACCAATGAAATGCCCATTGTTTACACCAGCTTTACATGTCAGTGGTAGCAATGATGTTTCACCTCTGGTTGGTAATGAATTCAGAACGTCTTATGATCACGTGGATGTGGGCAGTGAAAAAATAATGGATGGTAATGTTCGTGTTACATTTGTATAAAATTGTTAAGTGTATTCATGAACATCACAAATATTATGTAATTTTTTATAAGTACAAATTATTTTAAAACGGGGATAATAATATACTTTCACGTAGACTGTTTAATCCGTTTTTTGTAGTATAATTATGAAAAATGTAAATAATTCTGTATAATGTGGAAGGGTACATAGTTTTGTTGTATGAAAGCCAACAACAGTATAATTTTAACCTGAAGATGATACACAGAATACCGAAATTTATCGTTTTTATACTGTTGTCTCTTTTCATATAACAAAATTATGTATATATATTCAAAGCTTTAAATCAACGAGTGTGTTTCGCTTAGAACAAAATTTACAGACGTGAAAATGACTATTTACGATATTTCACGTTCATTGTATTGTGTCTGCCTTTACATCTAGCTTTTTGTCTACCCTTGTGTCTACCTTTATGTCTATCTTTGCGTCTACGTGTCTACCTTTATGTCTATCTTTATATTTGAAAAATCAATTTTATTTTTCATATTCATCAGTTTCTTTGTTAAGTTTTGTGATTTGTAATTTAGTAGTTGCTTCGGCCTTTCTATGTCAAAGAAAAAATTGGGAGGAGTCAAAAATTATCAAAGGGAATGTTTTGTAATATCATAACACTGAAGAAGTTTTACTTTAAGATATTGAGGTCATTTTCTGTGACTGTGCTTGCCCTGCCTTGATGTTTGTCAGAAAACCTGAAAATCTAAAATAAGCTTGAAATTTTCTATTCTCTGGAAAAGCGGAGAACATGAAGTTCATGCGATTGTCATCTTGCCACTCATCAGGAAGAAACGCCATATTCATTTTAAACCAGTTGAAAATAAAACTTCGTGTAAGGCTAAATAATACAGAAGACTCAACACAGGCGAACTGAAGAAATTTAACTCCGTCAAGCAGATTTATGAAACGGCGCTTCTTTAAATGTCAGCCATGAATATCTTGAAAATTGGCGTTTTCATCATATTTTTTGTTATTTACACTACGCACCAAACCTGGTATCTCATGAGGGATTTGCACTATATCAATGAAAACTTCTGGATGCACTCAGTACATCGTCTCTCGGAGTTGCATCATTAACCTGAACTTTATAAATTTTTTTCAGCCATTAAAAAATTATATGTTCTCAACTTGGGATGATTATATTTGAAAGCAGACACTTTTTTGAATGTTATTTTATTTCAAAGAGAGACCTTATCAAAAGTGTCTTACCTAATTTACCTTTCACTTATCTGGGAAAACTTTTAATATTTAACATATTGTAGAAATTTAGCCAATCAGAGATATATGAGCTCAAAATTTATCCAATAACAATTGTAGAGCTCATCGAAATCAACCAATGAAATCGATCGGACCACCAAATGATCTTAATAAACGTCAATCACTCTACACAACGGTAGATGCCCTCAAGACTCGAAAGTGAAAGGAAGGTTAGTGAAATTTTGATTTATTGTTTTAAAACGCACTTCAAATGTGTATAAATTCAATGACAAAAGCCTTGTTTGATGTATAGTTACGCATTGTTTTCCTTGTAAATCTTTTCGTCGGTTGTTTTTGTGCCATTCGCCGTTTTTAACTGCGTGCCTTCGACGGTGCATTTGCTTTGTCAGAAAAACTTGTCAGTATAAAAGCGGCAAGTTTGTATGTTTCAAAGTCTTTCTTTTCATTTTGCTTTCGTGTGTTAGTGACTGCTAGTGTTTTAAATACTTCGAAGTGAAACTTTGTTGAATATTTTTGCTTCTAGCGTGTATTTTTGAATCAATATATTTTCAGCGACAAAGTTGTGCGACCGACATCTTTCCCGTTTCAACACAAAAATATGTAAAAATTCTAGTTGAAAAGTAATAGTATGGCAAAATGAGCGATAAGGAGGGTATTTCTTATCCCATGGGTTGATTTTGTGTTGGTAAAAAATGCTGTTTTGACTCTTTTAAGCGAAAATTTTGAGATATGTGAAAAAATATGAAAATGTTGGTTCATGGTGGACATTGAACTTTCGATAAAATTGGCGCGAATTTTGTTCCGCGTGAAAATGAAGAACACTGGGCACGAATTATGCAAAACTGACCAGCTTGACTACGAAAATACCCACAAAATCTTTGAATGGAGTGGGATACAGGGAAAAATTTGAAAGTGTTGACGGCTACAGGCTCTTCAATTCAATAAGTTCGAATGATAGCAATTTCAGTGGGCGAGAAAGATTTTTAACGAAATACGATGTACGCTACTTGAGTACAATTTAGAAAAGTTGTTATTGAAAGTATTTTAAAGCATTTTGTCAATAAATGTGTTTTTATTCTATAGGAAAAGAAGCTAATTTTCTCTTGAGAATTTACTATGAGCAATCATAAAGAATGCAATCGAAGTCGTATCCTCGTTGAAATTTGAAGCAAAGATAAAACGGATCGCTATGAAAACAACTGGAAGAGAACAAAGGAGGAGTAAGGTAGAAAATGCAAAATTATATGACGTTAAAACTTTCATTGACTGCTTGGTTCTTTTTTTACGAAAACGCTTTTGAAAATTTTTGTTATAATATTCTTTTATTGTAGTAATCTTTTCTGTTAATATTTTTATTTTAATATTATAATTTTTATAATATATATCAAATGGGTGAAAACACAGAAGCTCATTTCGTTTGATTTGAATTGATAGGATATTCAAATGAAAGCAACAGACATAGCGTGTTTTTATGGATTTACTTGTGCACACATTCAAAATTTTTTTTTCTTACAACTTTGCACAAAAAACTTTGTTTAAGATTTTTGTTGTGCAACCACTATCTTCGTATTTTGCTGCTGCCAGACGAGTACTAGCTACAAGTTTAGGATAAAAATGATTAGACAATAAATCAAAAAAGAACAATTATTGTGAACGATTTATCTAAAAACGATGTTCAAAAGCATTTAAAGAAGTCTATATGACTTCCTCCATTTGAAATGATTAAATTTTTAAGTCAAATCTAGTGGTGTGAATAATATTTCAAAAATCAACGCTCAATGACATATAAAGAAGTCTATAAGACTTCCTTCTTTTGAATTGTATAAATATAAAAAGAAGCCTTCATTTGTAGAAATTTACTCATGAATCAAAAGTAAATGTTGTGTGCATTTTTAAGCAAAATGCTGCTGAGTTTAAAGTATACAAGGATTAACAAATCTAGTGTTGTGAATGATCTATATATAAGAAATTGACGTTCAATGGCGTATAAAGAAGTCTATAAGACTTCCTATGAAATGTATAGATATCAAAAGACATATTCACTGGAAGAAATTTACTCATGAATCAAATAAATGTTGTCAACATTTTTAAACAAAATTTTATTGAGTTTACGGTAAGGATTATCAGACAAAAATTAAGTCAAAACTGCCAATGTGAACGATCGATATGAAATCGTTTAAGAGAAAATGTAGAGTCTATACGACTTCATTCTTTTCGGAAATTTATAACATATGAAAAGAAACATTAATTCGAAGAAATTTATTCATAAAACAAAAGTAAATATCATACTTAATCATACATCAGCAACTTGAAGTCTTCATTTGTCCACTATTCGTTTAATTATTAATTAGAAAAGTAAGTAAAAGTATTGTTGTAAAAAGTACTCTTTAGAAAAAAGCGTTCGACAAATTATGTAGAATGTCTGCAAGACGTCCAGAATAGTAAGAATTAATGAAAGCCTTACAAGTAAAAGAGCACTAATTGGAAGAGGTCACTTTAGGAACCATAAGTTTAATATTGGATAAGAACAAGGAAACTCAAGAACGCAGTATACTTATTCAGGAAACGTTTATGAGCCTATGATGGCAGAACAGCATCTACTTTTTCACATGTTGAGAGCACAATGTCTTAGGTTGTTGAGGTACTTCGTCGATCTTTGCAATTGCAGCGTCTTCCGTTGTTGAGGCACTTCGTCGATTTTCGCAATTGCAGCGTCTTCCGTTGTTGAGGCACTTCATCGATTTTCGCAATTGCAGCGTCTTCCGTTGTTGAGGCACTTCGTCGATTTTGCAATTGCAGCGTCTTCCGTTGTTGAGGCACTTCGTCGATTTTGCAATTGCAGCGTCTTCCGTTGTTGAGGCACTTCGTCGATTTTGCAATTGCAGCGTCTTCCGTTGTTGAGGCACTTCGTCGATTTTCGCAATTGCAGCGTCTTCCGTTGTTGAGGCACTTCGTCGATTTTTGCAGTTGCAGCGTCTTCCGTTGTTGAGGCACTTCGTCGATTTTTGCAGTTGCAGCGTCTTCCGTTGTTGAGGCACTTCGTCGATTTTGCAATTGCAGCGTCTTCCGTTGTTGAAGCACTTCGTCGATTTTTGCAGTTGCAGCGTCTTCCGTTGTTGAGGCACTTCGTCGATTTTGCAGTTGCAGCGTCTTCCGTTGTTGAGGCACTTCGTCGATTTTGCAGTTGCAGCGTCTTCCGTTGTTGAGGCACTTCGTCGATTTTGCAATTGCAGCGTCTTCCGTTGTTGAGGCACTTCGTCGATTTTGCAGTTGCAGCGTCTTCCGTTGTTTAGGCACTTCGTCGATTTTTGCAGTTGCAGCGTCCTCCTTTGTTGAGGCACTTCGTCGATTTTGCAATTGCAGCGTCTTCCGTTGTTGAGGCACTTCGTCGATTTTGCAATTGCAGCGTCTTCCGTTGTTGAGGCACTTCGTCGATTCTTGGAAAGGTAGCGTCTTCCGTTGTTGAGGCACTTCATTGATTCTTGGGAAGGTAGCGTCTTACGTTGTTGAGGCACTTTTCAATCGCAGAATTTTTCGATTTTGAGGTCCTTCGTCATTCTCGACAGGTCAGAAATTTCCATAGAAAAATCAACAAATAAAAAAAACCAAAAATTCAAACACAAAGTTCACTACTATTTTATTGAAGTAAAATTACAGTGAAACAGTGCAAGAAAAAAGATGACAAAGTAATATTGTGACGAAATATAAGATGAAATAATGAGAGAGAAAAAATGACAGCAAGATGAAATAATGGAAGACAAAGATTTTACGACTCTATAACTATACTTGTAAATACATTGCATGACACTTTAGCCCATGCATGACTTTTGAAGACTTCTTGTTGCAGATATAATTTTGTTTTACATTGTTGCTTTCTGTTTGTGGGTTTTATCGTCTAACGTGAAGGACACGACTTAATCGTCTCGTATAACTTACCTTAACTCAATAAGCTCTTGAACAAATTAATTCAGACTAAGATGTAAATAACCTAGCTATCGTCGAAAGTTTTTTGTTCTGTTGTTTTTGACTTGCGCGTAATTTTCGACCAAGTGTGCACAAGTAAATCTCTAGAGATGCTGCAGTTGGCCCAAGATATAGGATGGACGTCAGGTAAGATGAACATTAGATGATGCACAGACATTTATATTGACATGAAATCTTACTTGAATATTTTGTCACCTAAATTTTTTGCAAAAAGCATGCATTTATTGCCATGATGAGTTATGGTGCTTTGTCTATCTATGGTTGTTATGCTGCATAATAGAAATGTTAATAATCATGGTGATGACATTGTGTGGAAGTTTAAAAACTGCTATGGTGAACTATAAACTCAATATCAGGAAACAAATTATCCATCCTAATACCACAAAGCTTAAAATATATTTTGGTAAGTGGTTGTTGATGTGTTTTTATCTGTTCGATACCAAACAAGCAATCGTTTCAGTTAGATGGATGTAAAAGCTAATAATAGTATAATGATTTTTCATTTCAGAAATTTTTCTTCAAAAACTGAAGTATATTTAGGAGGGGCAGTTGGTTGCTTATGACGAAGAATCTACAGGTATTAAATTTTCTTGTTAATACCTTTCGTACTTGTTTTATCATTACTTACAGTTTCTGAAAAGCTGGTTACATTATGAGTAGACTAGACAGTATGACGTTATAATAAAAAATATTTCTACTTTTAACTTTTAATAAATTTTCAAAATTGGATTATTGGTTTTTGGTGATGTTTTATTACTATATCTAGAAAGTCTTCCAACTAATTCATATAAAATTATTAAGAGTTTTGAGCAAGAACAATCGGCAATGTAACGGGAGTTGCTAAAAAGCTTTTGATATATTATATACGTTATTTTTTTGTCAATTTTAAATACATTCGTTCAATTTATTGAACTTCATTGTTTTGAAGATAAGGAATGAAAGAATGGTGGTGTATTATATCGATTAATTGCAACATGGTTATTGTGGATTACATTGTGGTTGTCGTGGATTACATCGTGGTTGTCGTGGATTACATTGTGGTTGTCGTGGATTACATCGTGGTTGTCGTGGATTTTCTCAAAATAAATTTGGGCTAAGGATTACGTTAATCTACGAATAAAGAACGACGACGAGCAATGGTGTAATATTCAAACAATCAAAAATTGACTTACGGTTCATAACTTTGTTCAAAATCAATTTGACATTCAAGTTAAAAAAAACACATGATAGTTCCATGGTGGTTTGTCCAATTATGATAATTATCAAGATTCAAGTAAAGATGTATGAGGAAAACACAAAAATAATCAATGGAATAAATCCACTACGTGGAAAAATAATTATAGGTGAGTAATATTTAAATTTCATTCAATTTGCTAACTGAGTTGCTGAAATTTGTTGTAGTGAAAAACGTAATAATATTTTAATGTTTTAAATTACAGTAATTTGTCATGACATCAATTAAACATTATGTTAATTTGTTGATTGTCAGGTATGTTTCATCCGAACGCATTTAAAACAAAAGATAATGAGGGAGTTCATTTCATTTCCTTTTGTCTTTAATGCGTTCGGTGAATGTATAGCCTTGTTCACACGAGTAAAATAAGCATGAACGTCAAGACTTTAGTTTCTATTGCTCTAGATGTTTACAAAGACAAAGACATTGAATTTTGTTCAACTCTTCTTTTTTTCGTCACATGCTTCGTTGATTATCTTTGTTTTATCTTTTGTCTACGCTTGTTCTTCTTCTTACTTTGCTCGTGTGAACCAGGCTTAAAGTTCGACATTCGAAACAGGCCTTCTTCATTTGAACGTTGTAGTAAGAAAGGTAAGTTCTCTCTTTTTACTGACGAAGTAAGTTTGAGTTACATGGAATAATAAACTAGTCTTAGTTTAAGCCTTGTACCATGAAAGCTTTGCTGTAAAATGACCGCGGTGTTAAGCCTTTGATTGTTTGAAACTTGTTGCATCGTTCAAACTCAACTCACTAAAGCTATTTGTGCAATGTAGGTGAATGTTCTACCATTTAGATAGTCGAACAAAAAACATATTACAATTTGGTCATTCTCAAAATATCTGATTAAGAATTTAAAAACGCAAACTAACGTCATATGCAGAGTTCTTCATCGTGAAATGTCGTACATGTGTTTCATTGTTTCTCATATTGTAGATCCCACACGGATGGAGTTGTGAAAGTCCCTTTACCACCTGTGTCATTCACTTCAATTACTCTAACTAGTTTGTCATTGCTCATGTGTCATGGTGATTCATGGCCAAGAATGTTGATTTGTAGTTTGGATTCTTTGTGGATGTCAGTTGTTTGTTCATATAATGATGATGGGCCCCATTGTTATATGAGCCCACCTGAAGGTGTTCAACTGATACTCACAAAAGATCAACTCTGCACTAAACATTCTTTGAGTGATGATATAACTGGGGTATTGAAGTGATCCCTTTTCCTTCAGGCGCTTGAAATGGCGATTCACGATGTCAGTATCTACTTTATTGGTTATTAATGCTGGTTACTTCGTGTATGGATTGGTTTAAACATATCTAATAGACATTGCATAACGGCATATGTACGTATGAGAGCATGAACATTGAAGTGATTGGACTAGAAAACGGGCTATATTCTACGAAGATGAAAAACAAGCGAGTGGAAAAACACGATCCATGTCTTGTGGTTTGTAAGTTGAGTACATACGTAAGTTTTAAAATTAACATGTATGAGTAACAGTAAGAGATACTAAAAAAGGATCCTGATGGTCTATTTTTATAGTTTGAACCCTAATTATGAAAAACACCCAAATTAAAAAAAATTTCAAGAAAAGTGTCCCTTGCTTTGAGAAAATAGCTGGCTTTCACTCGCTACCTTTTACTAATTTACTTAACGTTTATAAAAAAAATTGCAATGCTGCAAGTAGGGTTTGTTGAGTTTCTAAGATAAAAAGGTTACAATTAATTTCTATGATACACGTAAAAACTGTGTGAGAGTTTTTACGTGTATATCATAGAAATTAATTCGCAGTGAAAAAAAAAGGAAGAGACCGACTAAGTCGCCTGGATCAGATTGATCCCGACAACGCTTGGAAATCAGGTATAAATGATGTGTTCTTTTCAGTATATTTCAGTTTTGTTTTGATCATTCATTATGCTGACATTATAACGTGTTTTTTATAGAGTAGCTATGTCTGTAGGCCTCCTCGCTGGATAATGAATTGGACCGAAGATCCCTTCAGTCCTTATTGAAAGATTCTAATTTCCGTAAAACTAATTTTTCACAATTGTTAACTTTTCTGACCAAACACACGAGTGAAAGCCATCTATTAATAAAGCAACATAGGAAATTTTAAATCGAATGAAGTTTAGTAGACATCAAAAATGATTTTCATGCAAGTCATGACGTCACTTTGGTCATTTAATTTTTCATTGTTATTGGCTGGTTAATGGTCAGGGCGTTGGTACTAAATAATTTTTTCATATGAGTTATATATGTCTTCTATTTGTTTTCGTTTTTCGTCTACGTATTTTCTAAAATTTTTGTTAATACTCTGTACTCCTTCATTTTTTGTTCTCGACCAAAGTTTGCGTTTCTTTCGTTCGATCATAATATATTAGCTGTGTCAATAGGGTAGTCAGCCCACTTTTTTGTTGCTTTGCAAATGCAAATTTTTATACGACTGTAACGCACGATCTGACTGACTACGTTACTATTACTGTTGAAAACAACAAAAATATGAAACATCTTAAAACTACATAAATTTGAGGAAATTTTTCTAAATTTTCGATCTTTTCTTTTATTGGAGGGTTTTTTACCGGATCCACCGGTTTTCCCTCCCATTTCGTTTTGTTTTGGAAAAAAAACAGTGTCCAGATTTAGGGCTAGGCAAAGCCATTTATCATAAAATTATTTATTGTAGCTATCATGAATATTCATGTTTCTTTCATTTCTTGGCCTTTGGGTGTATCTCCCAAAACACTGCGTTTATTAAATACAACGGCAAACATTTCTAAAAATTGGTACGCAATGCATACGTGTTGGTAGCCTGCAAGTATATAGCTATTGAATAAAGTAGATTTAATCAACATAGTTGAAATAAAATTATATATTTAATATTATTTACGTCCAACTTGTTCAAGATTTGAAAATGCAGTTTAATTATATAACCAAGTAATTTCCTAACCCTGGAATCTAATATACTACCAAGTAATACATTGTGCTATGTTTCATAACTAATGTTTGTTAGTGTTTTCAGTAACTTTAGGATGTCCATTGAACCTGTTTTAAAAAATTGGTAAAGTATTTATTTCCTGAAGGAATTATCTATTTTAATTCTAACTGAGGAAGACACATTAAAATATTGTCTGAGAAACTTATTAATTCCTTTAATTGTTAGTCACAACTGGAAGAGAAGTTGGACAAAGCCATAAGCCAGGGGAATTTTACCGAGGCTGAGAAATTGAGTGATCAAATGTCCCAAGAAGAACTTGCTGTTAAGATAACTGAAGCAATAAGTACAAGAGATTCCCAAAAGGCAAACAATTCTAATATAAAATGGAATAAATCCAAAAGAAAGGAAACATTACTTTGGGATTTCAACAGAAAGAAAGATGGAAGAGCAAAGGAAATATGTAAAATGAAAGATATAGCTTACAAGGTTGGAAATATGTTGAAATTGTTTGTATTTGACATTTTTATTCCTGGCAACTTGATATGTAATTTTGATAATAAAGTGATTTTATAAATGTCAGTGAAATGACGAATGTATATCAACACACATATCACATAAAACACATTTGTATATGTTTCATATGAAAGTATAAAAGACGAGATGGTGGCAAATAATTTGCTGTGGTGATCCATGAAAAGATAAGAGAGATATTGCAAAAAGGATGATGTTACCATCTCTCCAATACATTTTTATGAATTAGATAATGAAAATTCATATTTAAGCGGATTGACATTGCTCTATATACATTTCCTTACATGGTAGGGTAACAACAGAACTTTACTCAAATAAAAAGAAATGTTGATTGGAATGAAATCTGGTTCGAAAAGAATTTTAGGAACTTTTTATAGAGAGTTAGCAGCTTTGCTTACCTCAACAGTAACAAAATCTCATTGGAAGGTAGCAATTGGCCTGTTTAGCTTTTTATAGATTTGTACTTATAATTTTGATTTCTATAATAGAAAAGTTTGGATTTTTGTGTGGAATCTCAAATCAAATACCTTTAACGACTCAGGTAACTGTAGGATGTTCCCCTTGGGTTGGCATAACATTGCTTGAGAGGCTAGTTAAAGTTCTATCCCAGTTTTTCGTATGCCAAAAAACATGTTAAGTACTGAAAATATATTTCATTCATAAAAATCCAACCTTGATGAAGTCACTTAAATGCCTTGATCTGTGCTGTTGTCTGGTTCTTCAGACTGGGGAGCATTATATTTCCTCTAACATCTTGAAATATCTTAAAACTGGATTTTGGAGGGGGAGCTTTCCACTCGGTTTCCTTTCCTGGGCCACAACAATTTTATTTTCACAGATTTTAATTTAAATGACGAACAATATCTTGGTTCACCAAATATTTGGCAAGCTTTTTAGATAACAGCCATAAAACTTCAGTGCACTTTCTTTGGTCATATTGTATCAATGGCGAATGCTTGATTTAAAACCGAAAGTAATACAGCTGTTATTGCCCACCACATTGTAACGCCTTATGGTAAAGCCAGTAATCGCGTAACGCTTTAAAATATAATTACATGATTTTCCCAATCAATTTTGCGCCATGCGAACATCACGTGAACAGCACGTATAGAACGTGCGTAAATACATGCAAATTTTAAAGGTCGCGGAATTGACCCCAATTGTCGAATTTCAGTAAATACATCTTGAAACCTGCCAAAATAAAAAATTCTTCATTTCTTTTTGCGGCTAAATATTCTTTGGCAAACAACAATTCTAAAGAATAATGTAGTTCATTTCATGGCATTGTTGGGTAGACGTGTTTTGTTACAAATATATTCGATTCTTGAAATTCCTTGTCAAATATGTTAATTTCTAGTTATGACGTCGTCAATTAGAAAAGAAAGAGAAGGGGTTGTTTACCCTCATGTCAGCTCACGTGTACTTTTCACGTGTAGTGTGATGATAAATTTTTCTAGGAGATAAAAAGTTACTTCACAATGAAATGAATATTTTCGTTATCAGACAAGTTGAGCAACATTACATTTACACGTCACCATTTTTGTAAAATAGGAAAATTTTAATTGTCATCTTCAAAAATGTTTTCTTCTCGATACAGTCTTCTTGATATAGCGACTTTTCTATAATAGCATTTAAAGTTAATACAATCTCTGCCGTTAGCTCATATTCTAAACATGAAATATACATAGTCACGCGAGTTCTTCACAATTTCGAAGTGTGACAACATTTATCAGGCGCAAATCGAGCATTTGTCATGATATATATATAAGCCTGTAGTTATCTCCAAAATTGTTGTCCCAATAAATTTCTCCATCGACTTTATATGAAATAGCAAATTCTAACTTGTTTTCATTACTTTTGCGCACGCAAGGCGGAGGAATATGAAAGAAAAATGTATCCGTATTTCCTACGCTTGCACCCGGAATGAAGCTGGCTCTCTGTTCCAAAATTGTCCTCCAAGAATTAAAACTATATCGTACAAAGATCTGTTTTTCAAAAGCTATATTCTTGACTTGTACACGACCATAAATTCCATTTCTATTGCAATACGTTCTCTCCAAAGACACGTTACTTATTGAGACATTGTCGTCAAATTGCTTACGAGGCAATGGTGATTTAAAATTCAGAAGTATAGTTCTTTCATCAATGGACTTGGACTTCGTTTTCTGCTTTCTTTCTCTGCCATACTTCTCTTGATGATAATGCCAAGAATTTCTTTCCGATACAAAGAAGTAAGTTGAGACAAGCGCTAGTCCTTTGGCGTCTGCGAAATGAACACTTTTTGCCCTCCGACTTGAATTTGTTGCTATTGCAGTGGTGATAGGAGGTGTTGACCATCTTCTTGCCGTTAAATTCATCTCAAAGTTCGCGACCATAAACATTCACATTTCGCAGATGCCATTCTGAACTCTAACTCTAACTGCAGATTGCACTAATAACAAAGTTTAATGAGTATCCGGCCGGTTGACATTACGCCTCTCTCGACCAATCAACTGTCAGTATCTTTGTTCCCGTGCTCGTCATGCATTGTACATGTATTAAAAAGGTAAATAAAACTCTTTCGTGTGCTTTTTAAGACAAAATTTGTTCTGTTGAAAGTGTAAATGTTTTTAATAAACTGGTAATACGGTTGATATAAGCAATTTATACGGTTGAGATTCATTTTAAACTTTGCACCATGTATTTTAAGGTTAAAACTTTAAATAGTTAAGGGGGGATATGCTCTCGTATATCTTGTGTATGGTTAACTTTAAAAGAAAGCATACTTTGCATCTGTTTGTTTGTTAAATGAGCTGCTTTTGAGCATTATTATATCAGATATCGTTTGTTTGTATCGTTCTAAATGTGTTAGTTCTTGATTAAATCACTTGTCGAACACATTTACACAAATGTTACAAATTCGTATTGCAGCAAGCGAAATCATTTCGTATATTGCTCCTGTGCAGTGTCGAATATGGAAAGTTTATCCGTGATGAACATTATTTTGCTAGTCTATCTAGTTCAGTTCAACTCATATACAACCATTGTAATTCATTAAGTCAAGTAGTTTAGATGATTATTCATCATGTTTTGTATTCTCATGGATAATTATTCACGATTTTGTGTAATATTTACTTAGTACAAACTGTTAAATTTACACAAGTAAAGGGAATCATTACTTCTCGTTTGATCGTTTGTAGTTCGAAGTGTTATCGTAAAACATAGGGGTTTTATACGGGGTTTTTTGATCATGTTATTTTTGTTAAAAATCTATGACGTCAATGCACTTGTTGTTCATGACTTTGGTCATGATTTCGATTTAACATTTGGGTAAACAAAACTATTAAGTTCATTACAAATAAGGGACAAAATTACAATTAAAAGTTGTGGTAAATAAAAACTTGTCAGTCGATTTAAAGAATTTTTTACATGTTTTTTCTTATAAATACCAATAACATATACATATATGTAGATTGAGTTACATAATTTTTCAAGTCCTTTGCCAGTTCATTGCTCCCTTCGCACAAACCGAGATAAGTTTTTTCTAATGCATATGTTATCATGCTTACTGTTATAATTGTTTTTATAATAATTCATTATCTTTACATATTACGCTATGCCGTATCGCCAAACCTGGCCAGACCGACTCCTGTCTATGTAGTTCCAACCTTATGATAAATCAAACGGTAGTTATCGCCAAAATTGTTGTCCCAATATTCACACCCGCAAACGCGATAGCAAATTGCAAATTCCATTTTGCGCTCTACGTCTCTCTTCGGAGGCAAAATATGGAAAAAAAATGTGTCTGTAGTTGTGTTGCTGGCGCCTGGAATGAATGTTGCAATTATGTCTTCAATTGATCGCCAACCATCGAATGTGTAACGTACAAGTATACATTTCTCAAATGTCAAATTACGTACTCGAATTCTCCCGTACATTCCAAAAGAATAACAAACCATACATTCCAAGCAAACATTCCAGGTATTTACTCTCTCCACCATTTTTTTGTAAGGAATAATTGTTGTAAAGTTGAGCAATTGAGCAGGTCGAGACGTTAGCTGTTTAGTTTTCTTAGCATGACAAACAGAGGATTTCCTTTTTGTGACTGGAGAAAGATCTTCTCTAATGTAGAAACGAGTGTTTGTGAGAGCGAATCCTTTCGTATCAGCAAACGACACTGATTTGGATCGTCTATTCCATTTACTTTCCTCACTTTTATTGGATTTGTTACTGTTGTTCACATTTACATCCTTTGTGAGTCGACATAAAAGATCAACAGCACTCACAACCATAGTGACAGACTCAGACTGACGGAAAATAACTAAACACAGTGATTTAAAGTTCCTCTTCACGTGGCAGTTTTGAGTATTTCACAACCGCGTACGTGCTTCTAAATAGGCGGCCCTCGAAATAACATGTTTACAACTGTCCGAGTTTAAATATTAAATGTCTGAGTAGCAATTTATTCATGATATTTAAATACGAGTGGCCAGTTTCCTTCCTCTAATAGGTAAACAAAAACGTAATTACGTTTGTCAATCTTCAATCGTGGCAGTTGTCGAATAGTAGGATTATGTTATCATTTCAAGAGAAATATTTACGAAAGACTGTCTTATCCGTTTTAAATTACATCTGAGTTAAACCTGTTGTGAAATCATATGAGAAATGTCAACGATAACATTCCTGCCGTCACTCTTGTTCAGAGCAGCACACTGTAATATAGCAATCTTGTATTTTTTCTCTTTTGTGTTTATAGAGATTTGGGTAAAAATGTTCGTCTGCAGCTCTCAAAATGTTGCAAAGTTTTCAAACAGTGGGTAGTTAAACTAGGTAGTTATCATTTTTTTAACCTAAACTATTTCTATTGAGATACTTTGTGATGAGAAAGTTACTTTACTTGACTCTCTGAATTCTTGTGTGAATAATGTTAACTTTTATTATCGTTTCGTTCAACAATTTATTGACCAAGTCAGGCAATGTAAGTTATCTCGTAGATGTAATGTCACAAGATTTAAAAATGAAACTTATATTTTAAATATAAAGGGCCATAGTTTCACACTGTGAAATAGACTTAAATGTCTTAAATGTCTTAAATGCCAGAAAAGACCAAATTCTTGCTTTTTTCAGAAGGCAATAATGACAAACATTATGTTTGTAATGATCATTCTTTACTGTGGTGTTTACACTAACTTTTAACAATAATAATATCAGTTATAATGTCTCTTATGTTTATGCAATAAATATGCTGGTAATGTACAGAGTTTGTGTTTTATCCTATGTGGTATTGTGACCCATTAACACTGTATCAGTCGATGTCACCTGACCAGGTAAACTTGTAACATCCAATGTCTGTCTATCATTTAAGAAATATGCGATGTTAATTCTACTGTTTATGATCATGGTCACATCATTGAGTATTGCAAACTTACTGTTCACATGTGTTTTGCAAAATGGTTGGAGAACCAGTAGTCGATACTTCATCAGGTTTAGTAACAAATCTTCCACCTCCACTACGTTGCCGTCGACATGCATGCATGTGCCTTGACTCATGTAGGTATTTCTAGAGAAATTGAACAATAAAAAATACTGACCAATTGACTTCATGATCAAAACATTATTGTCAATACCTTTCTTGTCTTTGGGATTTTCCCTTCTGCCTCTAGTTTTGCACGTGCCTGTCGTCGCTTGATAATTCGATGATATTGCTTGGCATTTACATAGAGTGGTTCATCCAATGTTTCCATGGCAACTGGCAAGCGCTGGGCTGCCAAGGGCTAAACAAAAACAATACAATTTATTGTGCATTTTTCATTACTGTTCATGTATAATTAATCATTTCTTTGAATCCTAATAGCTAAGAGTTAAATGGTGGGGAGAAGTGTAATACAAAAACTGAAACTAAAATAGTGCAATTGCACTTTTTCTTTATAACAAGATTTTTTCACAGCTGCAATAAGCATGGTTGCCTATGAAAATATTTTGTGAAACATGTGACATAGAAGAATTCATATAGAAGATAATAATTTTCACGACGTATTAATTTATTTGATTGAAAAACCTATTTTATCAAAACAGCTTTGTCTTCGTGTAAAACAATAATTATCCAATGAAAGTAAAGGCTAACTAGGATTGGTACATTATATACAAGATGATATTCGGACCAATGAGGAACATCGAAGACGAAGCGCATCTCTCGATTGGTTCTCCTATTTTAGATGAAACTTTCCAATCTGTTCGTTTCTTAAAATTATTGAAACCTTAAATGTAGAGCAAATATGTGTAGAACACACGAGGACTATCGATGTTTTTAGATGTAAGGATCATTATCTAAGAACGTGCTTCGTGCTCTCTTTGTTTACGAATGAAACAAGTTTCAGCAATTGTTAGGCAGAGAAACGCCTTTCGAAGTCAGTAGCTATAATACTCACAACAGTAAGTTGCGGGTTTCCGTTTGGGAGTGCGCTCGTTGTTAGCGTTCCAGTGACGGGATTGTATTCTACAGAGTTGGCAACAAATCGCTGTTCGGGCGAAAACATTTGTAAATGTTGAGTTTGATTGGGATCAACAATATAAAGTCCTTTGCTTTGGTCTTGCGTTATTAAGTTTACAGCCGTAGGTTGAGTCACTGTAGTAGACTGAGTAGCTGCCACTGTGCCTTGTGCTGCTGCAAAATTTAGTTGAGGAGAAGAAGAGTTCACGGATGTCTCCATATTTCACAAATGTTTTAATTCCTTTGACTTCAACACGCATGCGCGAGTTATGGCTCAAGTTTTATGATTACTTATTGTAACAATGCTTTTTTTCCTCAGGCTAATGAACCACAAACAAGAAGATGAACTGTGAACAAATCATTTACACATTCAAAACTTTGTCATTAAATATTAGTTAGTATCTATTACAAAAAAAAGTAAGTTAGTTAACATAATCCAATGGTCGGTTAAAGCCTCCTCTTCTGTTCATGTATTGCCTATAAAATTATAGCAAATTAGTCTTTTGTACTTTTGGCTGGAAGATTTTATGTCATTAACCTGTATTTTCTGGGTTTGGTTATATTGACATAGCTTGCATTTGAAGATCCTGCTGTGAACTTCCCCTAAATATTTACATCAAAGATGAATGACAGGCTACTTTTGTAAAAGACCAAATTTTAAAATACACCTTTGTTGTGTCAAAATCAGAGAATCCCATCATTTTCTTCATTGCAAGACTTTCATCATCTTCATTCACTTTACAAATTAATTAAAAATATCATTTCTAGAACATTATGAAAAAATTTGATGGACGTAAGTAATACGTGGTATTTGATCCAATTTGGTTAAGGTCTTGTCAGCTTTTTCTCTGGAAACACAACAAAAACATACAATGAAAATATGCTAACAAGAAATGACTTGTTCAAGTAGTAAAATATAATATTTACAAAGGCCTATCTTTTCTCTCATCTTGCTGTCGGCTGGTACATAAATAAAGTATAAATGAAAAGCCTTTAACAAATTTTCTTATGCATCTAACATAGTGCTTTGACAAAACTAGTGAAACCTGTATGTTCCTCTTCTCCTAGGAGATCTAGAACAGAAATTTGAAAAAGTCAATCATACATTGGTCTGATCAATGTGCATATATAGTTTAATCTACCTTGATCTTGGTCGCCTGGGTGATTTTGACCTTCTTCTTGGTGATCTAGAGCGTTGTCTTCTTGAAGGTGAACGACTGTGACGTCTTTCTAAATTATAACTTGTTGAGTTGAGAAAAATAACTTAATTCTTAAATTCTCATGCATTTTTGTAGAATGCCTTTAATAGGTGTTGACTGCTGACATAACATGATTTTCATATTCTATTTATCATGCTTAAACATTCAGAGTATCTGCTCTACTCTAGTCCTTATGCAGTGTAAAATACCATGATCATCTCTTCTTCTATCTTTATCTCTTGAGAAGTCCTTTGGTCTGTCTAAATCTGATCGATCTCGAGAACGCGACCTTCTTCTTTCCCCTATTATCAGAGCAACATCAGAGTAAAAACGATATTTGCAGCAAATAAAAATCGCCATTTGACTGTTACCTCTTCTGAAATCTGGAGTACGACTACGACTTCTACTCCGTACCATTTCGACTAACAAATATTTCGATGAATAGAGTTCAAAATATACAACTAAACGATAACTTTCTTGTTTATTTTTTTTATAATCCTGGTCCTAGTTGTTGGTCCCAGTCCCCTAGAATTTTAAACATGGCTTACTTTTTCTGTTTAATTTATAAAATTAATAAATATAAATTTTCTCTGAGTTATTGTTTTCTCTAATAAAGAGTATGAGGTATAAGTTAGCAGACCAAGTATATACAATAAATTGTTTACATCAACATATTTGGTTGTGTCAAGGAATTCGACTTCTTGAATGAAGTGATGGTTGAAACAAATGTCCATTTGTCCTTTTGCTTTCAATGTGAGGTAAATGGAGTTGCTTGTGAGCTGTCATTTTTGACCTTGTGCTGTTACTTAAAGAACTATTGAGAATACTGTTTTGGTATTGTTGTAAATATAAATGTCTTTGTAAGCTTAAATATCCCTCGCTACGAGGAATATGTCTTTGATGCTTTTGGATATGAGGATTTGGATCAAGAGCTTTTAGAGTCTCCTTCCATTTTGGTTAGTTGATTGCCTTTTTCTGCTAATTGTCTGCTCATAGTTCTTGGTGATATTGAAGCATGTTGTGTACGTTTTGTAGGTGCTAGTTTTGTATATTCTGGGGCTGCCATCACAGGACGAATCATATCCAAGTAAAGCTTATGATTGACCCTTATTCGTTTGCCATCATTCCATGATGATCTTGATAAGGTGTTTGCTTTAGGTGGTCTGTAAGGCATATGAAAATCCAATGGCGTTTTTATCCTTGATGGAGCTGTCATGGCAAACTTTGTATCTCGAGTAACAGGTGGATTAATCAAACTCATATAAAAGTTTTGTTTAGTTTTCAGTTGTTTTCCTTGCTTGCTATAAATTCCATAAGGGAGATTTTGTTGAGATGAATTAAATGTCGATGATAATGGTGTCTGCTTGTTGTAAACAATGTAAGCACTTCTTGGACGCATTTGCTTGGCATAATTATTAAAGTTGTGTCCGTTGGTCATTTGAATAGGTTTAGGTTTTTTCTCTAACATTCTGATTGCTGTAGCAAGAAGAGATAAAGGTTGTTTTTTCAAGCCACCTTTCAACTCATCTATAACATAATTCAATTGATATCATTAGTAAAATGTATCAGTTTGCAATGCTAAACATGTTTTGCCTAATATAAACATTTATAACACGAACCTTTAAATGGCTTTTCTTCTCCATCATCATACTTGACAACACTGTCAAATTTTACTTCTATTGGCTCAGTTGGTTTATATTTTCTTGATGTTTATAATTTATACTTGCAGTTGCTCCCATCCTTTGATGACACAGATGAACTGAAAGATTAAATCAACTATTTTTTCCCTCTTTCAGCTTGGCAAATCTGACTTTGACTGTCAGATTTCAATATACTAAGATATGTAAGTTTTATTAAGTACTCCTTCAAGAAAAGTATGAACGACTAGATAACCATTAAAAATCTACTGCATATATCATTATACATTCCATTACAACATTTCGTTAGCAACCAACTCACAAAACATGAAATCTGACATTTAATCATTTAAAAATCACCAAAATTTCAAGTATATCAAATCATAAATCTGAAATTTGCGTTGACTTACCGAATCGATCTCGTATGCGAGATAGGTAAACAGCGTTTATGAGAAAATAATAACATCAAAATAAAATATATTCATTTATCATAAACTTGGCGACTGCCTGACGCGGAACATTTTGCGATATGTCACAGATCATAGCCAGATCAGTGGCTGCGCTAATGGAAAAATATGTCGCGACATTTTTGACACAAAGTACACAGTCTTCGATATAATTGGCGGTGAGATGATTTCGAATTTCCGAGAGATCGCGCTTCTCACTATCTATCACACAAACAAGTGTATGTCAGAAGTGATCTTTAGTTTTATTTTTTAACTACTATATGATAATCGTTTTTGCCTTTTCGGTCAAAAATATTTAACTCCTAAAGATACTCTTCAATCATGTATGATCCGGATGATGGTAAGCTTTTCAAAAGTTCTAAATTGAATGTAACATTTAAAATCTGCTCTTTTGTCAAAAATTTCCAATCCTGGCATCGTGATAATTACAAAAATATATAAAAAAGGTAATGATTATTAAGCAAATGTTTATTAAAGATTTTTTCTCTGTTTACTTCATGAGATGTTGCTTATGGTGATGATGAAGGTGAAGAAATAACACCTGATTTGTGGCAAGAAGCATGTTGGATTGTTATAAGTTCGTACTTTGAAGAAAAAGGCCTTGTTCGACAACAGTTGGATTCATTTGATGAGTTTATTCAGATGTCTGTTCAAAGAATTGTTGAAGATTCACCAGAGATTGAACTACAGGCAGAATCACAGCACATGTCCGCAGATACTGAAGAGCCGGTATCTTATCAGTAATAATTTCTTTGTATCAATCTGATTTTTTTTACACTTATTATTTCTGTTTTCTAGCCCAAGTATACCTTGAAATTTGAGCAAATCTACTTGTCAAAACCCACACACTGGGAGAAAGATGGTGCTCCAACAGCCATGATGCCTAATGAAGCAAGGCTTCGCAATTTGACGTAAGTTTGAACATGAATTTAAGAAATCTTTCATTATAAAATGCATTGTTTTTTATTTCTTGACACATGATATTCTTTCTTGTATTATTATAAATATAAACATAAACACAGTCAAAAATGTTTTCTATTTCCATGAAAATCTTGTAATGCCTTGTTGCTATAACTTTTTATGATTGCCTTGAAAAGTGAAACTGCCCTGTTAACCAATAGAAATAAAAGTTAGCAACCCGAACATATATTTGCCAGTATGGTACCGGCTCTAGGGAAGAACCCATTTTTGTTTCCAAAACTTTACTCAACACCTTTTATACAAGGATCTTCATAAAGGTTAGCAAGAGTATCATGAATACACGCATCACAATGAATAAATATTTCAAATAATAAGATTTTTGACTGCCTTAAGTTTGTATGCATATCTACTAAGGGCAATACTTGTCTTTTACATGGTTTAACTTATAATAACAAACTTATTATTGAGAGACTATTTAATGACTTCATGTTTATGAACTTGAGATTTTTAATTTCAGCTATTCTGCTCCTTTGTATGTTGACATCACTAAAACAACTCATAAAGAAGGTCAGCAACCAATTGTTCAAGAAAATGGAAAGACTTTCATTGGAAAAATTCCAATAATGCTTCGTTCTACATATTGTTTACTTAGTAATTTAACTGATCGTGATTTAACTGAACTTAATGAATGTCCACTTGACCCTGGAGGATACTTTATCATTAATGGCTCAGAGAAAGTCTTAATTGCTCAAGAAAAGATGGCAACTAACACTGTATATGTTTTTGCAAAAAAAGACTCTAAATATTCATACACTGCAGAGATTCGTTCATGTATAGAGCATTCTTCACGGCCAACCAGCACAATGTGGGTGTCAATGTTGGCTCGTGGAAGTCAAGGTGGTAAGAAAAGCAACATAGGGCAACGAATTATTGCCACTTTACCATACATCAAACAAGAAATACCTGTAATGATTGTTTTTCGTGCTCTTGGTTTTGTTGCTGATCGTGACATTTTGGAGCATATAATTTATGACTTTGAAGATCAAGAAATGATGGAATTGGTTTGTTGTTTTTTTAAATTTCATCCACATTATGAAGATGTGTTTTTGTTGCACAATAGAGTACTTTCTGTGTTTCTATTAAAGGTTAAACCATCATTAGACGAAGCATTTGTTGTCCAAGAGCAAAATGTTGCGTTGAATTTTATTGGTACACGTGGAGCAAAACCTGGTGTTACTAAGGAAAGACGTGTTAAATATGCCAGGGAAATTCTTCAAAAGGAAATGTTACCTCATGTTGGTGTCAGTGATTTTTGTGAAACAAAGAAGGCCTATTTCTTGGGGTAAGAGTCTCTTTGTGTTTTTGAGTTGGTTGTTCTGAAGCCAAGTAATCAATTTATGTATGGTTTGAATGTTAAATTATTGAATTTTCATGTTTTCTTTGAATGATGAAATTATTGAATTTTCATAGATATATGGTGCATCGTTTACTTTTGGCTTCTCTTGGAAGACGAGAACTGGATGATCGTGATCATTATGGCAACAAAAGACTGGATCTTGCTGGACCTCTTCTTGCTTTTCTTTTTCGGGGGTGCGTATTAAAATCTTGATGAGAAATAAGTGAAAAAATGATGTCTTTTAACGTGATTGTTGTTTATTCATCATAGTTTATTCCGCAATTTGATGAAGGAAGTACGACTATATGCCCAAAAGTTTATCGACAAGAGCAAAGATTTCAATTTGGAGCTTGCGATTAAAACGAAGACGATTACCGACGGTTTAAAATACTCCCTAGCTACTGGAAACTGGGGAGACCAAAAGAAAGCACATCAAAGTAGAGCTGGTGTTTCTCAGGTTTTAAATAGACTTACATTTGCATCGACTTTATCGCATTTAAGACGTCTAAATTCTCCTATTGGTCGAGAAGGAAAACTTGCCAGACCACGTCAGTTGCATAATACACACTGGGGAATGATTTGTCCTGCTGAGACTCCTGAAGGTCATGCTGTGGGTTTGGTAAAGAATTTAGCTCTAATGGCTTATATCTCGGTGGGATCTCAACCAAGTCCTATACTTGAATTCTTAGAAGAATGGACAATGGAGAATCTTGAGGAAATCACACCTTCAGCTATTCATAAGTATGATTATAGAAATATTGTCTGTTTTCAAAGGTTTTAATATCGAAATGTAAAGGTCTTGTTGATGTTTTGACTTTGGATTTTTGTTTAGTTCAACAAAAATTTTTGTCAATGGATGTTGGGTTGGAATTCACCGTGATCCGGATCAACTAATGTCTACTTTACGTAAATTAAGGAGACAGATGGATATTGTTGTATCCGAGGTGACACCTATTGATAAACATAATTATTTCAATCTTATTTTCCTACTGTCTAAATGTAGTGTCGTGGAATCTCTTTTCTGTAAACAATTTGCCTTTTGTGTAAAATTAAGGTGTCGATGGTGAGAGATTTTCGCGAAAAGGAAATACGTATTTATACCGACGCTGGTCGTATATGCCGTCCTTTGTTGATTGTTGAAAATCAAAAATTGCTGTTGAAGAAGCAACACATTGAAATGCTTAAAGAAAGAGAATACAATGAATATGGGTGAGGGATTTTCTTTGTAAGAAAATGAAATTTTACGTAAGAAAGAAATGACGTGATATTTTCACTTCCAGATGGCAAGATCTTGTTGCTAATGGCGTTGTTGAATACATTGATGTCAACGAAGAAGAATCAGTTATGGTTGCTATGACACCGGAGGATCTTATTGATAAAGGTGTTGTGTATTGTTCAACATACACCCATTGTGAAATTCATCCTTCTATGATCCTTGGTGTATGTGCTTCAATTATTCCATTTCCAGATCACAACCAGGTGGGCCTACTTTATGAATATTATTTTTCTTCAAAGAAAAAAAGCCTTTATTCTTTTTCTACAGTCGCCACGTAACACCTATCAGTCTGCTATGGGTAAGCAAGCCATGGGAGTGTACATCACTAACTTTCATGTACGTATGGATACATTAGCGCATGTTCTATATTATCCACAAAAACCCCTAGTTACTACAAGGTCTATGGAGTATCTTCGTTTTCGAGAGCTACCAGCTGGTAAGTTCATGTATTGTAGGTAAAGGACGAAATTGTCGATGATTTTTTTTCAACTTAACTAATTTACACTTACGGTATTTGCAGGTATCAATGCCATTGTTGCTATCGCGTCTTACACAGGCTATAATCAGGAAGATAGCGTGATTATGAACGCATCTGGAATAGATAGAGGACTTTACCGATCTGTTTTTTATCGCTCTTATCGTGAACAAGAGTCAAAGAAAGGCTTAGAGTCTGAGGAACTCTTTGAAAGACCGTCAAGAGATGAATGTCAAGGTTTGTTTGATGTCAAGGTATCTGTTTCTAGCGTGACCAACGTACGTTATTATATCTTGTTTTGTCACGTGATTCGTCAGGCATGCGCCATGCAATATACGATAAACTCGATGATGACGGGCTCATAGCTCCCGGCACTCGTGTGAGTGGTGATGATGTCATTATTGGCAAGACAATGACACTACCCGAGAATGATGACGAGGTAATGATGTTTTCTTTTTCAATCTTTTCTATTATTTTTGTCTTTTGTGAATTTCTTTTCTTATTCTAGTTTCAAAGCAGCAATCGACGATTTACAAAAAAAGATGCCAGTACATTTTTACGAGCTAGTGAAACTGGCATCGTTGATCAAGTAATATGTTATCATTATAGATTCTTATTTATTTTTGTCGTCTCGTATAGTAATCATTCTGCTTCTCTTAGGTATTGGTCACCATTAACCAAGATGGTTACAAGTTCACCAAAGTTAAGGTGACTTACTTCATAATTATTTCATCCTTCCCCTAATGTTAAACTGAACTTTTGCAATGTTTTCTTTCCTTTCAGGTTCGATCTGTAAGAGTACCACAGATTGGGGATAAATTTGCCAGTCGTCATGGACAGAAAGGTACATGTGGGATCACATACAGACAAGAGGTTAGGTCTTTGAATCTTCGTAGAAACTAAGCCATAAAATAGTTATCAATCGTTTTGATTACATCGTTATATTTTAGGACATGCCTTTTACATGTGAAGGAATAACCCCAGATGTTATTATAAATCCTCATGCAATACCTAGCCGTATGACCATCGGTCATTTAATTGAATGTCTTCAAGGAAAGGTATTATTTTCATAATCTTTAACTACGTCGTGTATCGCGCTTTTCTGAGTAAGTTTCATTATTTTCAAGGTTTCTGCGAACAAGGGTGAGATCGGAGATGCCACTCCATTTAATGACGCTGTGAACGTGCAAAAGATCTCTCAATTATTAGCAGAATATGGCTATCATCTTCGTGGAAACGAGGTTTTCCATCATCGATGCACATAAATTTTTCTAGAATTTTTAATTTGAACGGTCCATCAACAACACTCCACTGAGCGATTTTTTCACAAATCATTGAAGACTTCAAGATAGATGCACTTAACATTTTTTATTTTAAAGGTGTTATACAATGGTTTTACTGGACGTAAGCTTAATGCTCAAGTATTCATTGGTCCTACATATTACCAACGTTTGAAACATATGGTTGATGATAAGATTCATTCACGCGCTCGAGGTCCTTTACAGATTTTAACAAGACAACCTATGGAAGGAAGATCACGGTAAAATACATTTTTTATGATTATTGTTTGTCTATGTTTGCAGTGCATCATATTTTAGTTTTCATATTTAATAGTTAGTGATTCTTAAATTTTAGTGATGGTGGTCTTCGTTTTGGTGAAATGGAACGGATTGTCAAATATCCCATGGTGCAGCTCAGTTTCTTAACGAACGTTTATTTGAATGCTCTGACGCGTACAGTTGTCATGTGTGTGATCTTTGTGGATTAATCGCGATTGCGAATCTTCGGAACAACACGTACGAATGTCGTGGATGTAAGAACAAGACTCAGGTAGCTACGTCGCAGCGAATTTTTGTCTTAAAATTAAGCAAAGCTACCTTTATACCAAGAACTTTTGGCTACATGTTTGGGAGGGGATATGTTGCCTGGCGGATTGTTTTTTGTTGATATTTATTTTATATGTTTAGATTTCCCGCATCCGTATCCCGTATGCAGCAAAGTTACTGTACCAAGAACTAATGTCAATGTCAATTTCACCGCGAATGATGACCGTTCCTCCAGTAAAATAGTTCATCTTTAAATGATGAATTGATTGCTGTTGTACATTCCACCAAAGCAATCATTATCCATTTATACACACCGTAGGGTCAACTATTTTGTATTTTATAAAGGATACACTGTTGCAGCGGAACATTGAAGAGTTGAATAGAAGGTTTTTTAGACTTCTCCATGTTGTAATCTCGATTCGAGCTTTTACTCCACTCAAAACTAGTGTTTTTTCATAGGTGTTGCAGCTTATGCTGTGCTTGGCTTATGTTTAACAAGTTTGTTGTAAATCCTTAAAATGACCAATGACAAAATATCACAGAATGTGTTTTTGGTTTATTTCATTAAAGAAATTTGATTTGAAAATAAAGCAAGAAAAAGAATACACGAGTAATGACAGGTTCATGACACGATTTTAAATAGCATATGTTCAGTATCACTACAGTATATATTCTGTATCACTGGTCAGAAGACTCAGTACCGGCTGCTAAGTTACTAGTCGTAATAATTTTACAACCACCATTGGTACCAAACGAAATGTTTTATACCGCTGCAACTACTTGCATGGTTTCGTGGGCTCATTCATTCTCGACCTTTATGAGAAGAATATGGCGAGTGATTCTTCTGATGAGGATATAGAAGATTGGGTATTTTACCGAGATAGACTGGAATGGAAAGATGTAACACCAATTGAACAAGATGAAGGACCTTTTTCTGTTGTTGCTATTGCTTATTCTGAAAAATGTACGTTAATATGTTTTATGATTATACAATCAATCATTTAAAGGAAGTTGTAAATAATAATTTAATTTCTTTTACAGTTAAAGATGTTTACGATTATTTTCGTGCCATAATTAAATCTGAAGAGAAAAGTCAACGAGCTTTGGAATTGACTGCAGATGCTGCTCGACTAAATCCAGCCAATTATACTGTCTGGTAAGTTGTAAAACATGAATATTTCATTTTCTGTTGCTATTTGGTTCATTGAATCTTAAAATATTTATTATTTATTAAACTCGTTTTGATGTATTTATTGTCTTGCAGGCATTACAGAAGGTTGCTAATTAAAACTCTTGAGAAAGATTTACAAGAAGAGCTAGAATTTGTAACTGATGTCATTTGTGATCATCCCAAGAATTACCAAGTTTGGTTTGTAAAAGTGGCCACATTTCTTTATTAATGCCATTCAATATCTATGCATTTTATTAAACTTTAAGGTATCACAGAAGGGTTGTTGTGGATTGGTTGAAAGATCCATCCAAGGAACTTGACTTCTCAGCATCCATTCTTGAGCTTGATGCAAAAAATTATCACACATGGCAACACAGACAGTGGGTTATCAAAGAATTTAAACTTTGGAAAAATGAGATGGAATTTGTGAACAAACTGCTTGCTGATGACATAAGAAATAATTCTGCTTGGAACCAAAGATATTTTGTTATCACTCACACCAGTGGTTTTACTGACGAAGTAATAAAAAATGAAATTGAGTGAGTCTTTGTTGACTTGTATAAGATGATAAACAGGAAGACAGCTTTTTTAACTTATCTGATATCCACATTTCTTTTGCAGTTATCTGGTTGAGGTTATAAAAGATGTGCCAAATAATGAGAGTGCTTGGAATTATCTAACAGGGTAAGAAAACTTAGTGTTGTTTCATTTTAAGATTTATTATGTTTTAATTTAAATGTTGGTGTTAAGTATTCTGGAAAAAGGCCGAGCTAGCAAAGAAAATGAATTGCGGAATATTATATTTCGTTGGATTGAAGATGGAATGGATTCGCCATACTTATTAAGTTTTGCTATTGATATTTATGAAGAAGATCTTGAAAGTGGAAATTGCTCCAATGAAATATTTGAAAAAGCACAAGAGGTAGAGTAGAGTCTAACTATTATTGTTAAATTTTAAGATAGTTGACAGAAAATGAAATGTTTGAGTTTTTATAGCTGTGCAAAGTATTGGCAAATGATGTAGACTGTATCAGGAAAGAATATTGGAATTATGTCAGCAGACGTCTTCTTGCAAAATATGGCAACAAATCATAGAAAAAGAGGATTAAATCACTCATGTACTCAAATACAGTTGTCATTACACTTTTTATATGTATATTGAAATTATTCATTGTCATGTGATATTAATTATGTCAACTGTCATATTATTACTTTAAATTTTATTCATTTATGGCGGGAAATGTTGTCACGTGTCAAAGCTATTTTCCGGTTCAAAAAGATATGAGTTGCATATTGTTTCAAACTTCAAAGCTGTGTTTATGCAGGTCCATGTTTTCTTTCCGAGTTTCTAAATGTTCTTCTCACTCTTATGGTGTTAAGGTATGTAAAATATATTTGCTCTAGATGTTGATTTAAAGCTTATCACATAAGAAAGGAGACGTAGTCAGTCTCTCGGTTAAAAACTTCCATCTCAATTTGATTAAGACTTCTTGGCAATTTGAGTATTCACTAACAGTAATGAGTTAGTATTACTTGTTCATGACTTGTGATGATCTTTGTGAAGGCGTTTGATGTTGCCTATCGTTAAAGGATGGATGTATGAAACGTAATTTGTCTTCAGTCGTGGCACATCATGAATATGAATATTCCCACTGAACTCATTCCATTGTAACTTCTGTCTTATTAAAATAATCTCCTTCGGTATAAATGCTTGGTCTCTTTACTTATCTATTTAACAAATTAATGAATGGTTTCTTCTAGATTTTTCATATTTATAAATCAAATGGAAAGCGTTGACGTTCCCCGCTTCTCAACCAAAGACATTAAGGAGTTGCTACAAGATAAATTTGTTGTTGTTATCGGCGATTCTGGTAAATATATTGAGATTATAAAACATCATTAGTATGCTATTCCAGCTTGCTTGGGAATCTGATTTTTAGCAAATATTTTTATACAGTACAGCGATCTGTTTACAAAGACTTGGTATGCCTCCTGAGGGAAGATCGCTTATTAACACTGGAAGAATTGAAAGAAAAGGTTTGTTCAGAAACATATCAATGATTGATAGAATATGTAGCTTAAGATTGTGACATGTTTGCAATTCTTACAGGGAGAAGAACATTTTGAAGGTGATGAACTGTTGGATGGTGGTGTTCGTAATGGTCTTCATAATGGCACCAACTACACTGAAGAGCGTAGATATAAGCAAGATAACACAATTATTATGTTTTACTTTGTGACAAGATGCTACAACAACTATGTGCAGTCAATATTAGATGGTTTTAAGCTTGAACCTCCACAAATTATCATTATGAATTCCTGTCTATGGGATCTTCATCGATATGGTAAAACTGCTCATGAAGACTACATCACAAATATGCAAGTATTGTTAAGAGCTATTGACCTTGCAGTGCCAGCTGAAGATAGCTTATTTATATGGAATGCTACATTACCAGTACGAGAAACTGTCAAAGCAGGATTCCTTGCCCCAGGAATGACTCAAACAATACCTGCTGATGACATACGCAAGGCCAATCTCTTTGTACGAGATATGATGCAATCTTATACAAAATATGTGTTTTTGGATCTTCATCTTATCTTTATTAAGCACCTTGGGTTTCGTGTGAAGGACGGTGTTCATTGGAATGATTTTGCTCACAGAAAAATCACTTGCCTTATTTTACTTGAAATATCCAAGTGTTGGAATCATGATGCTCAATCAAAAGAGCCTTTACCAGTATTTTGTGCTGATAAAACATCTTGTCCTATTGTGAGCTACAATCATTCTAAGAATGCTGATCTTCAGTCTCGTTCATTTGAACAATCGTCATCAAAAAACAATGGCTATGTATCTTCATCTGCCACTCATAGAGGCCCTCAATCTATTCTTAGTTCATCACATCTTCCTTATCCACAAGAACACCCTCATTTCTCTGATTGTCACAATAATTGGGTTCGCAGACCACAGTTTAATAATCTTGCTTCCTCAAGGCAAAACAATACATCAATGAATAGATTTTATGCAAGAAATAATTCCCGACCAATGTTACATGGCTCATTAAGATATAGTTCATTTATGAGAACACATTTGAACCATCCTTATCATCATGGCCAAAGTTTTAATGGCCATTTTTATCAACAACATTTTTCATTGCCCAGTGCATATAACAACAATTATGTTAAGAACTTAAATGAAACATATCCTTCAGCGACAATTGGGAAGAGAAAACGCCATGAAGATGGCAACAACTTCACTCCATACAAATTTCCTCGTTTTAATGTTTAAAAGTTTATAGTTTGTATGTGTGACTATTTATATTTGAAATGTTCAGTTTTGTTTTGTTAAAGTATCTAGTCATTTTCAAATATCTGATTGTATATATAGATACATATACATATATAGTAGTTATTTTGATGTTTTGTTGATGGTTGGGAATGTTTCGGTTATCTGGATAAAACAATAGACAAAACTAGACATTTAATGAGCAAATTTGTAAATAGGACTTAATGATATACAGCTTTAAAGCGATTGATAATTGCGGTATTTATTGAATGCAAAATGTTTTATAAGAGAATATATTTTTACTAATAATGAGCATTGGTTTCTATTATCCAGAGGGGACTGTAAATAGTTACTTTTGATAAATTTCTGTAATGAGGACTCGTTTCCAGTCTTCCTGTTTTTCGGAACAAAAACGGATCAAACATGAAATTCTGTCTGATATATAAATTGACTTGAAAAAGGAAAGGAACGAGGAAAATGTGTCTTGCGTAATAAGTTTGCTATATTCTGATGAGGAGTACTCATGAAGGCACTTTTTTTTAGATATTTTCTTTTCGGTGTGAATGGAAAGCATTTATCTTTGCCATTGTAAACGATGTTTTCGAAGAAAGGAACAACTACGGTATTTACGAAGCCATTGCGACCTGGGCTTGTAGGAAAACGCTTTATAATGATGAGAGAAGAGGATATTCATGTTAAGGACAGTCAAAAATATCGATGGAAGCAAGGTTGTATTCGTGCTTGCTCTGCGAAGGATATATATGACCCTGAATTACAGGTGATTATAATATTGTAATTTTGGTAATCTATGTAATTTGTCAGTTTTTATAACACTGGTACTGTTAGTAGGATATTGTGAAAGGTCTTACGAAGGAATCTATCTTGTATAGGTGCTAATTGAATATGATGGAATCAGTTGGGAATACAGGCAATGGATCAAGATTTATGAACAAACCAAAGCTTTTTATGTTGAAAGCAACATTGTTTGGGCTCCAAGAATTCTTCCTGGCAATGATCCACAGAATATTAAATGGTGGCCTGCCTTGGTATGTGTTTTAATATCTGTTCTTTGTGAATTATCAATTAATTTGAATGGTGATGAAAAATATTGTTTTTTTTAGGCATTTGTTTCCTTGATTGACTTCATTACTGCTGATGTAGAATGTAAAATACCTATTGAGTATTTTGGGGACAAGCTATTGTAAGCAATTGATAATTAGATTTCACAAATCAGTAATACACATATGTATTAATTGTGTTCTCCTAATCCTGGTCATTCTCGACATATAACAATAACACTAATCCTGTAACACTTAACTTTAGACGTTAGTGTTGTGAATTAATGACTTGTTTTTTCAATGTGTCTTTAGAGTTTTCTTACATGAAAAGAAAATTGGATTGTTTAAGGTATTTCATTATTCCATTATAAATTAAAGAATTATAAAAGAATTTATTTTTTATTTAGCAGTCCAAAGCGATATTTTTTTGATTTTCAGCAAGTTGATTGGCTGCCTGAGCGGGCAGCTTTTTACAATATCTGCTCGTGGCAGAAGTGATATTTTTTTTGCAATGTTTTTGTTTGCAAAGTGAAATGTAAATTTTTAAAATTGATATAAAAGCCGTGTAAACTGGTGAACAAGTAGGCAAAGTGAATTCAGATCTCTCGACATCAAGTTGCATCGGGCCATCAACCATTTTACAATGCAAATTTTTTCATAATAAAAAATAAATATGTTATTTACCATTTAGCTTGGTCCGTATTTAAAAAATGTTTTTACTTGGCCTCAAGGCCAAAGGCCTCGGGCTGCTTTTGAGACCTAGTAAAAATTTTTTTCCATATGGACCTCCCATCCAATAAATAGCATATATATATTTAATCATGTATAGGTATAGTATCATGTTACCATGCATTATTTCTTCTTTATACAGGAAGACGAAGAGTGTTCACGAAAAGTGTCTGGCCTTTATCCAAATGTTCAAGATGACATTAAACAATGGAAGATGTTGCAAAAAACTCAATCTTGCCTTATGAAGGGAGCTGAAACATTGACTGGTGTACGAGTTATTGTTTATAGGTATGATATGTCATGTATAGATTTACCTAAAATAGCTTTATTTTATTTTTGTTTTTTTATATAGATTGGAGCTTCGTCAGTGGTACACTGGATGTATTACTGCTCATAATCTTAGTACTGGCGTGAGTATTTTGTTATCATAAATTGTATGTAACTATAACAAAACAAACAATATCTTTATTATGCTGATAATAAACAAATAAAGACACATTAGGCTGTTGCGGTATTAAAAAAACTTATATCGATATATCGAAAAAAAATCAATATATCAATATTTTTTCAGATTTTTTTCCTTATTTATAATGGTGCTGGCGATGACTCAGCTAGATCAAATTGAAACTTAGCCAAAAATTGCCTGCATGTGTGATTGGGTCAAAATTGTCTAATAGTATACAAAGCAATTTAAAACTGCTATAAAGCCATAAAAAATGGTAAAAAACCATTAAAAACTATCTATAATAACTAAATATATTGTAACATCGATATTTCGATATATCGAAAAAATCAATGTTGATAAACCAATATTTAAAAAAGCCAATATTTATCAGTATTTTGATATTCCGCAACAGCCTAAGACATATCATTACTTCTATAATGGTTCATGGGCATACATGTTGGGGAAATTTTGCTAAGTTATAGCTCCACAGTGATATACATTTTTGTCAACTTATCAAAGTGTATTTGTACAATGTTGACCACCTTAACTTGCATTGTTTTGCTTTTCACTGTAGGAGCTTCATGTTATGGATGATAATGTTCTTCAAACGCACCCTGTGGATCCTGCTTTGGTTCAAATTAAGCTCATGGCTAGTGGTATGATTAAATAATTTCATATTAAAAACTTTAAAATTGTGTGGAATGATTTTGAATTTATCTTTTAGAGGAAGAACTGAATCGTTTGCTTGTTGGTGAACAATCAAAATCAAGAAGACACAGACATTTACCTTCACATTTATTATCAAACTCCAATGAACAGAAGTCTCAGGGAAAGTGTGTGTCTGTAAAAAAGTCACAGTTTGAAGAGAATGGTATTGATAAAAAAATAACAAAAAATCCAAGGTATGATGTTTGAAAGTACCATCTGTGGCGGGTCACCATAGTTATGAATCTTTAATTTTTTCATTGTTTTTTTTCATTAGGCATCAAAGCTCTTCCAATGACAAATCTTTGATTTCAAGAAAGGAAAATGGTGCATCAGAAACAAACACAGTAAAAGTTCACAAACTCATACCAATAACTACAACATCTTCCAACAATATCAATTACCCTCCTTACTCAACACAATCCCCCAAGATCATCGCCTCTCCTTATCTGGCTTGTCGTAGGAATAATAATTCACCCAACATGACACTGTCAATCCACACCAATACACCACCCCCACGAAATAAAATGTCATCACGTACTGCTAGCTACCAGTCTCCTATTGCTTCTATGCCATTGAGTGGACAATCTGTTTGGGCAGCGGTTGGGCACGAATCAAGGGAAAACAATCATGAAGTGGGTTCATCTGAATATTGGCATGGAGAAGGTGTTTTCTCATTGTCTGGTGTATCGATGTCATCGCCCGAGACATTGCTGTCTCAAAAGATCAATGTCGAAAGCAATGCAAATGTTTGTCAAGCAACCACTGATAATAAGACCATACAAGCATCAACAGCAAGTTTACAAGGATATGGTCAACCACGTGGTTTATCTCAGCGGTCAGATGATTTATTTCACAGTCTTCATGGAAATTGCTCACTCGAAGATGAATTAGAAAATTCTGCTTCATCAAGGGCAAACTCTTGTAATGATAAGAAAATGTCGGATTCCATGAATGGAAAGCACATGACGACGATCATACACAAGAAATCATCAAATATTAGTTCACTAGAAGTTCAGCAAACCAATGGAAATGTTCATATTCCTCAAGAAGTTATGGTGGAGAATGATTTCAAGCAAAACATGCGCATAAATCGTTCACGGGAGGAAATGAGACAATCTAACAACACGGTAACTGACAAAATACCCTCATGTTCACATCTTAGGTCGATTGCGCAAATTCAGTTTGATTATTTGAGGTATCTTGAAGCATTGGTTCGTTTTCAACATCGTACCATTCTCGAAGCTGTTGATATCATCAGTAAAACTGCAACAGAAGAACAAAGTTTTCTTGTTACTGATTTTTTTACAAAACTTGTTGAGAGTAATTGGCACACGGAAAGAATTTTCCATGAAGCGTTTTTCACGCGACAAGAAAAGCAACGAGCCCAGTATGATCGTCATGCTTCCTTTAAAACGTGTACAAGTGAATCATTCAATGGATGTCTACCTGAAGACATGAGAAAAAGGCTGCGATTAATGCAGGATGCCGTTAATAAAGAAAGAGACGAAGTTCTTAACGTTGTCTTGTCTTGTGATGAATCTCGTCATGGCAAAGATCGCAAAGATTGGGAAATGTTAAAACAACAAATGAGGGCAGAACAATGGGAGAAACACACTAAACAAAATAACAATTTAGCATTTTTGAATTTCCCGCCTTATAATGATAAGGATCTATGGAAGAAGATGAAAGATTTAAGTGATGGACCTCGAACATACGAACACTTTCATAATGATGATCAAGGGCCGACTTTGAATGATCATATTCAATCTTTATCTGGCTCTGTAACCCAAATGAGTAATGGTAGCTGCAAAAATCAGCAACCACTACAACAAAAACTACTTCAGCAACAACAACAAAAACTACAACAACAACAACAACCCCTACAAAAACGGCAGCAACTACAGCAACAACAACAACAACTACAACAGCAACAACAACAACAGCTACAACAACTACAACGGCAACAACAACTACAACGGCAACAACAAAAACAGCAGCAACAACAACTACAACGTCAACAACAGCAGCAACCCCAACAAAAACAGCAGCAACAACAACAAGAACACCAACTGCAACAGGAACATTTTGAACAAAAACAACAACATGAAAATGTTGAAAAGAACATGGTAGATAAATTATTGCAGATAGAAGACGTTCAACAGAAAGCATTATTTTTGCAACACATTGTTCAAGAATTGGAAAGTCAAAAAGGAACGAAGGATTCGTTAAATTCTCTATCTGACGTTCAGAAGGCGGGTAAAGAAAGTCAAACATCAAATACTTATCGTGAGAAAAAATTGGCTCAAACATTTCAGGTTAGAAGGAAAGATGTTTTGCAGCTAGCCTTTGATAGTGAGATGCTAGAGATTTTCATTATTCTTTAGCATGTTTTTAGCTTACGAAGTAAATTATTCATTTGTTTTTGATTTTCCTATTTAGATGAATTTAAATCATGTTTTGTCCAACTCCCCCATGTCTTTTCATTCATCTGCCGAACAGTTATTGTCCTGTGTTGCAAGCATTGCTCCATTGAAAGAAACTAATATTGAAACTGATCAAGGTTTAACAACAGCTTCTACGATGAGATTAAATGAGAAAACCACCTTAAGCCAGGTAACCAAGCGAAAAAATGAGCGAATGACGTCACTTGCTGTAAAACGTTCACGTAAAAAGAACGTCAACAAAAAAAACTTACATCCAGAGATAAGCTTGAAGACGAATACCAACATGACTGCGACTTGTGATACGAAAAATGTGGAACAGAACAGACTGAAGATGCTGGCATGGGCTAGTTCTACGTTACGAAATGATTATTCAACACAAACATCTCAAACACCTGTATTTACAAATGTTATAAAATTTAGTCCACCAAAAAATCCAAATGAAAATCGTCGACAATCGGTCGATTCTGACGGACAATCTTCTGTTGATTGCACAAATTCCCTTACAAACAAACAACATTCTGTGAAAACGGTTCAAGATTCAAGTTTTTTCACTGGGGTATCTACTTCAACTGTTTCTCCTAAATTTTCGATGGTGTCTATTGGTACGTTCTCACCTCATGCTCAAAAGATAGAGAAAAATGCACCACTTGAACAAAGTTCGTCTTTTTCTGGAAAAGTTGAGGATAAATTTGACGAACCGCTGCGTCAGATGGACAAAGTTGACTTGGTGAAGGGTGTAAATTGCTCACAACAACGCTTCACTACAACCAAAATCTCAAAGAAAAGCAATGGCAACATAACGAAAAATTTCCAGTTGTCTAAAAAAAATCCTTTAACTCTTTTGTGTCTCTTGACTGAAAAAAAACGTGAGAACGAGAGTAAAAAACGTGAGAACGAGAGTAAAAAACGTGAGAACGAGAGTAAAAAACGTGAGAACGAGAGTAAAAAACAGGACTCGGATTGGATGGAAACCGATGTTACATCAAACTTTCGTAAAAATAAGAATACCGAAGTTGCCGAGGATAGTAGTAGCAAAGCTCTTGAATCGAAAAAGGCCGATCAAATCAAACAAAAAGTGGGTAGTGGATTAAGAGATTCTGCAGTGAGAAATGAAAATGTCCTGTCTGCATGTTTGCAGAATGTTCATTTGCCACAAAGTAGTGAACAACAATTGAAGAATTGTGAAATCTCCTCAACTGAAGAACATTTAACAGCAACAAAAACAACAAAGGCGAAGCAGTCTTCAGGAACAAGAAAAAAAATATCCAGGAATAAGGAAAACAATAAAACTGTTTGTTCATCAGAAAATAAAGATAAAGATAATGAAAGCGAATCAAAGCAAAAGAACTTGGTATCAAGAAAAGATATCTGGGATACAGCTCATAGTAAGAACGGAATATCTTCTATTGTTACTGATAATAAAACATCAAAAATTATGGAGAAGAGAGAAAACAGTGTTGCAAACGATATGATTGGGAAAAATATTGATTTTACCGCAAAATTCTGTCTTTGGGATTTCGATAGAAATTCTGTCATCAATAACGTCTTAGCAGCGAAGAAGGAAACCGAAATGATTTTGTGGAACACTCAAAATGGTCGTATTTTAGATGGAGATGATTCAGAAAACCTGGAATCACCGTCTAAGAATTTGAATAAGAACTGTGTTAATAAGTTGAATGATAAAAATTTAGAAACGAGTATTGTAGACAATATAAACGGTCGTGCAATGATAGCAGCATCTGTAGATGATTCACATACGTTAACTGCTGAAGAAAGATTAATGTCAACATCGTTGAATTATGGAAAACAGTGTGAAATGGATGTCAAGGAACTGCATCATAAGTTCAACGACGACTTAGGGAAAGAGAATATACGGTTAAAAAGACAAGATGGTAAAGGGATTTCGGAAGAAGAATGTTTTGTCCGTCGTCAGGAGTTCGACAGCAATAAAATAATCAAAGATTGTGTAAATTCAAGAAAGCGAAAACGATTTCAAAATGCATCTGAAACAAGCAAAACTGATTTGGAGAAAGGTAGGATTTTATATAAAAGTACGTAGTCATGATTAACTTATGACTTACACATATATTATGGTACGATACAGTGGAAAATGAAAAACTATTTACTTATACATTTTACTCACTGACTTGCGGATCAGTGTAAAACAAGTTTGAAGTAAAAAAGGCCATTTGACCTATAGGTCATATACTCACAGAAATATAGAGTCTAGCTGTATCCTATAGTAAAATTTTTTGCACGTCATTACAGTTGGATTTTTATCTTAAATTTAGATGGAGATGATTACCTATCCATATCAACAGATGATGCGGAGAAAGACCAACATCCCGAGAAGAAACTGTGTAAAAAAAATTCAGAAGAGAACAAAACGACGAAATGTCGTAAAAAAAAAGAAAAAACGTCAAAGGAAAGCAATGATGGCGATACGTTGACTGCCAAAATGGACACTTCGGACGAGAAGACTGGGAACAAGGAATCAGTAAATGAAGCGAAGAGAATTGCTAAAGAAAGTAAATATGAAATTCTCTTTTACGGATAAAATGATTTTTTATTAAATTAATCGTCATCGCTTTGTTGTGACCATTTTGAACATTTGGATGTATTTTGTTATAGAAAAATGTCGAGAAAAAGTGAAAGAAGAATGGGTTTATTTTCTTCAGGTATTTTATATTCAATTTATGAAAACTTTCTTTCTCTTTAAATACTTTAATATAGTCCATGACAATTTAAGATACTTATCCTGAGCTGTGAGCATTGCTTCGTGCACACATATATTTTGTGTTGGAGCTCAGTTCTCAGACTTATTCAAGTCCTACGTTTCTCTGAAACTGTTAAATATTTAAAAACCTTAACCAACTTAACAAGTTTCGCATGTCTTTTTTGTTATACATCACACAGCGTGGCGGTTGTAAAGCATTTCCAAGTTTACCTCAATGTCGCGAATGTAACAATTTTGAACACCATGACGAGACCATCTGTTGTCGCTTTGATTTATTTCGACAGTAAGTTTTACACAGTTTGCTGCTCTTCCATTCACGTCGTAGATATTTTACATTTTATTCGTTCTTATGTTTGTTAAGATGTCGTTCAAAGTCCAATAAGTTTGAAACGGCTGGTTTTTTAACATCTGAACACGCACAAACTGAAGATTTCGTTCCGTGGATTGCAGGCAATGAAGGTCGGTTGATAATGTTGTAAATGAAACAATTATATGTAGTTATTATGAATGTATCATGTTTTTGTAGTCAATACACTACTGTCATTTGAAGTATCCAAGTATATTTTGGCAAATGTTGGCGACGAGTTTTGTAATCTTGTACAACAAGAAGAAAAAGCTTTTTTTTTACAGAAGTCAAAAGGTTACTCAGAGTTTTTGTATTTTATAACCGCGCAGTTATAACTAACTTATATGTTCTATTCTTTTAGGATCCCAAAAAATCGCGTGGAAACGCGCGGTTCGTGGTACTCGCGAGATGTGTGACGCTTGTGCAACAACGATTTTCAACGTTCATTGGGTCTGTCCTAAATGCGGCTTTGGCGTATGTTTAGATTGTTATGCAGAAAGAATGAATGTGTCAATAAGTACAGGTAAAATATTCATATCAACTATCTAATGTTGCATGTATATTTTAATAATTATAATGTATTGTTTTATTGATGTCATTGATGATACATTATCTTTCTTTAGCAGATAGTGGTCGTTCAAAGAGATTTTTATGGATGAAGTGCTCAACAAACGTCGGTCATAGACCTCAACGTTTGCTTCTTGCTCATATCATTCCGAAGAATAGTAAGTTTTACAAAGAAATAAACCATTTTTTTTATGTTACATCACCACTGATGTTCATATTTTTTTTCATTTGCTTCTGTAGCATTACATAAAATTAGCGAACAGCTTCATGCGGCCCGAGAATATTGGGGAATCGGAGAAACCTGTCCTTGCAAACATTATACAAATACTGCTGAGGTAAAGGAAATTGCCGATAATTCTTCTGTGGATGAATGCCTACCGATTTCTACTCGTTTGGAAGAAAAAACAGATGGTTTTGTGGACACTGAAAATGCGAGTGCAACTCCCAATGTTGTTTGTAAAAATAATGACACATTGAAAAAATCAAACGTTGAAAAGTTAGAAGATACTCTGACTGATGACACACAGATGGTCGAAACATCTAAATTACATGTTCATAAATCACTCAATCCTCTCGTGAATGAAACGTCAACTACGTCAGAAAACGATCTCATCTCAAGTGGTTCTAATCATCTCTCTGAAACATCCCAATTTCCTAATGTTCCCTCTGCAATATCTCAAGATACTGTAGTGTCCCCTGTAGTACCTGAAGATGGCAAAACACCCGATGTAATCTCTCAAAACGAAGATGAAAAGATTGAAAAACTAAGTTTCGGTGCTTTAAGCCTTATCATGGATTATGATTCACCACCATCCTCTCCCAATACGCTACAAATGAACATTATTACTCCAGGTTCTTCTTTCATTTTCTTCACATTTTATTTCTATGTAAAGTTAATTTTTCCTTTTTTTACAGCTGAAGAAGCGCTTATCACTCGACCTTCTTCAACTGAGGGACAATCATCGGAAATGGATATTCAACATTCTAAAGCTGCTTTTACATCTTTGGAAAATACTTCTGTCTTTATGAAGGAGTCAATGGAGCCATGTTATCAATCATCAAATATGGAGTCTTTAGAAACTGTTGATCTTACCACACGGGTCCAACCAAGAATTACTGATGAACTTCCTGCGCCTCATTCATGGATATGTCAGCGTCCAATGCTAAGACTTCATGTTCCAGATCACGAAGGAAATCTTAAAGCTTTTCAATCGAGATGGGTGAAGGGAGAGGTAAATAATTAAGCTCGTCAAAAACATTGTGACACGTTTTAACGATGATATTTTTTTTAAAAATATATTTCAGCCAATTCTAGTCAGTGGTGTTCATACGAAAATGGAAAGCCATCTGTGGACACCTGAAGGATTTGAACTGGAGTTTGGTAAGTATTGAAAATATGTTGTGGGTAAATTTTTAGTCATTTATTTCACTGATTTTTTTGTATGTATTTATGAAGGTTCGGAAAAAGCTGATGTTGTCAATTGTAAAACTGGTGGAACCATTGAAAAAATGGAAATAGGAACATTTTGGAAGGGATTTGAAAGTGTCAAAGGTTTGCTTTTTTTTAATTTACATTTAAAAAACATTTGAGAAAAACGATAATTTTTTGAGCACAAACATTATCAAAATGCCATCTTCAGTGCACAATGGGTAGTGTTAAGTAATATGATACATTATATTGGAAGCTAACATGTGAAGAAGTTATTTACAATGAATAGGATTATGATTTCGTTAAAAATATCAAAATATTAACATAAAAAATATATAAATTTAATTATTGAAAACTTATAACAGAAAGAAATATTATAATATTATTATGCACTGAAGATGGCATTCTGATGATGTCGAAACATGTTTGCGCTCAAAAAAATTATCGTTTTTCTTAAATGTTTTTTAAACTTGCTGCTAATTAGAAATTATAGTTTACATTTCATTTGATTGTTTATTACTTTTGACGCTTTTTTGTGACCTACACATGTAGATCGTCCTCTTGATCAAAAAGGACAACCAACACTTTTAAAGTTAAAGGTGAAAACTGATATTTTCTAATGTGTTTAAAATTTGGAAAAGATGTTTAAGAAATGCTTTTTTACCTCAAAGGATTGGCCTCCTGAAGCAGACTTTGTTGAAAAAATGCCGCGAAGGTAAGATTTAGACTCGTTGAATAACGAAGAATTTATAAATTTAATTGCGTCGGATTAAAGGAATCAATAAATTGGGTATTTTCTTTCAGATTTAATGATTTAATGAATGCATTACCTCTACAAGAGTACACTAGTAGAGAAGGTACACGGAATTTGGTTTCAAGGTTAGTAGTATAGAACATTTCAACATGGGCTGAAAAATATTGCTACTAGTAACGTTAGATCTTCATTTTAGATTACCGGACTTCTTTGCAAAACCAGATTTGGGACCCAAAATGTATAACGCTTATGGTGAGTCATTTTACGTGATGTTTGAATTATTGATCTAAATACGTATGAGAAAACTTTTATTGCTTCTTTCAGGCAACGCTGCATTTCCTAGTGCTGGAACAACAAATCTTCATATTGATATGTCAGATGCCGTTAATGTCATGGTATGTATTGGACAGCGGTCTTCAAACCAGCCTGTTGGAAATCTTTCTTTACCCTTTGATAATCATTCTTTATTAGATCGTGCTTCCTGAGCTTCGTGCTACAAGGCCCTGTTCTGTGTCGAATCCTCTATTTCATTTCATTTGGATTAAAATTAAGTAATGTAATTAATTTCTTCAGGTTTATGTTGGTGTACCCCATGAAAAGGTCTATGGAGAACAGGAAAGAAAAGGTTAGTTTGAAATAAAAATTGATATAATTTTCATCTTATCTCATTTTTTTTTTTTATCAATTATCAAGATTCCATGACTTGCTTGGACAAGGCATGTGATGAAACACAGCAGTATCGAGCTCATAAGGAAACAGAAGCATTGGTAGTTATATCATTGGTCCATTATTATTATTATTGATCACGTGACGTATTTCAAAGTATGTTTATTGATGTAATTGTCAGGGTGCGCTATGGCATATCTTTGCTGCCGCCGACGCTAACAAGATTCGAGACTTTTTTCACAAAGTAGTGTTTTTGGCTGTGTACGTTGATAAAACTTGTATTCTGCCAGATTCATAGGAAAATCACTTTTCTTCTCTTAGGTGTGTCGTGAAAAGAATATGAAATATCCAGCAAGTCATGATCCAATACACGACCAGGTAAAATCTTCATCTTCATTTACGTGGTTAAATTCCGCTTCCTGATGTATGGATTTTAGCTTCCCTTCTCTCTTCGTGCTTTGATTTATCATTGTCGTATTGCAATTCAGTGTTTTTATCTGGATGAGCCCTTCTTAAGAGATTGAAGGATGAATATGGTGTTGTGGGTTGGCCTATTGCACAATTTCTTGGTGACGCTATATTTATTCCTGCTGGAGCTCCACATCAGGTAAAATGGGAAAGAAAAGAGGTTTTGGGAAGGCAGTGCGTGATTGTAAATAGAGAAATTGAAAAGCTTGAGGTAATAAGAGGAAACTAGGGATTCGAGTTTGTTGTCTTAGTAAAACTGTAAGATTTTAGTTTGTTTTGACGCGTTGGTTTTATTTACCAGGTTCGAAACTTGCATAGTTGTGTAAAAGCAGCTGAAGATTTTGTGTCACCTGAAGTAAGTATTTGTCATTGTCGACTTATAAGGATAAAAATTATGATCTACTCTCATAAATGGAGTAAATTGACCCAAGGTATCTGTTTCCTTTCTACTTAAACAAAATACTTACCAATCAATATTCTTTTCTTGCTTTCCACAGCATGTTGGCCATTGTTTCAAGCTTACAGAGGAATTTCGTCATCTCTCTGATAAACACACCAATCATGAGGACAAACTCCAAGTACGTTCCACTTTTTTTGTCATGCAATTATTCATGATTAATTCTTTATAGAATGGCAATATGTCAAGATGTTGGGTTTATAGATAACGGACTTATTATAGTCTTCTAAACAACAAGAAGCGTTGTTTAGTTTAATAATCTGATTATTTCAGGTAAAGAATATAATTTATCATGCAGTCAAAGATGCTGTGAGTGTATTACGTTATCATGAGCTGTCGTTCAAAGACATGAAAACAACTCAATCGAAGTAATTTTAAAAGTTTTTTTGGTTTGTATTTATTAAAATCGATATAACATAAGTTTGAATAGATTTTTTGTATAAATTTCAACACTGCATATAAGTAGTCAAAATATATCTTATTATTTATTACTCATGGAATCATCAGGCCTATCAAAGTCATTTAAAATGTATTTTTATCAAACATAATATATTTTGTACAATATGAATAGAAGTCAGCTGATGCGAGCATGGATATTTCATGATATTTTATAATCATATAATCATCGGTGATTGATGAAGGTGCTTTAAAGACGCTGATGTTATCCTTGATGTTTTTTATTTCTAAAAATTGGTGAGTTGTGTTATCTTTATTGAATTTTGAAGTACTGACTATAGATTTTAAAGTCATATCAATTCACAGAAAGAAAAGTATTTGATTAATGGCGATTACATTTCACAAATTTTAAAAAATCCAGTAATTTTTTGGCTTAATCAATACACAGAAATAAAATTGTTTCACAGTCTATGTTCGTAGTGGCTTGTGCTGCTAGCTAATAAATCATAAAAATAATATTTCAATTGGCCAACGAAAGTCTTCAAGTCGTAAAGCTGCCTTGATTTTGTGGTGTGCTTGATTTTCTTCTCTTTGAAACGAGAATTGACGACGATCTTCTGTCAATGGCAGGTAGATCTGAATCATTCAAATTGTCGCGTATCCCGACACTCATTGCGCACTGAAGAAGAATTCGGGTGAAACCATCTCTAAAATCTTTGTTCATACGAGCGTAAATAAGAGGATTGAGGACACTGTTTACATAATGAAACCATTTAGCTGCAATAATAATGTCGCTTCCAATATTCCGATAACAACTTTGACATATAGCATAGAAGTTCAGCACAAAGAACGGACTCCAGCAGATGAAAAATGCAGATATGACAATGCCTAGGGTTTTAGCTGCTTTGATTTCTTTTCTTAAACGAAATTTTTTCGTTGTCCCGTTCAAAGGAATATCTATTTTTTTAACCTGTCGACATGCAACTCTGAATATCATGGAATACATTATTACCATGATAAGCAAGGGGATAAAAAACCCGATCACAGTAAACATAACTTCAAAAATTATTTCCGTTTTTTGGAATATACCCCGACTTGCTGCCAGTAGTGTTGCAAATACCCACATAGAAATGATGATTATTATCACCCGCCTTCCGACTATACGTTGGTAATAACGAAGAGGTGACGATATACAAATATATCGTTCAATGCTGATACAAGTCAAGTTGAAGATACTTGTGAGACCGCATATGATGTCCGTTAATGTCCAGATTACTCTTGCTGAAGTTCCGATTTTTTCCCATTTTGGATCGGGCCCTGTGACCACATGAATCCCCCAAATTGGCATTGAGAGCATGCTTATTAGAATATCGCTTATAGCCAAGGAAACGACAAAATAGTTGGTCACAGATTGTAGTTTATGGTATTTCTTGAACGCCATCACAACTAGTGTGTTACCAAAAATGGCAAGCGACATTATAGCGAAAGTTATAGTCGCGCTGATTATTTTGTATGTTTCTGAGTACATGTGACGTGAATGATGGGTTGAATTTGTTGGATTGCTTGTTGTGTTTGACGCCATCTTTATTCTTTGGTCAACGACAGAATATCTGTGAAAAAAATGAAAGTCTTTGCTGTAAGTAACCGCTAACTTTGTAAATTGTATTTATTATTCGGTGTTAAAGTTTTTTTCGATAGAAGTACACAAATTTAAAAGGAAATTTAACATAAAAAACGATGAAATGCTCTCAAAACACTTAAGGAAGATTTCTCATTTCTCATTTTGTTTTTCTTTCAAAAAAATATTACTAACATCAGGTTTGATTTTCTAGAGATTTTCTTGATCAAGAGTAATATTAAAGTTGAATACTTTACTGGTATTTGACAACGCTATCAGTAAATAGCTGGGCTGTTGAAACAAGAGTTCGTTTAATTATTTTGACTGACACCATTACTGTTTTCATTTTCATCATCTTGACAGATTTTATAAAGAATGAAACAATGATAGGTGCAGAGAATAGATAATATTCCTTATTATTACAGTCGTCTTTGTTGTCATTTGTAATTGGTAAAAGCTGGAAAAAGGGAATTTGTCTAGATTGCTCGATGTATGCATTCCTTTATCATAAAAGATCTATTCTGTCATACTTCTCTTGGTCATTTTAAACTATGCTTCCTTACAAACGTTTATAACGAAAGAAAATATGTTACATATACAATTGTTATTCATATCACAATGACAGGAAGAGAACTTTCCAAACATTCTCAACACACAGTTTACACAACGAAAACACAATTAAGAATTTCAACATCTGTTTTAAGGGACTTTGTCTTCGAAATTATTTTTACATTGTTTGTTGCAAATATGTGTTAATCGTCAAATAATACACGACGCCAAATATTTTTGCTATAAATATTCGACATGGGAAAAAGATAATTTAATTGAAAAAATGCTTTGATATTTTAATAAAAAATTTGGCAAAGAGAAAAACAGTAACAGAACTTTAAGTCATTTAAAACGAATGCAGTATCTACATGAAGACATATCGACTTAAATGTTTCTGCCTGCGACAGTTGAAACGTAAAGTTTGCTCAATGATTTTTATAATATGAAAAATAAATTAATAAACGGCACATGTTCAAATTTTTCTTCATAAAGGGATGTTTACTTGAGCAATATGGTCACGTTTAGTATGTCTTTAGTTCAATGTAATTATGTGAAGGAGTTTTTTAATGGAAAATCGATCATACAAATTAGCAAAATGTTGGCGCTTGTAAAAATCTGCTTTGAATTATATTGAGATGTTTTTGACTCGGTTATTTGAAATATAATACATCATATCTTTACCTCCTACAGTGATAAAATGCTACAATGCCAGTAAGAAACACCGCTGAAACTGAAAATAACACGAAGACATTGATACAAGCAACTGTTTCGTTTTTAGGTCAAAGTTATAACAAACGAGTTTTCTAAAGAATTCAACCTAACACATATACACACACAAATTCTATGGTATTTTGATGAATCACATTTAATCGACTGTGTGAAAAGAACAGCTTGTGCTTGTCAAAAACATGTTAAAATCTTGCTCAACTTTCTCCAATAAAATAATTAACTACCCTGACTAATACAATGTTTTATAGCATTCCAGCTACAAACAGAACTATATATACCTACCTACTCTTTGTAACAATAGTATAGTATAGCGCTTACTAAATAACAAAAAACGTTACCATAGATGTTAAATAAGCTTGTATTTCTTGTGATATCTTGCAGGTTGGAATTGCCAGGATGAAGAAACTTGCTGTCTTCTTAACACAGATGTTGTCCACTAACAACGTAAAGACGAGAACAGAAACAGTTGTCACCGTAAGTGTGCTTACTTAAATAATCTTACAATTATTTTAAAATTGTATTTTATCTTAACAACTCAAGATTGACGTTCGTTAAAGATAAACGATGCAATGACTGTAATTTAACGCATTTCAGTCATATTTCCTGGGCGCTCTTATGTAAAGCCACGCGATGTAAATACCAACAGCTGACGGAGGTGACTGTTAATTTGCGCGTTTTTCTCTCCACATCGCGAATGTATTTTTGCGCATATTTTTGCCGACAACGCGTCCTGTTTTGGTTTGATTTTCCCACGCCAAATATTTAGTAATCAATAAGTCCAACTAGAAGCTTTATCCGTGAGTTTGGGCATTCAATTTTTTAACGACGATTTTATCGCCCATGTATTAAACAAAAGAACTTAGTTGAGGTAAACGCTTTCAAAAACGAACCATTAATGAATTGCATGCGTAAATGAACATGTTCAATTTGAAAAACTGTCTGGTTGATTAAACAAAGGAAAAGTTTGAAATTTCTAAAAGTTCATATAACATGTTGAATGAAGAAAATTTCGCTTGCACATAAAACTTTGATATAAAAAGCTTTGCTCGCCCCCATTCCCCTTCTTTGTTATGGCATATGTTTTGTTGTCAAACATTTGTGTTTGCATGACAGATGTTGAGTTAGAATGTAATCTTTATATCTTCGAATTATTAAGAAAGTCACAATTGACATCCTACCCAGTTAATCTGCTTTAGCTATTTTAAGATCAGGTCAATAACGAGTGGCTCTAAATGATCTAGCAGCGACTTTATTAAATTTTCTTGTTTGTCTCGTCTTCAACTCTAAAATTATTACGTATTTTTATGCTTTGTTTCATTACATTTGTGAAGATTTAAGTTTTTTTCATTCTCTCAACTCAGAACATCGATAAATGGTTAAAAACTTTTAATGCAATATTCTTTTCTGAAACAAATGCGTTGAAAGTGTACGAAGATTTAAATCCGATTTTAAAAACTTAGATCATCAATAACATATTGTACCGACGCTTGAATTTACACAGATTGAAATGATTGATATATTGCTACGTGACGATTTTATGCAATAAAAACAACTTTTGTCTGGAGATTAGAAGATTTCCAACACGTGAATATTGATCACACATAATAAGACTGACAAAGCTAATGTTGGACTTTGTTTCATAATACAGTAAATTTTCATTTGTGCTGACCTCTCATGTTGATATCTTTACGTAATAGAAACCTGCAAAATTGATATTTCTTATACTTCTTAAAAAAATATATCGCAAACACCTTTTCTAAATTTAAAGTTTGGCTAAGTTAAAAATAATCTTGTTTGAACTTTGTAAACTTGATTGAAGAGTGTTGATGATCACTTTACAAGCGTATTTGTTCAAAGAATCATAAGTCATCCAAACAGAGCAAAAGAGAAGACAAAAATTCATCGCTACTCAGTCTACGTTTTCACACGCTTTCAAAGTCTTCTTTTGTTGTGAAGATATCGAAAGATTTCAATAGATTATGAAAAAAGCAATTTGTTTCTCTCCAATCAACTGTGTCAGAGCAAAGTTTTGTTTTCAACTTTTTTCATAAAATCGTTTTTATACATATAGTTAGGTCTACAAATTTACGAAATATTTATACATATCACTGTCCGTGATTAGTTAACATCAGGTTGCGAATTATTCATACAATCAAAATTACAATAACTAAAACAGCATGCTCTAAAACAGTTTAAAACATATGCTATGAGATCTGAAAAGATATTTTTCCAAACACTTACATAGGAAATAAAACGATTGAAGATGTTTTCTTGTTACAAATATCGTCTAACATTCTGCTGAATATCAAAAAGCAAAAATGGATATTTCATTAAAATTTAAAAAGCGTTTGAATGTAGTATAAATTATCAATTTATTAACACGTCATAAATTGACAATTTTTGTTGAATTACAACTAATACTAAAGATATACGTTCGAGTTTCTGGCCATAAATCTTCATGCGTAGAATATATCGAAGGCAATAAAATTTAAAAGCTGGCGTATGAGCAAAAAATAAAGCAAAGTGAGACCTCTTGTCTCTAAATATTTTCTAAAACTACGTTCTCCAATGACTGTACATGGTGATAGAGATTGTTATCTCACCATTATATCTTGCTATAAAAAATATAAAGAACTTGTCAACGGAAATACACGCTCGTTATGTTAAATCCAACGATAAATTTCATGTTAATGCTCTATATGTATTACCCGTCCAGGATGATCGATGTATATATGCTAAACAGTTACAGCAGCAGGTGAATAATTCAGCTATTAAATTAGAGCCAATTCAATAAGAGAACTGCTTGGTTTCTTATTAATTTATTTTTTTAAATTTTTCGAATGCATACTGAAGTAAGAAAGCAAACAGAAAATTTTTTTTTCAAAATCACTATGAGAATATTTACCAATTTCTTTGAAATGAATTCACATATGGGTCATTTCGTAAGGTATTTATTAGAAGTAGTAAGCGTCAGAAACGCGTTTCTCGCAAATCTTCGTTGAAGATAATCACTATTTGACGTTAATATAAATACAGAAGATGGTCTTTAGTGATAAGGAAAACAGATTTGTGCATGTTGATGAACGAAAACAGATAATTATTAAGTTAGTATAGAGATACAGGAAAGTTGAATCGAACTAAAACCTAAAGTTAACGATTGCTTTTTAACTGCATGAATATTTTCATTCTGCTTTCAACATAGCCATCTTAATTGCTCTGTTTTAATTCTTAAGATCGGATTAGCTTAGGCTGCATGCTAGCATTTTCATTCTTTCAAGATATTTTTAGCTCGACATCTATACAACAAAGATCTTGGTGGCATGCATTATAACCGTTCACAATGATTGATAACAATCTTTATGACTTGTTTTATTGTGATCAGTTATTGTAAGCCCCAAGCGAGTTTTATGTGCTCAAACTACTATCAAATTTTATGATAAATAATTAAATGGACCTAGATTTATAAATCTTTTTTCAAGCAGGAAAATGTTGACTTATTGAGCCAAGTGAAATGATGCTATACTTAAAATAAATATTGGTACTATTTCTGAAGTTTTTGACGTGTTTCACGAGAAATTTTATATCATTGCAATCACAAATGTGTGAATGATTTGACAACCTTATGTTCAAACACCGACAGAAGATTGTTCTTGATTATAAAATGAGACATGTCGGTGGTCAGTTTTTGATGTCACGTAGATATATGAACCTTTCTCTATCAGTGATGAGGAATTTCCATATTTGACTCCTCCACATGTTTTTTTCATATAAAAAACTAATTTTATCTGAATAGTTGTGTATGTTTATGACAATGTCAAACGCTGTCATTGATCTTTTACACATCATAAGCATTGTATCCTGGGGAACGAGGATTTATCGTATGAATTCATCTGTATGAAAGATGACTGTTTGTGGCATCTTTTCTTCTTCGATAAAACGCAAAAACAGTTATAAAACGAGGATCTCTTACATTTTAAAAATTCTTATATATTATATTTAAAAATTATATATATATACATACATCCATCGAGGGAGCTGATTGCTAAGAATTTATTTTTATATTACTATCTGTTAGTTGTATAGAAGAAAAATATAAAAAAACTTACAAATATTTTTTATAAGTCCCTTTATTTGCTTTTGATAAATTATAATATATAATTTTGCCTGCATCTTTTTAAGTGCTGCGCACACAAAATACAAATCTATAAATGTCGACATTAGCAGCATGCCCCAAACATTAACGATTACTTTCTAATTAAATTCTTACGTCCCTACAACGGTCGGAAATTTTAAGACCACTGGGTAATTTGATAGAAATTGTTAAAATGATTGTTAAAATGAGACAAAATTTGTTCTCTTAAAGACATCTTGAATTGTAAACTAAAGTAAAAATTCCTAAACTGAATATCTACTTTGCTTTATATGACGTGTCATAAAGATTTCTTTTCATATAACCTTCTGTCGTTTGACATGTTTAAAAAACAGATTGCGCGGTCTTCGCCTTATATGTTGAATATTATTTTCCCACTGTGAAGTGTTAAATATGTTTCGAAGTTCGTGTTTTGTTACTTGGAAAGCATTTGTATTCGTCTGTTTAGAGTACGATTGTGCTTTTTTGCAAGTCTTACTTCCGTTGATACACAGGTTCGTATTGAAACGTTGCCCCCCCAAAAAGACGAGTTTAATATAACAAGGTTATTTTTATTAAAGAAAGAAGACCTGTGCAAGACAGCAAAACACACGTATAGCATGATAAAGAAAGATTTTTTATGGTGGTTTGATAGCCCAAACAGACATTTCAAGTATATTTAAGGAAAAATTATAACATAAATGTATCATTAAATGTTCTATTTATCAACGTTAAACCTGGGTTACATACCTACTAAATCACATGGATATGGTGAAATTTTTTGTTGTTGCTTTTTTGATGTTTGATATTTATATACAATAGGTTTGGCAAACTGAGCTCTCTCTGTCTGTCTGTATGTCCAAGATGATGGATAATATCTTTGGGTGAGTCGATGAAATATGCAATTATTATTCTAATAATGTAGAGGGGAGCCTGTTTATAATCATCAACTAGTCTATTATCACAGCTTGCCATTCAGTCTGGTGTGAATGCATATTTTACAACAGATTGAATTGTATAACAGTATTAATGATTTTGTCGGCTATTTGCGTGAATGAGGAATAGTATTTTGGACGCTAAAATATGTTCGTCAACAGATTCACGCGTTTTATTGTCATTCTACAAGTGGTGTTAATGTTCCAAACTTTCAAAATTTATGAAAAGAAGCAGATTAAATGAGATTAAACTCCGCCTGCTTTAAGCCGACAACAACCGTTGTATATTGATTGAAACTCGTTAAGTTAATCCCTTTAACATTCCACACTGGTTCTAACGAGCATTGTAGTCAAAACACTTATAACAAATACAGCTTTATGATTTCTAAACATTCATTTGGAGTTTTTATTATACATTCAATTTGGTTGATCGTTCGAAAAGGATTCTAATTACGCGAGTTATTCTACAAAACAACAAGAAAAAGAGGGCCTTGTTGTAATGATAGCAAAAAATGTGTTGTTAATTGGCTTTTGCCAGTTCTACTTTTTACATAAAACATATGGGAGAGAGTAACATATGTAATGACGTAGTTTTACATCTTAATGTTATGTATAAATGCATATAATTAACTTTCCCAATTCATTCAAATTTTTGGTACAACTTTGCATTTCTTTATTTCATGTCCAAACCATAAAGTAAAAGTTAGCAAAGCCAACGATCCAGACTGATGCAATGCAGCTAAATGGACAGGAACATAATACAACAACGTTGATATACCTAACAAAATCTACAAAAACCAATAAAGAAGAAATGTTAAAAACTTCCTGTGAAGGTTAGAATTCTGAGATGCTCACACGAGTACTCGTTAACACTAAAATCATTTAAAATAATAAAATATTTTAGTAAAGACATTTTGACACCTGGAGACCAGCCATAGCTAGCGTAGTATTCACAGCAAGACGAGCACGAGGATGTAGATGAAGAGGTCTTGCCATAGCCCACAGTCCAACAACTGCAGATAACGTCAACATTCCCTATGAATAAAGACAACAGTTTACAGAAGATATCAAAGAAAGTACATTTTAACTGAACACACCATAATCCTATGGTCAAACTGAACTGTCGTTGCATTTTCAAAGAAATTTTTCATCATTGGACTCATTGCTAACAAATCGTCTGGAATCCAACGACCAGAGAATTTAGGAAACGAATTATAGACGAGTCCAGCATCCAAACCAGCTACAAACGCTCCTGTAATATAACAATTTCATCATTTGCTGTCACTGCAAGGTTCAGTGTGGAGTATTTCTATTACCTACCTGAAAGTGCAGTTAGAAAAACAATACTCAAGGTTCCATGAGTATAAATACGAAGACGACGTAAATTTTTTGTGTTGGCAAGCTATATAAACATTGTACGGCATAATTTAACAACAAAAGTACAAAACTTTGTTTCAATGAAATAATTCTCATTAATTAATGTGGTAAAAACAGACCTCTTGTGTTGGGAGAAGATGAGTCAGTGCTTGCCAAAACATAAGGGCATATAATGTGAAAGCTGACCCAAGATGAGCCGCCAGTCGATACTGACTAACACGAGGTATTTGAGTTTCACTAATTTTCTTTTCATCCAAACCACTTTGAACCATGTACCATCCAAGTAAACCCTGTCACCATTAACACATGGTTAATTATTAACATTCAATGAAAGTTTTAACAAGGTTCAGTATGACATATTTACCTGAAAGCCAAGAAGGCTGCCATATATCAATAATCTTGGTTTCAAAGACTTGCTTATCCATCCTTTGTATGCAAAAAATAAAGCAGGGAGAAAAAATACAGCACCAATAGCGCGTCCCCACATTCTATGAGCATACTCCATGTAAAAAATCTTTTTGAATTCTGCCAAACTCATATCTTGATTTAAACTAGAATTAAAAAATAATGGAATGAAATAGAATACTAAATTCATCATTCACTATTATGTTAACACACTATTTATATTCAGGAAAATCTTGATATCGTTTAAACTCATCGTTCCATTCTTGCTGTGTTTGAGGTGGTTTCATTCCTTTGATTAAATTCCAGTTAACCATTGAAAGACCAGACTCAGTCAATCTTGTTACACCACCAAGCACAACTGCACCATATACCATACCACTACAAGAAAGTAACCAATAACCTAAACACAAAAAAATGAATATTTCACGTCCGTATCAAATTTGAATTGACACAAATGCTAAGCAAAACAACCAATTATTTTTCTAGTCGTCTCAGCTTCAGCCAAATGTGATAGATTCAGATTGACAGTTGTAAAACATCTTTTAAGAGCTGTGAGCTGTCCACAGAATGCCTTGGTACAATAAAAATTGTTATCAAGCAAGTTCATTTCACATTTTTAGTACATTTTAATTCTAAATATTAATACATACAGATTTTGCAGTAATTCTTGATAAAATGGACGAATATGTAAAAGTTTGTCTGCAAGTTGCCTTAAATTAGAAATTTAAGTAGCAATGTTAACTTTATGTAAGAGAAATTTGGCAGAAACAATCATTGATAAGTAATAATCAGAAACTCACCGTTTTCTGTAAAAAAACACGAAAAAGAGGATTTATTTTGGAATAAACGCTGTAGCAAGTCATTCTAATTATAAAGGACTGCTTTTGTTTTGTTTACGTAACTATATCCCTGTTATTACACAGCGATCACTTTTATTTTTATTACTTTATAATGTAAATAAAAACTGTTACCGCTGGTCGTATTGCATGGCGGCTCGAATTAAACTTAATTTTGAAAGATCTTCTGTGATTTTGTAGCTAGAGAGCATGGCATTTGAAAATAAAAAGAGAAGTGTAGATAATCTGGAGGACGATGATGATGAAAGCGAACGGAAGAAAATAAAATCAGATTCTTCTTTGAATGAAACTAAAATTTTAATCTCAACATGTGGTCCAGAATCTTTGACTTTGGATTCTTCTACTAAGGTAAAAATAAATTGACAACTTGACATAATGGAAAATCTTTTCACTTCTTTGTCTTAAAATATGTTTTTTCTTTTAAGTTCACTTATCTTGTTCCCCAACAAATTCCAGCTATGACACATTTACACTTCTCAAACCTTGCAAACTATTACCATACTAATCACATCAGTTCATATATACTTTGAATAAGTACATGAATTTCTATTCATCAAAGCCATTAACTATTGCATGTTTTGTTAATCTTTAAGGTAAGCTGTCCTATTTATATGCATTTTTAATTTATTCAAATGATATTTTAATAAAAAATGACCAAGAAAACCTTTAAGAAATGCATAATGTTTTTGGTTCATCTAGGAGGTAAAAAGAAACATCAACTATAATAAGAAAAAAAAATGTGTTCTCTTACTGTCCTATTGTGGCAATGGTTATAATGGCATGCAAAGGTTTACATGAAGTAATTTATAAAATGAAACATGCTCGGATGCTTAATTTTTTTTCGTGATGTTTTATAGAAATCCTGGTGTAAGGACAATTGAGGAAGATTTAACAAATGCCTTGTTTAAGGCAAAAGCTATTTCAGAGGACGCGTCACGGAACTATGGAAAAGTTTGCATTATTTTGTTAAAATTTGGCTTTAAGGTGATGAAATTTTTGTAAACTGTGTTTTTTTACTTTAGATGGCATTTCAAAGATGTGCAAGAACAGATAAAGGTGTTTCTGCTGCTCGTCAAGTTGTCTCACTAAAAATGGTTCCTTACAAAGAACTTCTTCATGATATTAATGAAAATTTAGATCCTCAAATCAGAGTTTTTGGTGAGGATGAAGAAGAAGCATATCAATAACTTTTCATATTGTCCTTATAGTAAGACCAAAAACCATGACCAGCCTCAATTTAAAAAATATATAAAACAAATTCCGAAGAAGCAAGAAATCTTGAAATTGCAAAATATGCATCAAAAGAAGATGAGAAGTGAACTGTAAATTTTCGACTTTATTTCGACTTTATTTTTGATTCTGTCTGAGGATGACTGATGCATATTTTGCAATCTCAAGATGTCTTGCTTCTTCGGAATTTGTTTTATATTATATCTTTATAGTAAATCTTTTTCATATTAAATTTTGTAGCTTTAAAGCAAGTTACTCGTGGGTTTGATTGTAAGAGTCGTTGTACATCAAGAACTTATCAATATTTGTTACCAACATTTGCTTTTGCTCCCACATTTGCAGTCAGTTTTTCTTCTTTTTTTTTTGCCATATTTAATTTAAGATGTTTCAAAAACTTATTTTAACTTTTTATTGTCTAGCAGCATACAACAAAGAACTTTAGAATTACAGGTAAAAAATAAAATTTGACATCAAAGATTTTCTTGCATGAAATTGAAAAAATTCATCTTTCCTGTTAAAGACGAAATAGAACAAAAACTTAACGACGTTCTTAAGAATTACGAAGGAACGAAGAATTTTCACAATTTTACTTCTGGAAAGTAAGTGGAAGTCGGTTTATAACAAATGCTGTCTTCAATTTGATTGTGTAATTATTTAAGCTCAACTGATAAGAATTGAATGATTTTAGAACATTCTTACATGTTTGTAAATGTAGATCGTCCAGGTTGGTATAGTCCTGAGAAGGACTGTTTTTGTTGTTGTTGACTGACGTTTCAACAACCTTAGCGGTAGTCATCTTCATAGTCAAAATCAATCTTCATTTGACTTCTGAAGATGACTACCGCTAAGGTTGTCGAAACGTCAGTCAACAACAACAAAAACAGTCCTTCTCAGGACTATAACAACCTGGACGATCAACATCTACTAACATGTAACGATACTCCCGGGCTCAAACCATTTACTTTTTGAACTATCTATATTCCTTTCTTTTTTAAATTACAATAACAATGAGTAATTTAACCGTGATAAAGCTGTATTAATTTTAAACATTTTCTTGTTCATAGAGATTTTAAAGATGAAAGTTCCAAACGTTATATCATTCGTTTTGAAGTGGTAGGATATGCTTAACTTCCTTGTCGTAAATTATCATCTCTAAAAATCTCATCTCAATAAGAAGATACGGTGATTTATTCGCTTGCAATTACGTCATAAAATGAACGTTATGACGTCAACGTACAAAAGAGCAAGTCGTTATCGACTAAACTATATATAATGCTTTTTCATTCAGTAATTATAATTCTTTACTTTTAAAGGCGGGGGAAGCGTTTGTTGCAAGAAAAATGGAATTTATCGAACTGCAAGTTCAAGGACAAAGTTTTATGCAACATCAGATAAGAAAAATGATTGGTATCATGAATGCATATATAATGATTTTTCTAATTTTTAATGTCGAATTACATGTATATACATTGTATTTAGGTTTAGTTATTGCAATAATGAAAGGCTACACTGGAGTTGATGCTATTTCAAGAGCATTTGAGCCGGCAAAGGTATTTTATGATGCTGTGAGATTACAATTACGAGTTAATTTGGACGTTTGATAAATGTTTGTAAATGTATATCGTCCAGGTTGGTATAGTCCAGAGAAGGACTATAGAGTCCTTTTCTGACTCTAAAGATGACTACCGCTGAGGTTGTCGAAACGTAACCTGGACGATCTACATTTACAAACATGTAACGATACTTCCGGGTTCAAACCATTTACGTTTGATATATGGTAAAAAAATTTATGAATTCAATTGCAGATGGACATACCTAGAGCTCCTGGTTTAGGGCTCATCTTGGAGGAGGTGATGTTATAGTAGAAATTATTTGCATAAAGTAGTCAGAATGTTTACACGAAAAATAAAACGTCGCTAAGGTTTTTAACGTGCAGAAATATTTTAAGGTTCATTTTAAAAGTTACAATGATAAATTTGGAAAAGATGGTTTTCACGAACCTCTAGAATGGAGCGAATGTGAAGTAAGTGTAATTTTTTGTACTCTTCAAGAGATAGCTACGTATTTTTTGGATGATCTGTTTCAACTTTAAAATGACTTCTGTAGGATCAAATAAAAAATTTCAAGACAGAATTTATTCATAGTGGAATTATCGAAACAGAAGCTACAACAAACTCGTATCCTTTAATTTATTTTCGAAATTTCTTGCAACGTTATTCTTCGATTCTTCATTGTCATAAATATTCTTGTTAGCTACTTGGAAATCATATTATACTGAGAGTTTGGGAACTTTGTGCGATATGTTTTAAGGAGATTGTAGTTTTTTTCTTAAGGAAAATGTATGTTTGACGAGTAATCCTTAACTTTTTACCTTTAGTATGATGAGATGGTTAAGTGTGTTGGGTTCACATTCCTACAGTAATGAAGGGATGGTAGAATCAAAAAAACTAAAAGATACAAAGAATATGGAAGAAGACGCAAATAAAGTCGTTACAGATAAAGAAAACACAAATGAAATAACAAGAAATTGTGATAATGGAAAACCAAATAAGATAGAAATGAATGAAGACTGTAGTTCCGGACAGATTGTTCAATTGCAGAAGAATAGTATTGTTTTTTCTGCTCCAAACGACTCAAATACAAACAGTTTATCTGAAAAACATGTTCCTAGCATTTAGGAATACGGTTTTTATGACGATAAACCAGCAATATGAAATAGAAAAGTTTTATCTTTTGTGTGACAGGTAATTTCGATGTTTTTATGTTAAAATTAAAACATGAAGTAAAGCTATGATGTTTTGCGGGCTCAGTCTAAGAAATGTCGACTTTTCAGTTCACAAGTGCATACAGTTTTAAAAATTAATGCTTTTTGGCGATGTAAATATGTGTTTCTTTAAAATTTTTATCGTGTTTAGCATCCTGAAATTACTATTAGTCAACTTAACTGTATTCACTAGAATTAAAGTAGAATAATTCGTAGTATAATGCCATCAAATCCACGGGTGAAGTATCACAAAATTAACGACAGAGATGGATTTGTCGATGCTCAGGTATAAACATTAAAAGTGACATTTTAACTTGCTTTGTTTAGTACAATTTTTACTTATTTTACTTATAGTTTCGTAAACCACCATCAAAAGTTCCTGTAAAAGCAATATGTTTGGCCAGTGGTTTGTTCTTTTTTGGTACCATTCTCCTAGTTCTTGGTTCTCTACTTTTTTCTGGATATTTTGACGTTAAGGTGGGTAGTTTACAGACAACAATATTTTTGGTGAACAACTTCACAAGTTCTTTACAGCTTTCTAACCATTTACCTTGAAATTTTTCATCAGTATGGTGATAGGACGTATCCTATGCTAATTCTTGGTTCACTCATGTTTATCCCTGGTTTTTATCATGTGAGGATTGCATATTATGCTTGGAAAGGATACAGAGGATTTTCTTTTGATGACATTCCCGATTTCAACTAACATTAATGCATACCTAACTATAATCTCCGCAGCCAATCATATTGTTAGTTGTAAGATGAACATTAGTTTTTGTGTTACAAAATGGAGACATTTCCCATGGAGTGACTGAGAGAATGGTATTGAATGAAATAACTTGTTTACAACAAACAGTAACTGTACTTCAGTTGAAGATGTACAAGACTTAAAATTTCTCAAATGTTTAACACATGTAAACAAGATAATTTGAAGTTAAAATACCATTGGGTGTAGACATATTCATAACTTTGACTTATATTCCAGTTTGCTTCAAATAAGATCATGATATCAGCCGAGCACTCTGGTATATTTTGACATTCAATGACATTTTTGCCAAACAATTTCTTCAACAATATTTCATATTCAAATTCAACACACTAAGGAAAAGTAAATTGTCAAATTATTATGGAAGGATTTGAAGGCTGGTGAGATTCTATACTTTTCTGAAGCTCTAATGTAAACATCAAGTTCATGAACTTTGAAGTCTATAGTACTTCCTCTGCAGTTAACAGTTGTATACTTCATTTAATCTGCAATGAAACAACAAGAGGGAGAAAATGTCAATCATCCTTACCTTCAATTTCACTTCCAACCCACCGCTTCATTATGTCACAAACCATTGACTTTATTTTTAGTTCATCAAGCATGCAGTTAAGGTTATATAACTTGTAGCAAAATGTTAATGCAGCTTCAGTTAGGATTCTCGTATTCTGTAAGCCTACTTATCCTAGAAATAAGGTTTAAACTTTTAAGAAAATATACGTTATTGTACTAGTGACATAAAACATGGATTGGTGGAGGTTCGTACGATTTACATAATGGATTGGTGGAGGTTCGTACGATTTACATAATGGTTGGTGGAGGTTCGTACGATTTAAATCACGGATTGGTGGAGGTTCGTACGATTTAAATAACAGATTGGTGCAGGTTTGTACGATGTACGATTTAAATCACGGATTGGTGGAGATTAGTACGATTTAAATCACGGATTGGTGGAGGTTCGTACGATTGCACCAAACATGTTTTTTTTCTTAACTCTCCATTCATTTCTCGTGTTTGAATCAGGCCGTAAAAACCCATTTAGTGAATTTTGTATTAATGATATAGAAATAAATCTTTATTTCAAACTTTTTACTCTTCATGTCATAGTGGAATGAAGAGCACCTTTCCTATAGATAAAAGCTTATGTACACACAAAAGATGTAAAACAAAATAAAACAGATTCCGAAAAAAGACATCTCGTTTTCTTGATATTCAAGATGGCAATCTGTTGTCTAAAATTCTTGTATCATCTTGAATATCAAGAAAACCAAATGTCTGTTTTTGGAATCACAGAAGTGTGGTAAAGATATGTTATGTAAAACTGGAAATTAACGAATCTATTCACGTCGACGTTGTACGCACAAATTTGCATCTTTCAAATTTCTTTCAATGTTCAAATTGCATTAAATAGTGGTATATTCATTAGAAATCCCTTCCTATGGATCAAGATGATGGAAGGCTCATCATTATATGCAATGTTCGTTTAATTGAGCTCCTTGTTGAAAGACTTTGTTTAATTAAAAATGAAAACACCTCAACAAAGATAACATTGAAACATTGTTGTAATTGAATGATTGCAGATATTATCTTTGATGGATAAAAAATGTGCCGAGAAGATTGTTTATTTCAGTGTATTCTTGACGATATCAACTTTGCATAAATTGCGCAGAACGTAATAAATTATGTGACATCAGCATAATTACCCATACAAGTAAACACGAAGTACGGAGAAAGAAAGAGAAACTTTAATAATTTCTCATCAATTTTCAAATTTCTTTTTGGTATGAAACGCCATTGCAGAAGGAATGTGTTTTAATACCTTCACGAAACATGAGGATTTTACTATTTTTATTCTTAACAATTATTGGCATCGAGTGTCGAAGTTCAGTAAATCCTAACTGTCAGTGTCCTGGCGAAAAAATACAGAATGGAAAATGTTCACCAGAAACTAATTGTAAATGGCTGTGTAACAATGGTTACTGGGGGGAAAAGTGTGAATATGGACGAATAAGGTATTTTATTTCATGTTGTTTCTTGATAAACATATTTCGAAGTTTACAAAATTACAATAATTTGTCAACATTGTTTCGTTTTTATTGAATTTGCACTTAACTAAATAAAGCGTATTCATATCTATAAATATCGTACATAAATATTCAATGTCACCGTTTCACTTATGATATATTTTACTTGTAGTTTTGTACGAGTTTTGTGATACATGATGAAATAATAAATTTTTGTTAAAAACAAAGACAACAAAGACTATCTATCATTTACGAATATCCAAAGAAAAAATTCATAATTTCAAAGTGAAACTACAAAATATAAAACTACATGATAGATTTGATACTGTCCATCGTAAATTTTACTTTTATCACTAAATACATATCTTGAACTGTCAAAATGTTTGTTTTCTTGTTAAGCAATTATCCAAAACAAATAGGTAGTTAGCATAATATATGAGTAGCTCTAGGCCTGCCCACTTCTTTTTTCTTTAAATAAAAATTTCTAAATAACTTGATGATGAACATTCAAATTACTTTTGCTTTTTCAGGTTAACATCAAGGAGTGGATTTATCACAGATGATTTTGATAACTACCTTGTATCTTCAAAGAGAATATGGTTGATTGATACTGGGAACAGGTAAAGTATTAATGATGTCATTATATGCCATCATTCTTGTTTTATTAACTATATGAAATGCTTTATTGTTTTAAAGACCAAATGTTACGATCCATTTTCAAATTGATGAACTTCACACAGAATGTAACTGGGATCATTTGTACATATTTGATGGTGATTCTACCCAATCACCCTTGCTTGCAGCTTTCAAGTAAGAAAATGAGTATTTGTATCAAAATAATTTCCCATTTCATAAGTCATTTGTCATTTTACTCTTATTTAAACATTAGGGAAGATTATAACAAATTTTTTTATATTTTTCAGTGGCCATTTACTGACCAAGTCAAATGTAACATTTGGAAATGTTCCTCAACAGATTATTGCAAGATCTGGGAAAGCTTTTATTTATTTTTACAGTGATGAGAATGAAGTTAGATCAGGTTTTAATATTTCATACAGGTGCATAAATCTTGTCTTGTTTCTAGTTATTCAAACTATGTAGCTGTTCTCATTACATTTAGTTTGTTTTAGATTTATTGATAATTGTTCTTGCATCAATGGTAAATGTAACATAGCTGGACTATGTACATGTCATGATGGCTGGAGTGGTCATTATTGTGATATTCCTTTAAATTGCTCCTGTGTAAATGGAGTTTGTAATGATACGGATTGTCACTGTGCTTATGGTTTTACTGGTGTGTAAATTCAACTTTATTAATTAAAACTTTTTACAAAAATATCAATGGTTCTATGTATATAGGGAAAAAATGTGACAAACCAATTACGTCGTCCTACTGGCATGAAGTTGAGATACATAACACAGGTACTTAAATATCATTGGTTTTCATTTCAATTAAGCAAAAAATCCATGTGAAGAACTCGATCTTTGTCAGATTCTTTCATCTCTCCCCGGGCCTCTCATGCAGCAGCAATTATTGGGGATCACCTATGGATATATGGTGGATACATGTTTTCCTTGGTGAACAATAGAACATTGAATTATTTATACAGGTGTTTTATTAATGATCAATTTAACAGAATGATGATGTTGCCTGTAGAACATTTTTTTATATTTTTCTTTGTAGATATGACATCATTAATAAGACATGGACAGGATTTATGTCTAGTTGCGATGAAAAGTCAACTTGGGGACATTCAATGGTTGCATATCAGGTTCATTCTCATTTTGTACCTTGTTTTTGTTTTAAAGGCTTTTATTTCCATCAATGTTGTTGGTTGAAATAAGGAATGAGTATTTTCCTTTAATGATTGGCCCTGTTTTGGGCTGTTTATTAATGACGAATATTTTTAACTTTTGTCGTTAACATTGTCTTAAACAGCACAGACTTTTCATATTTGGTGGTGAATTTAGCAATGGTAGGATTACAGATCGACTTCTTGAGTACAACACAGTTACAAAACAATGCAAGTATTTAAACTCATCGTCCATTGGCGTTAAAGATCATACAGCTACGGTTGTTGGGGATAAAATGATTGTTCTTTTTGGTTTGTCTAACGATGGTCCTAGTTCTCGCGTGCAAGAATTTGACTTAGGTAAGGTGTACTCACTTCAATGTTTAGTTAATTTAATTGGAAAACAGAAAAAGGCGGCAAAGACGGGGCTGAGATTAAAGAATGGACAAGAGAAGATGTTTTTAAAGCGCTGTACGTTACGCTTTTGTGACAATAGAAGGAAGATGTAAGATTTCGTGTCCCATGAAGTCCATATAAAGTATAGACTTATAAGACTGCGAATGCTTTATACAATTCAAGAAACATTGTTTCTTGTAAATATTTTGCTCTTTTTCATTATCTGAGGGACTGCTTGAAACGATCTGCAAGAAATTTGAACAGCTTTGTTTGAAAGAAGGTTGTTTTCATGATGTTGATACATAAAGGTGTCTGATGATGTTTGATTTTTTTATTGACAGGAAAATTGCGGTGGATTTTGAATGAAAACAAGTCGACGATCAAAGATGCAAGATTTGGACATACGAGTGTTTATGATGATCAATCTAAAGAAATTTATATTTATGGTGGTTTAATGATTGTAAACGGAACTTCAACTTTATTACCTTCAGACTCGTTAATTTCTTACAACTTGCTCAATAGAACTTGGTAAGAACAAACTTTCATCCAACGTATTGATGTCTTTGCTGTTATTTTCAATGGTCCTTTACAAACTGATGTTTTGTTTTTCATTCAAGGCATTTTCTTCCGTCAAGTGGATTTCAGTTAGCACATCATTCTGCTGTAATAATGGATAAAATGATTCTCGTATTTGGTGGAAATCCTTATGTGAACGGCCAGGTCAACAAAAATCGATGTCATACAACAAGATTGCATTTATATGATATTGGTAAGTAAGTCGTAGAAATTGTTTTATTCATGAGCAATAATGACATTTAATGTTTGCATTTTATATAGCTTGTCAAAAATGGTATTTCGATGATTTAACACAGATTTCTGAAACATTAGCTCGCTATGGACATTCTGCCGTGTCAAAGGACAGGTGTATTTATTGATGATTTTGTAAACTTCTCACATTGTTTATATTTAATTTAAAATATTTTCTTATCGTGACAGTTACTTCATACACCTGTTTTTCACCACTTCATAAGAGTCTTATTTGAATACTTATTTAGAACAATGTATATATTTGGTGGCTTTAATGGTGCTCTATTTAATGACATTCTCTCATACACCCACGGTATGATTTTGTTCATTGTTTGCACCCTTATATGATGAACGTTGTACCCTCAATGTACCTCTCATCGGAATAGGGATTTGCGATCGAATCACGAATGAAAGTGAATGCTTAAAAAACTACGTATCATCTGGTTGTTACTGGAATAATTCACGATGTTTTAGTAAAGGAAGTGTAAAAGAAACGCTGCAATGTCCTGGTTAGTAGTTTTTTTTTGTAGAGTTCTCATCCATGAAATGTGGTGAATTTTTGTATCTTTATATTTAGGAGAATACAGAGCAAAATGTGAAGAAATTTTATCATGTAAAGAATGCACGTCTATTTCATATTGTGCATGGAATCATTCATCATGTCGGGTAAAGTTTCTGTTATTTTGTACACAATGATTCCTCAAGTTTCTCGTGCCGTTTTAAAGATAATGAAAATCTATTGTAGGAAAATGAAAGTGGCGATGTTTGTCCTACTACGGGAAAATATTTAAATGAAAATAGCTTATCAAGTAGGCATGCCATCATTTGTTATATATACAAATTATATCACTGTATTTTAATGATTTTATATTTTACAACTTTGACACAACTTGTGACCTCATCACTAACAAAACCTATGACCTCATCACCGACATGACTTATGACCTCATCACTGACATAACTTATGACCTCATCACTGACATAACTTATGACCTTACACTGACATAACTTATGACCTCATTACTGACACATCATATGACCTCATCACTGACACAACTTATGACCTCATCACTGACATAACTTATGACCTCATCACTGACACACGTTATCATTTCATCCTGAATACAAATAATTACTTAATCACTCAAACTTTTGTGATATCTTTTATTTAGAGTTTGCGAAGTCTTCTTGTTCATTACATTCTTCAAGTAAAGATTGTCTTAGTGAAAGTTGTTTATGGTGTGAGAATCTCGGTCGTTGTATACATAATGATTTATACACTGCTTATTATACATATGGTCAATGTTTTGAATGGGTCACTAAGAATAACCGCAAAGGTAAAAAGTCACCGTGTTTAATGTAAACGACAAACGCCTCGTACTTATGTTGAATTTCAATGTATGATTGTTGATTTTCATTAAGATATTTCCTGTGAAGCTCAAGAAACATGTCTTAATTGTCTAAAATTACCGAGTTGTGGTTGGAGTGAGAATTCTCTTCGTAATGGCTTAGGTCGATGTCTTCAAGGAAGTGCACGTGCCCCAAAAGATAATTCTCTCAGCACTAAATTCTGGCATTTCATCCACTGTCCATGTACATTTTTCTTCCTAATAATTTTTTATTTATTGACGTCCATTTTACTGTTTATATTACGTTATGATTAATTTCGCTAAATTATACTACTTTAGTATGCCAATGTAACGGTCATAGCAACTGTAGCGTTGATTCTAATGTTTGTTTGAAATGTCGAGATCATTCTACAGGTGAACTATTCTCATAAAATTTTTACTTTCTCTTCCCTCTGTAATGAAATAAATTTTTTTCTTACTGTTTTTCTTTATTGTTTTATTTCAGGTGAAAAATGTGAAAGATGTGCTCCAGGTTATTATGGCAACCCAAGCAACGGAGGAAAATGTAAACGTAAGTACTTTTTCTCCACTTTCATCATTTTTGTTTTTGTAAAAGTTGTTAAGAAACATGATTTTCCACTTTTTTCTCTTATGTCTTTCTCTTGTTTTTAGCATGTGAGTGCAATGGTCACGCTGATACATGTAATCCAGTAAATGGTAAATGTAACTGTAGAATGAGAGGTGTTATTGGAGATATGTGTGATAGGTGAGTTGCATATTTATTTCTATTTCACTCATCAAAATAGTGATGTCATTTCAATGTATCATTACGTACCTTTACGTATCTCTTTGTATCATTACGTACCTTTACGTATCTCTTTGTATCATTACGTACCTTTACGTATCTCTTTGTATCATTATGTACCTTAACGTATCTCTTTGTATCATTATTTATCTTTACGTATCTCTTTGTATCATTATGTACCTTAACGTATCTTTTTGTATCCTTATGTACATTCACGTATCTCTATTAATCATTATGTACCTTTACGTATCACTATGTATCATGATGTATCTTTATTTATCTCTATGTATCATTATGTATGTTTGTGTATCTTTATGTATCGTGATGTAACGTTGGACATCACGATGTGTCTTTGTTTTTATTTATGTGTCTCAAGATGTTTAGAAACACAATATGAAGGAAATGCTACCAATGGAGGATATTGTTTTTGTATGTTTAAATGCGGTTCATTTGATAAATTCACCTCACCTATCCGCATTGTAATTTATGTTTTAATTATTTTTTTGTTTTTGTAGATATACTAACTCCTGGTTTTTTATATAAAATCAACGTTTCAGACAAGAAAACTGTTAATTTCGTTAGTCGACCCGATCAAGTTTGTATTGTATTGTAGTGAAATGGATGTTAAAACATTATGGATTTACTTTTAATTTTTGTTGTTTTTTAGTCTGATGAAAATGCCATAGTGACTGTCGAAATTAATGAACAAAACAAGAGCAATCCAACAATGTTGAATATTTCTGTTGGAAGTGGTATATGACAATTTTTCTCATCTCGAAAGGTTTGCTTTTTTACGTACGTAGCGTTTTTTTAAATTGTTTATTTTTCTTTTAGACGTAATGCAAGAGTATTATGTAAGAAACGTTATCTCATTGTCTTCACGATATCAGTTGAAATTCTCCAAAGATTATTATTCATTTGGTTCTCATGGTTTTTACTTCCATATTTTTTTGTACAATTTACATCCAAATTCTGTGATTTCCGTGAGTCATTTGTTATTTTCTTTGAATTTGGCTTATTGAGTTATGAATTAATGAACTTAAAGTAATTTTTTTTTATAGATATCAGTTCATCAGCCTCATGAAGAAACTATCGATCTTTTGAAATTCTTCATCGTTTTTATATCGTAAGCTTGTTATTATTTTTTCAATTTTATCTTTTAATCCCTAACCTACTTAAATTATGTTCACATCTTTCTCGTTATGTTCAGCTGTTTTGTAGGATTGCTCTTACTAGCTGTGTTAACGTGGAAAGCAAAGTCATTTATCGAAACTTTACGGCGAAATCGAGTATGTATAGATAATTTAAAGTTGCAAAAAGCGTCTTTATTTTGTATTTATTCATCAAACGTACTGAACATTATTACTGTGTTAAATATAAGTTGAACTCCTTAGAATCTTTAAGTTGGGGAAGAAAGATTTTTAATAATTTATGCATTTCGTTTGTTGTTTGCCTTTTATCCCAAGTCAAACTGAATTTTCGAAAATTCTATCTACAATTTCACATAATTTATTATTTTGTTCTTGATATCATTATTCTTTCCTTAGAGACATAACGTTGAGATGGTTTACATGACAAACCGTCCTTTTGCTGCTGCTCCAATATGTGTTGATAAACCTGGATATGTACCAATGACCGTTAGTTCTAGAAATTTATTTCAAATAAATGCTTTTTGCAATTTAGAGCATTCAAAAGTTCGAAATATTTATTGTAATTGAATGAATCTTAGGGTAAGCCATCGCCGCTCACATCCGAAATTTGTTATGGTAACAAGGCAGCTGTTGTCACTGTTTTGGTTCGTTTACCCGTATGTGGGCAGTCTGATAGTAGTAATGGAGCGTCACCTCTATGTTTGGGAAGTACCTTAGTTAACTTTGGTGATCAACATAACTCAAAAGTTGTCAATTATGTAAAAAATATTAAAAGAAGACGAAATCCGTTTTGCTCGACGACAACGTAGAAAAGAATGAGGTAAACATTCCAGTTGTTTTATGGCTGATTACATCAAGTTGTTTGTTTTGGTTTGTGTAAAACTGAATGTAAAACTGAATGTGATGAATAGTGTTGAATTGAAATGTTTTGTTTAATACATTTTTCAAGTCGACATGCGTAGACAACTTGCTTTATGTAATCAGTCCATTTTTATAAACAAAACAATTGAGACCAGTTTACTTTTGGTCTGTGAATGGTGAAATGGATCCTTAACTTATTTTTTCATTCTTCTACATAGATTAAAGATGTAAGTTTTTTAATATCATCACGGAATTCAGATCGTTTCCATATTTTCATATTCACATGTTCGACTCAAACTCATCATAAAATGACAAAGGAGTACTCTAGCCTCGATTTTGTCCATTTCTTGATGAAAATTGCTATTTGACTGTACTTCTCTTTTGACAAAAAAAAGTGGTATAGACGATTGCTGTTCTTATAACTGAAACAAACTGTCATACGTTTGTATAATTAGACAATTTAACTTTGTATTTATATTATAATATTTTATTTAAAATTGTACAACACGAATTCAAATTGTATGAATGTTAGAGTGTTAAGTATCTCTAACTTGTACTCTGATACTACTAACCTTAAGAAGTGTTAGTTCTCATCCTTACATATCTTTGTGATGATGCCCCCATGATTCCCACCATTATCCCATAGGAACATATGATGTCCAATGTCTCAGTTGTCTTATGTTGACGACAATAGACCACTTTTGATCACTATATATCACGAAGTTTCACTTCTGCGATGTTGTTTCAGTAAATACATAAAAATAAGAAGCAGTTAGTGTTGTCTACGTTTAATCTTTGACTGATTAATTTTGTGCGGAATAGGTCGTTGATCAACAGGGTTACTTAAGGGTGCGCAAAGGTAAAAAGTAGTGCAGCAGAAAGCGGTCTTCGTACACGAAGGTTTCGGTTTTTTATATAAGCATGCATAAAGTAAATGGTTTGAACCCGTTACATGTTTGTAAATGTAGATCGTCCAGGTTGGTATAGTCCTCAGAAGGACTGTTTTGTTGTTGTTCACTGACGTTTCGACAACCTTAGCGGTAGTCATCTTCAGAGTCAAAAAAAGGACTCTATAGTCCTTCTAAGGACTATACCAACCTGGACGATCTACATTTTCAAACATAAGCATGCATATTGCCAATAGGACGCCTCTGTCAACAACCTAGTAAAGATAAAGGCAGTCTAATAAAATTTGTAAAAACTGTAGACATTCTTTTTGTAAAGATAACTGTTAAAAATAGATAAGGTGATCCTAAGCAATGTGCATCCACTGACTGGCTTTCGTAGCTTGTTGGATTTCTGAGGTTTTCCTCCGGCGATACGCCGGTTTCCCTCATCTTTAGAGAATCACTCTAAAGAATAACAAAAAAAGAAGGCCATGTCCAGGGCTTGGATTGTTTAGTTATTTGGGTTAGATTTCTGATCCATTGCAAGAGAAGAGTAGATCCGAGTATCTTTCAGGAGTCAGGTGCATCAGGTGCTTCAGGAGTCAGGAGTCAGTCAGGTTTTAGAGGGAGCGGTTTAATATATTTTCCTGATATTATTGAAATTGTCCACGATCATCATTGTTTTACGCTATATAAGTATTTGTATGTTTAGTTTGAGTAAAAAGTAAACTAAAATTGATATTTTCAACCTTGTTCGATGTATTTTGAAAAAATGGCGAAATCTCATTATGGATATAGTATGCAAAAAAAATTTGCATAATGAAACTTTACATAATCATAACCAATAGATGAGGTAAGCGTTTATTTTTTATTTTTCTTTAACTATAAATTTAGTGATTATTTGTTTATTTTTTAGAATGAGTAGAAGTCTACATATTCGATTTGATAATATCAATGTTGACGGATTTGAGATTATTGACGCTTGTCTACCATTATTTGAATCTATAACGCAAGATGTGAAGAAAGTTGACGAAGGAAAGAAAAAGAAAATCAAAGCCTACTACAAACAACTACAAACATTCAATAAAGTTTGTAAAGGAAACAACATCATATCGTTGAATAGTGTTTTCGAGTATTTTGAAGGTGAAAACATACCTATAACATTATACGAAAAACATCATTACGCACAATGTGAGAGATTAGGGGTTGCTAAAGCATATAAAGATTCATTACATCCAACTATACAACTTGTTATGATGCATGATAAGATGATCGATGCGAAGAATCGGAATGCTTCTTTGCTTGATTTCTTTTTAATGACGCACATGTACTTATACAAAATTCGGTGCAAACTTATTCATAATAAGCGGATACGAACACTTGAACGTATATTTTTACGATGTGTGGGTGTTAGCTATTTGCTTCAGCACGATTCAAGGTTCTATCAAGCATTAATATTTTTTCGGGATCAATTATATGAAAATACATTTTTCCAAAATAATTCCCAAAGACTTTAATGTACATATGTTTGACGAATTTAATAAAAATTGGATTGAGGATGTTATCGATACTAATAACAGGCTAAAAATTAGATTACAAAAAAGTAATTTACATGAAATGACTGCCATAGATGTGACATGTGAGGACCCATATCTTTACAACATGAAACATTTACAGACACAATCCCAACCGTAGTTATGGCGCTGTTACAACATACAGACACAACCCAAACATTAGAAAGACAACGACCGTATCGAGGTAGAAATAGAAAACAAAATACACCTATCGAAACACTACAACAAGATGTTGTTCCTGATAGTAGTAGCGAAGATGATGAAACAATGGATAAAAAGCGGGAAGAACAAAACACAGAATCTATAGGTGAAGAGCCTATGGCTATAGCCCCACCCCCAAATTTATTCGAACCTATTGAAGAAGTGAGCATGGGTATGCCTTCACTTGAAAATACTGAAGGAGAGGTTACATCTGTCATCAATAACGAAAACCAAACAGAATTACAATCTGCTATGCTTGAAACGGTAAATATTGAAAGCGGGTCTATAACTACACCCAGGTTAGAAGCACCAAGTAGTAACACATACGAAGAGATAAATAGTAGCGAAGCGACAATCATTGAAAACGAGCCCCCATCTGCTACCGAATCCTCTGAAGTAATAGATATTGAAGATGATACTCCTCCTTGTAAGTGAGCAAAAACCTCCCTCCCTATGGGGACAAGTGAGTCAGATTCAAATGAAGAAGAGCAAAATATTACAGAAAGAAATCATGCAGCAGATCAAAATGGTAAAGAAACAACACGCTTGGAAAATGAAAATAATGCAGAAACGATGCAATCAGAAAATGGAAATACTGTAGAAACGCTGCACTTAGAAAATGAAAATAATGCAGAAACGATGCAATCAGAAAATGGAAATACTGTAGAAACGCTGCACTTGGAAAATGAAAATAATTTAGTATTACATGAAGTTTGGCACACTACAAAACTCCACTCCACTGTGTAATAGTTCAGTCATTCAGTCATTTCTTTCATGTTAATTCTATCAATATGGCCGATATCAAGGCGTTTGAATATTCAACATTGAAAGTAAGATTATTTCTGTGTATTTACAAACATATGTATTTTTTTAGCGGCCAACACTTACTATAAAGCTATGCTTTGGTTTCAATGCAGCTATTTGTAATGGCGAAGGTTTTATTATTAAAATTTAGTAGATAGAATAAACGTTTCTTTATCGTGTAGGTGCCATACGAGGTTTTGAATAAAAAGTTTAGGACAGCGCAGAAAATTATTGACCGTGAAGTATCCCATGTGTTTGCAGCAAACTCGAATTTGTCGATGATGGTAAAAAGTCAGTCGTTGAAAATGTGTGAAGCGACAAATGCTTTAGACAACGTCATTGATAAACTTCAAATGTTGAAAAAAAAGGTTAATTGGAAATGGTGGTTGTTTTTATTAAATATCTTCCTTAGATAGAAGAGGCTAAAGTTCTTTTGCTCATATTAGTACTATACATAAATATCATCCATAAATGAAATTTTTATGATTTATGTTCATTGACTCATATAAGTTTTGTTGTTTCAAGTGTGTGGAATGTGTAATTGCTGAGGAGAAGTACACAGGCCATCTTCATACACGCTTGGAGCATCTCAAGGAACATGCAGATGAGCAAAAAAGCTCTGTAATTTTGTGGAAAAAGAAACGTGTCGACAGAATGTTAGTTGATCATCTGTTAAGAGCCGGTTACTATGAAACAGCCAGTAAACTGGCAGTTGAAGCCCACATTGAGGTAAAATCTCAACAATGAATGGTATAGCAAGTCTATAAAATCTCATTTTTGCAAATCATTACCTTGCAAGGCATGTCTTTTTACCTGAACTCTTTAAAGAAAAGTTTTGTTGTTTTGGCATAGGATTTGGTTGATGTTGACTTATTTGTAACAGCAAACAAAATTGAGAAAGCTCTTCAAGATCATAATGCAGGTCCTTGCTTAGCATGGTGTCATGAGAACAAGTCAAGATTGAGAAAGTTAAAGGTAGTTAATGATTGAAAATTACAAAATGCTTTTGATTGTTTACATTTATTATAAGTTTTACTTGTTCTCAACAGAGTAACTTGGAGTTCAATGTCAGGACACAAGAATTTATTGAACATATTCGAGCCAACTATAGACAAGAGGCTGTGAGGTAAAGTACGATTTAAGTTAATCCTTGATGTTGATAGAACACATTTGTATGATATTTATTCATTTTTTAGGTATGCTCGTAAGCATTTCAGTTGTGCAGATACTACACCCCCAGAAGAATTAAGAAAGATAATGGTTGTACTTGCATTTTCTCCCTCAAATGTTTGCCAAAAATACAAGGTAATTATATATTTATTACATTTGCCAATGTTTTGACAATGTGACATGTTATACATTCCTTATATAGAATTTTTTTGATCTCCAACGATGGAATGATTTGGCTCAACAGTTTAAACAAGACAATTTTGCCTTACATCATTTAAATATGGATTCAACATTAACAGTCACCTTGCAGACTGGTCTATCTTCCTTAAAAACACCATATCCTTTAATAAAACCACAAACAGTCATGTTTGATCCGTATTATATTAACTTCATCATGCATATCGGGTAAAATTGTTATCAAAGCCTTGACCATCTTGCAAACATTGTGGTGTTGAAGGTTATATGAATGCTGAATGTCCAGTTTGCTCAAAACAATTGCTCGAACTGGCCAATTCATTGCCCTATTCTCACTGTGCTCAATCAAGATTAGTGTGTCCTATATCTGGTGAGGTCATGAATGAAAATAATCCTCCAATGGTTTTACCCAATGGATATGTTTATGGTCAAAATGTAAGTCATTGCTCAAACATTTTTATATATTTATAATTCATTCAAAAATCAACATCTTCTCTTTCAGGCACTTGAAGAGATGGCTCAGAAAAGCAATGGAATTGTCACATGTATGAAGACAAAGTTAAAATTTTTGATGGATGAAGCTGAAAAAGTATATGTTATGTAGTAGAACTGTTGTAATATTTGCAATTATTGTAAATAGGCTTGATATTTATGAACATACATGAGAATCACTTTGAATGACTGCTTTACAAAGTTAAGAACCTGTCACCATTCTGGTCACCATCTGTCACTTTAGGGCAAGAAGTGGAAGCATTCCAACCATGATTCCAACCATGATTGCAACTGATTAATTACGTCATACCCCTGCGTCATACACATTATACATAAATATCCAAGATGGCGGTATCGATGGCAAAGAAGATATTTCCAATGGAAAGTGTTTTTCTACGAGTAGTCAATAACAACATACGATATAAAACTGCCATTAAAGTATTGAAAACTTTTTAACTCATATTTGCGTTGTGTTGTCTATTTAATTTGTTTGGTAGCTTTTTGCAGTGTCCAACTAATCTTTTTCATTCTCATTTTCAACAGCAACAAACTCAAACGGCCTCTTATCATGCTCTTAGGAGACGGTTTTCATCCATGGAACAGCATGAGCCAGTGAGTCGCTTAATCATCATTGTATATTTGAAATAATCTGTTATCGTAAAGTTTCACTCTTTTTTTGTTTTTACTTTCCATTATTTCATTACTTTTGTGATTCCCTTACTTTACAATGGTATCATTTCTTTATTTTTGTAGCCATCCAGTCGTATTAGGGGGAAACATACCTTAACAATGATTCCAGGGGATGGGGTTGGTCCAGAACTGTGTGAGTCTGTAAAGATGGTGTTTGCTGCAGCCGGGGTACCTGTGGAATGGAATGAAATTCCCATAAGGTTTGTAATTTATTGTATAATTTATGCTGATAGCATTATATGCCCTTATGAGAATCGACTTTTTACAGTGATATTGGTGGCTATGGCAACCGACATTCACTGCTAGAAGTTTCAGATTCTTTGAAGAAAACAGGAGTGGCCATTAAAGGTGCATTAACAACTCCAACAAGCATCAACAATCAAGATATTCTTTCACTAAATCATAAAATGAAGTATGGCAGTAAAAATGTCTTATAAAATATATTTTAAAGATAAATTATAAAGAACTGTAATTGATTAACATTTAGGATTGATTTGGATTTATTTGCAAATGTAGTTCATTGTAAGTCATTTCCTGGATTAAAAACAAGGTAAGTGACATTTATGCTATAAATATAAATAAAAATCTGTCATTTTACTGAGTTTCATGTTTTCACATAAATTTTTTAGACATAATAACATTGATGTTATTATAATCAGAGAACAAACAGAGGGAGAATACACAAGTTTAGAACATGAAGTGAGCTAACAATTTCTCAAGCAGCAGAAATTCCTCATGAGAATGTTTAACTGATTTTTTTTGAAATTTCAAAATATAGACTGTTCCTGGTGTTGTTGAAATGATCAAAGTAATTACAAGGAAGAAGTCGGAGAGAATTGCTAAATTTGCATTTGATTATGCAACAATGCATGGAAGAAAGAAAGTTACTGCTATTCATAAAGCTAACATTATGTAGGTTTCTATTGAGATGACATTATCTATACATTAAAGTAAATGGTTTGAACCCGGGAGTATCGTTACATGTTTGTAAATGTAGATCGTCCAGGTAGACTCAGGACTATACCAACCTGGATGATCTACATTTACAAACATATCTATACATTAATAATGAACATTGTTCACTTTTTTGTGTTTTAGGAAAATGGCAGATGGTTTGTTTCTCAAAACTTGTGAAGAAGTATCAAAACTTTACCCAAAAATCCAATTCCAAGGCATGATTGTGGACAACACTTGTATGCAGGTATATTTAAAATTGTATTCACTCCTCTATGGTCACTTTACTTTATTTAAACTTCAAACAGTTTTAATTTAAATATTGATATTTTTACCAACTTTTTCAAAATATGTTAAAAAGAACCTGATATTAATTGTGACTAGCATTAGATTTCAGTGAGATTATTAAAGATATTTGTTTTTAGATGGTCTCCAATCCTCAGCAGTTTGATGTACTTGTTTTACCAAATCTTTATGGTAACATTATTGGGAATGTTGCAACTGGTCTTGTTGGTGGTGCGGTGTTGTTCCAGGCAAAAGTATTGGCAGTCAATTTGCAATATTTGAACCAGTTAGTAGTGCACTATTTATTCAAAATTTTATATCAGACATTCCAAGATGTTATAAGGTATTGTTAATTTTAAGGGTGCAAGACATACATTTGCTCAAATGGCTGGAAGAAATGTTGCAAATCCTACTGCAATGTTGTTATCTGGTGCTGACATGTTGGATCATATCAAGTATGTATTGATTACACATTTATTATGTTGACATCTAGTTAGTATTTATATATGTTTGACCTGTCAAGCTTAAAAGTTCATGCAAGAACGGTTCGCAGTGCAGTTGAAAGGACTATAAGTACAGGAAAGGTATGATGACCAAATTTTCCACCAATGTAGAAAGGAAAGAGTAAAAATTACTAAACTAGAAACATTTTAGTGTTTGACGATGGACATGGGAGGCAGTGCAAGTACATCAGACTTTGTTCAAGCTGTGATATCCAATATTTATTGATCAAAACATCCATTATGCTGAACTCTTTAAAGTAGGTCACTGTATTTAACTGTGCAAGCACAGTGAATTTTATTAATTCAAGTGTCAAAAAAGTTTTTATGTTGAAACATTTGGAACATTACTTTATGAATTTTTATTCTGTTCATTGCCATGCAGGATACTTTATGACAACATATGTTGACCAAAATTATTGCCTAGCTAGTTGTTAGGTAGTTTAAATGCATAAATGTTTTTTAAAATTGCTTATTTGAAACAGACAAACATACATAAACTGTATTTATTTATGAACAAAAGGCTTTAGACTTCAATTGTAAATGGTAAGAAATCGTTATCATCATCAGATCCATTGAGTTGTTGGGCTTTGTGCTGTCATTTTTTAACATCCTTTAATGTCTTTGATAGAAAGTCTAATCCTTCCTAATAATGAAAAAAAGTATGATAAATAATTGGAAAAGAAAGGTAAAAGATCATAAATTGAGACAAACCTCAACACCTTCACCACTTGTAGCAGAACAAGGTTGAATATGCCAATTTCTATCTCGAATGACACTAGATAGTTGCAATAATGAAGCAATCTATAGTAGAAAAGTACTACAGTTGGCAATGATTATTATATAAAAATTGTAATGTTATGTAGAAGTTTGCCTCGTCTGCTCTAGCTGCATTTAATAGATCTTGCTTGTTTGCAAATATTAAAACAGGAACACCAGCTAATTTATCTTCTTCAAGTAATTCTGTGAGTTCCTGCCATTAAGAAAAAATATTTAAACATTACAGAAATTATGAAGGATATTTTCCAGTCATGTGACACATACAAATCCTGTTTCCTCCATGCGTTTTCTATCAGCACTGTCTATGACATATATCTAAAAAAGAAACAGTCATTGAGTTTTTGAAAAAAATCTTCAATTCTGTAAGTCAGCTTTCCTTGCGCTATGAAGGAATTAATACTGTTTACTTAGGAAAATATCATGTTTATGTATGTTGACGATTATTGATGTGTTTCAAGATAAAATACAGCAAATCAGCAACTATTTTGGGATGTAATAATTGATTTTATTACACAACTTTACCAAAACGTCCGTGTTTTCAAAGTAGTTATTCCAATAAGCACGTATACTTTTTTGACCTGCGATGAATAGAAAGTAATAATGATGAATTTCTTGAGATAGGTGTAATGTGAAGAAAGATAATTTATACCTCCTATATCCCAGATATTTAAACGTAATCCTTTAGCTTGAACTGTTTTTATGTTAAAACCCTGTGTTAATGGAGGAGATCACAAATCAGAGAAGTAAATTTTGCATTGATAAAAAAATACAAATTACCTGTGTAGGAGTAACGTTCGAATAATCCTCAGACGCCAAGTGTTTAAGTAAAGTTGTTTTGCCAGCATTGTCCAAACCAAGAAGCAAAATGCGTAATTCTTTTGACTGTGTACTTTTCAATTTTTTTAGCAAAGCAAGAAGCCCCTGTGAAATGTAAAATAAACAAGCTGTATACGAGGTACGAAAGGATAAAATAAATAAGTTAGGATTCTCACCATTTCAAGTAATTTGGACGCAGTCACAGAAAGCTTTTTATTACCAAGGTGATTTTATTACACGGTGTTTATGTATAAAGGCCGAAAGACAATGTTTTCCATCCGTCACAATGATAAAATTTTATTGTCGGCAGTTATTGTAAAAAAATTTTCGTGGCTTATTGTCACCCACAAAATTTTTGCTCTAATAAACTGCTATGTATAGTCTTTGATACGAAGAGCATTGAATTATTTTCAAATATCTTAATTGATATTATTGTTAATCCATTTTATAAAACACATTGACGTAACATCACGTGACGTGAAATTTTTCTATAATATCATTGAAAAATTAGACAGTTAAAACACCTGCTAAGTCCCAAATTTCCATAGCAACTGATCCACACAGCTGCATGATGTATTGAAAGTTAAAAAATGTGAACATCGACGTTCGTGCATGACGATGTAGTGTTAGCTAGTAGTCTCACCTTCTATGTTAATGGCAACTAGGATTTCTGGTAGTGACAACAATGATTCATTACCTTCCATTTCTAGTCCTGGCAATCATTTATCGCGAAATATTGAGGTAGTAGTTAAACCGTTGACTATATTTATTTTTTATTCAATGCGTCATTGAACTTGCTTGAATGTCCATTCTTTAACGCACAAGAAACCTGAAAAGATTTGTTGAAGTAACAAATTGTGAAAACTTTTTATCGAACAAAATGATAAAATATTTGCAGGGTTTCTTTGTTGGGAAAATTTGCTAAGTTCCCGGCTTTAGTTTGCTTGTTATTCATATTGCATTCTATAGATAGAACATTGTTGGTATTTTTTAAAAAAACATATATATTTTATTTTCAGTCAAATCATGAAATGAGCACGAAGAACGATAAAGTGAAACGAAAACGTTTTCATGGTTTTCGCACACTCCTCAATGGTGATCGTCATCAACATCCAAAATTTACAATAACTGATGAAAGTAAATCAACCTCCATATCCCTTGAACATCTTCCCTCAGTATCCTCTCAACCTTTACCTTCTTTATCTCCCCAACATTCACCCTCTTTATCCTCTCAAAATTTATCGTCTTCATCAGTTAAACATTTACCTCCTTTGTCTCCTCAATCTTCATCTCTTGTCTCAAGTTCTTCTTCTTCTCCCCTTTTTATTTCCTCTTCACAATCATCGAGCAGAGTCAACAGGCTTTCTGTTGGTAGAAGCTTTATCTGTATGGAGAAAAACCTTTGTTCAATACCTACAACGCGTTGTGTCTCTTGCGAAAGCCTTCTTACTCGTGAAGGTAGCTTTGATTTGCAAGAAAGAAATGAAACTGGTGAAAGGGATGTTTCTGCCTTTGAAAATGTTCGTCGGAATAGTGGAGATTTCGACAGTAAATCTCAAGAACATTGCAATTTACGAAACCACGACATGTCATTAAAGGATAAAAAGACGGACCTTTTTCAAAATCCTGAAGAATTAAGGTTTGCTGGTTAAAATGTATTATTTTCCTGTGCTGATTCGTAACAATTGTTAAAAAAAAATATTTCAATTTCCAAATGTAGGAGGGCTTTTAAACAAGCGAAAGCGGTCAAGAATTATTCAACAGTTGTTAATTATATGCAACATGTGTTTAGTTCATTGTATACTTTGGCTAAAACATTTAAGGTAATTATTTTTGCATTCGTTGAATTATTTTTCCAATGTACATATGAATAATCCTGTCTCTTTTATTTCACATTTAGGTTAGCGACAACAATTTAGGATGTGGATACAATGTTCAATTTGTTGACGTCGTTTTTCATTTACTCATGAAATTGGTTTGTAAAAATTACTATCATCAACTCCTTTCATTATCGTCAATGATAAATTATTTATTTTTGTAGCCTAGTGATAATCGGAAAACCATTCTTAAGTCTGTTGTTGTTTGTTTGCTGAATAACATCAAAGTGTATGTTGATTTATTCGTCACGCATTGAAGAATTGCTTTGCCCAGTTTTCTTATTTTTTTTTGTAATTCAGAAAACAAGAGAAGGCTCATTTGCTTGGATATTTGATTTTACTGCAGGTTCTCTTCACAGAAACATGTTAAAAAATGTAAATTAAATTGTGCGTCACGTATATCGTTGTTTTTTTATAGAATCCGCAATTTGATAACCCTTCATCGCATCTTATATTTTCAACTCTTTTAAAACAAATGAACTCTCTTTCTGATAGACAACATGAAACATTGGTACATTGGATGTGTAGGTAGGTTGGTGATAATGCTCTAAAATCTGTTTCATATTTGCTGCCAAATTTATGATGTCTCTATAAATATGACAACTTTAGGTTACCTGTTGCAAATTTCAAGGATATTGTCAATCGTCTTAAAGAGGTACATCGATGTTTCTCCTTAAAAGTATGGGGTGGGATGATAAATTGTTGGGATGTTGTAACTTTTGTTTATATTTAGTTTGTTTGTCTGTCACATTTCAAAAAGCATGTTGGTGATTCGTCTTCTCTGAAAGAAACTCGTTCATGGGTGATTTCTGCTGTGAAAATTCTATCTTTATGCAGTGAGTACAAATTTAACATTTCTGACTAAAACAGGTGTCTATACTCTTGTCAATTCGAGGAAGGCAAGAGCAAATGTTGTACTGCTTGTGTAGTAGTATAATGTATGAATCTACATTTCAGATGCGTCTAACTGGGTAAACGAAACACCGATAGTTTCTTACCAATATATGTACATGGTCGAGTTAAATAATCTTAAGTTGGAAGATGAATATAAAAATGGCAGAACAGATCAGGGTAGAATTATTCTTGTTATAGTGACAAGTTTTCTTTATCACTAACTACGTAATGTTTTAATTTTAGGTTTTCATTTTGTCAATTCCCATTCCTACTGACGCTCAATGCCAAACGCTTCCTTTTGCAAAAGGATTCTGAAATACAAATGATAGAAATAGCCAGGGTAGGAATGGTTATTTAAACTTGCTTCTCGTTCTTTGTGAAATAATGGTTGTCTCTAACGTTGCCCTATTTAATTATCTTATGGATGAGGTTTTGTTCACTCGCCAAGTGTATAATGAATGCCTAGGTTTTCTCATAAAATGGTGTTAAGTATAGCATTTCTTGATATATGCAAAGTTATGTTACACCTAAAGATGATACTACAGACTCGAATAAGTTTACAACTATTTTTAGCCTTTGTCGTATGTGACTACAGGTACTGTAGATGGCTGCAGAAAAAATTCTAAAATATAAAACTGCAAGAATCAAAAAGTGTTTAACTATTTTTTTTTTGTTTTTTAGCGGAGCCTTTTGCAAGGTGTTAGAAAACGAAAGCTTCCAGCCGTCAACATGTTGTTTCTTCATCTAAAAATTCGTCGAAATAATCTCATGTTAGATTCATTGAACGAGGTTTGTCATTTTTTTTAAAAGTTTGTTTTCCAAGAGTTGTTTGTACACACGTGTACCACCCGTGCCGAAGTTTTCCCTTAAAAGATTTGATGGATTTGTAAGACGAAATCAAAGATATTCGCTCCTGTTGTTCATACACATGAACAATAAACAATATTACATTTTGCTGATTGGTTCTTGACTCGGATACTAAAGTTGCCGAATTATAAAATCCAAATAACATTTTAATAAACGTGACCGTCATGACGAAAATTTTCAAAATATGAAATTTCACCCTTTTTTTTAAACTCACTTCTTTTGCATGTTCAAGATCTCGTAATTTTTGCTTTTACATGTTTTATAAATTTACAACAAACGTTTAGATTTCTCGGAATCGAGGAAACTTAAAGAAAAAACTAAAAGTTACTTTTGTTGGTGAACCAGGAATTGATATGGGTGGTCTGACTAAAGAATGGTTCATGTTGCTTGTTCGTAAGATTTTCCGACCAAAATATGGTGAGTAATGTCGTCACCTTTATTGAACCTAACTATAAATTAAATTCATCACAAGTAAAGAAACACCATTTGTTAAAAATGCCTCTGTTTGGTTACCTACGAAAAAAGAGCCAAAGAAATGTTTAGTTCGTAACTTGGCCTGTGAATTTATGAATTTCTTTTCGTTTCTGTATTTATTAGGTATGTTTCAGTTCAACGAAAAATCATCCTGTTATTGGTTCACTAACATAGCTGTCGATAATCTTGCTGAATTTAATCTTGTTGGAGTTGTATCTTCTTTAACTTGGTTTAGATATTTAGTAGTGTAAACCATCATTGTTTCCTTGCAATTCCTTAATGACATTGTAGTTGATGGGTTTAGCTGTGTACAATTCAACTATACTAGATATTCGATTTCCATTATGTTGCTACAAAAAGTTGCTGAGTCCTCCTGTAGTTCCATATGATCCTAATACAACAGTTGGGATCACTAAACTAACTCTTCGTGATCTAAAAGAAGTAAACCCGGTGAGAAAATTATTCTTCGTCTGATGTTATCCTATGGCAAACTATTATTTTTAAATTTTCAGGAACTTGGTAAAGGTTTACAAGAACTTCTAAACTACGAAGGAAATGTTGAGGAAGATATATGTCAGACATTTCAGGTTATTTCATATCAGTTGATAATTTGACACTTTTATTGTTATAATTCACCAGCGAAAGTTACGAAATAATTGATTTTCGAACTTATTTCTACGAAATGCTCCATAGGTATCTTTTTCCCGCTTTGGATCTGTTGTAACTGAAGATTTAGTTGAAAATGGTCATTTGATTCCAGTAACGAATGACAACAGACGAGGTTAGACGATGTAATTAATTATTTACATTTATGCAGTTTGATACTAGTATTGAAAAGGCATCATAGCTTTTTTCAAATAACTAAAAGTTCACTTGCTCAAATTTCAGATTATGTTGACCTATATGTGGACCATATTCTTAATAAATCAATACAGGCTCAGTTTAATGCATTCTATTATGGATTCCACAGTGTTTGTGCATCAAATGCTCTTATTGTACGTATCAATATATGTGATTTTATGCCCATTATGATGAAGTTCAACCTTTATTTATCCTTTCTGAATTTTTATCAGATGTTACGTCCAGAGGAAGTTGAAATGTTAGTCTGCGGAAATCCTGTAATAAACATGAAGGAACTGCGTAAAGTTACAATCTATGATGCTTATTCAAAACATGACCAAATCATCAGGTTTCTTTGTACTTTGATGGATTTCCATTTTCATGGTTGTATTGCTGACAAATGTCTTTTAGATATTTTTGGGACATCGTTGAAAACTTCTCTGATTCTCTGAAGAGAAAACTATTACGATTCTGTACAGGAAGCGATCGTATTCCAGTCGGTGGAATGTTGGAAATGGATTTCAAGATTACGAGGACGGTTAAAGTTAGCGAAGAGATGTAGGCTTTTAATTTTTTTGGATTTATTTATTTCATCGTTGGTAATCTTTGAGCATGAATTTGCTATTGAAAAACATCAGTCATTCATAGAGCGATGAATTAAATAGCAAGATACGTCTATCATGTTTAGGTTACCTATGGCACACACCTGTTTTAATCAGCTTTGTCTACCAAAGTACAAGACCAAACAGCAGTTAAAGAAGAAATTGACGATTGCTATTTCGAATTCAGAAGGCTTTGGTATTGAATGAATACTAACTCCAGTTGAAAGTTGTGCTATGATTGACAATAGGGAGTTTTAGCAGAGCCTACGAGTACGACTACGAGTACGATTTACGTCATTTTGGCGCGAAAACATTGTTGCGACAACAAAAACACGTAGCCGTCATCAATCTGAGTACGATGTTTTGTAAAAAATTCGTAGTCGCGACTACGATGTCTTTTTAAGGAAAGAAAGTAGGTATATTTCTTCATTCTGTAAGAAATTACTTTACAGTACTATTTTCGAGCATCCAGGCTTTAATATAGAACCCTTTTTGAACGCAGATGTACATTAAAAAGGAAAATATGACCTGCAAAACTTTCATGTATTTCGTACGCAAAGTGAAAGGTAAACAAGCAATAAAATAGTACAAATATATCGTACATAAAACTTAAAATAGTGAAGATTTTTCAGTCTAAAGAGTCCTGTATTCTCGCAAAACCAGTATTATCGATTCTTTGATATCATTATTGACAAATAGAGCCGTAGCTGCTTCGCAAACGTCGGTGTTTTACACAATAAAAAGGCTCGTACTGTTGTTTACAACTAAAGCAAAATTTTGACGAAGCGACAACGACAACAACCTTCCTCGTGCCATTCCCTTACACGGTCAATTTTCGTACTCGTTCTCGTAGTCGTACTCTTGCTAAAACTCCCTAATGAACTTGATGAGCACACGTGCTGTTTATGAAAGAATTGTACAAACATAATTGTTTGTCTCTATCATTTTCAAAAGAATACATTAGTAGTAGCTAATTATCAATTAGTTGCTGATATATCACCAAACAAACAATATAAATGCATATAAATGTATATATTTATACTATCCTTTCAGTCATTCTGCTTTCTTCGCGCGCCTTATTTTAACAATTATGGTTTTTGATTTGTTACATCTGTAGCGCGAAGTTCTGCATTAATATTTGTTTGACAAGATTTTTATGGTAATTTTTTTTGCAATAAATACTACAAATTAGGTTGGAATGGTACTTGAAATTGTCCATGTGTTTACAACGAATTCTCTGGTCTCATGGTTTTCGAGGTTGCGAAGTGGAGGCTCAAACCCTTCTAGAAGATGTAGTAACTATGCTAAGTATGACTTAGGAAATGGAAAAATAAAAAGTAGTGTGAAATAATGCGACACTTAGAATAAATTCAAAAAAATTCCCTCTCCGATGAGAAGGAAGAAGGAGGAGAGCGAAGAAAAAAAGATCGGATTTCATGCAAAAAAAACTCTTAAAAAAAGTCTCGATAAAATTTCTTTATGACTCCCTACGATCCGGGAGTCAGTTTTTTAAATTCGCACGATACATCGTATTTTTAAATGTCTTTATCGCATTATAATGCTTCTTATTTTTTTCATACATCATTTCAGAAATAGACAGTTGTCTTGACTTCTTACGTTCTGTTTACGATATCTTTGGTTTTACGTTCAATGTTGAGCTATCAACTCGACTTGAGAAATTCATGGGTGAACTGGTTACATGGAATGAAGCTGAACAGGGTTTGTTCTCAACAGAAAAGGGAGGCAAGCTGTTTACAGTTTACAATGTTTTTTAGTCGTCTTGTCAGAAATATAAAAAATTAAGTCGATGTGTTTTGTGGATACTTGTACAGTTAAATGACACCCTGATTATCTTTATAAATAGGGACAGGTTTCAAAAATTCAAAATCATTCAGAAATCCTCTTAGCCATATGACCCTTGTGAAGCTGAACTCAAAGCAATATATTCGGCTTCCGTTGTAGATTGTGATTAAGATGTTTGTGCACCAGCTTATCGCGCTGTTCATAATTCTAAAAAACATACTCTGATGAAGAACGTCTTGTCTCTATATCCTCACCACAAACAGTGTCTGAACAATCATACAAATCAAAATCTTTTCCATTTGATACAAACAAAAGAGCATGATCTATCGTTCCTTTGATATAACAAAACACCTGGTGTGGACATATAACTACATAGATAAAGTTGCACCGACAGCAGCTAAATCTTGAGGAGTTGCAAAGGTTGCATATGTTAAGCAATCTATTACCGTCTGATATTTCTGAACACTTCTCACCAAAATATAATGATACAGATGGTGTTTATACTGGTTTTGATTCATCCATTCTTCAGTGTTCTTAGCAAATATTATTCCCAGAGACCATGCACTCCATGTATCACTCTAAGAAGTCATTTTTTCTCACAATTTCCCCACTGTTCAACATTTCATTTAGAACTGTACAAATACCAAGTGGTGTCAAACCATCTCTATCTATTAAATCTTGTTTTTTAAATGTCAATATCAAAATCAAATTTGTCAAAATAATCACAACTTCGAGTGACTGCACTTTTCCAGAATTGAAATTTACTTTCCCAATGCATGAAGTTCATCTTGCCACTCATCAGGAAGATATTGATTTTAAACCAGTTGAACATAAAACTTGGTGTAGTTAGTGATAAATATTATAGGAGACTCGAAGCGGCGCTTGTTTAAATGTCAGCCATGAATATCTTGAAAATTGGCGTTTTTATCATATTTTTTGTTGTTTACACTACACGCACCAAACATGGTATCTCATGAGGGATTTGCACTATATCAATGAAAACTTCTGGATTAACCTGAACATTGTAAATTTTTTTCAGCCATTAAAAAATTGTATGTTCTCAACTTGGGATGATTATATTTGAAAGCAGAAACACTTTTTTTCAATGTTATTTTATTTCAAAGAGAGACGTTATCAAAAGTGTCTTATCTAATTTACCTTTCACTTATTTGGGATAAGTTTTAATATTTAACATATTGTAGAAATTTAGCCAATCAGAGATGTAAGAGCTCAAAATTTATCCAATAACATTTGTAGAGCTCATTGAAATCAACCAATGAAATCGATCGGACCTCCAAATGATCTTAATAAACGTCAATCACTCTACACAACGGTAGATGCCCTCAAGACTCGAAAGTGAAAGGAAGGTTAGTGAAATTTTGATTTATTGTTTTAAAACGCACTTCAAATGTTGATAAATTCAATGACAAAAGCCTTGTTTGATGTATAGTTACGCATTGTTTTACTGTAAATCTTTTCGTCGGTTGTTTTTGTGCAATTCGCCATTTAACTGCGTACCTTCGACGGTGTATTTGCTTTGCCAGAGAAACTTGACAGTATAAAAACGGCAAGTTTGTATGTTTCAAAGTCTTTCTTTTCTTTTTACTTCAGTGTGCTTGGTGACTGCTGGTGTTTTGAATACTTCGAAGTAAAACTTTGTCGAATATTTTTGCTTTTAGCGTGTATTTTTGAATCGATATTTTTTCAGCGAGAAAGTTGTGCGACCGACATCTTCCTCGTTTCAACACAAAAATATGTAAAAATTCTAGTTGAAAAGTAATAGTATTGCAAAAGTAGCGATAAGGAGGGTATTTCTTATCCCATGGGTTGATTTTTTGTTGGTAAAAAAATGCTCTTTTGACTCTTAAGCGAAAATTTTGAGATATGTGAAAAAATATGAAAATGTTGGTTCATGGTGGACATTGGACTTTCGATAAAATTGGCGCCAATTTTGTTCCGCGTGAAAACGAAGAACACTGGGCACGAATTATGCAAAACTGACTAGCTTGACTACGAAAATACCCACAAAATCTTTGAATGGAGTGGGATACAGGGAAAAATTTGAAAAGTGTTGACGGCTACAGGTTCTTCAATTCAATAAGTTCGAATGATAGCAATTTCAGTGGGCGAGAAAGATTTTTAATGAAATACGATGTACGCTACTCGAGTACAATTTAGAAAAGTTGTTATTGAAAGCTATTTTAAGAACACTTTACCAATAAATGTGTTTTTATTCTATAGGAAAAGAAGCTAATTTTCTCTTGAGAATTTACTATGAGCAATCATAAAGAATGCAACCGAAGTCGTATCCTGGTTGAAATTTGAAGCAAACATAAAACGGATCGCTATGAAAACAACTGGAAGAAAACAAATGAGGAGTAAGGTAGGAAACTCAAAATTATATGACTTTAAAACTTTCATTGACTGCCTGGTTCTTTTTTTACGAAAACGCTTTTGAAAATTTTTGTTATAATATTCTTTTATTGTAGTAATCTTTTCTGTTAATATTTTTATTTTAATATTGCAATTTTTATAATATATATCAAATGGGTTAAAACGCAGAAGCTCATTTCGATTCATTTGAATTGATAGGATATTCAAATGAAAGCAACAGACAGAGCGTGTTTTTATGGATTTACTTGTGCACACATTCAAAATTTTTTTGCCTTTTTTCTTAAAACTTTGCACGAAAAGTTTGTTTAACATTTTGTTGTGCAATCACTATCTTCGTCGTATTTTGCTGCTGGTAGACGAGTACTAGTAAGGGTGGAAAATGATTAGACAATAGATCAAAAAAACAATTGTTGTGAACGATCTATCTGAAAACGATGTTCAAAAGCATTCAAAGAAGTCTATATGACTTCCTCCATTTGAAATGTGTAAGGGATTAAAACAAACATTCCTTCATGAAACAAAACTAAATGCTGTTGTGTGCATGTGATAACGATTTTGATTAAATTTTTAAGTCAAATGTTGTGAATAATATTTCAAAAATCGACGCTCAATGACATATAAAGAAGTCTATAAGACTTCCTTCCATTTTTTAAGCAAAATGCTCCTGAGTTTAAGGTGTACAAAGATTAGCAAACAATAAGACGAATCTAGCTAGTGTTGTGAATGACCTATATATGTGAAATTGACGTTCAATGGCGTATAAAGAAGTCTATACACTTCCTTCCTATAAAATGTATACATAAAAAGACATATTCACTGGATGAAATTTACTTCCTATTTATAAAAAGACATATTCGCTGGATAAAATTTACTCATGAATCAAAAGTAAATGTTGTCAATATTTTTAGACAAAATGCTGTTGAGTAAGGATTGTCAGACAATTAAGTCAAAACTGCCATTGTGAACGATCGATATGAAATCGACGTTTAAGAAAAATGAAGAATTCTTTACGACTTCATTCTTTTGAAATTTATAAAATATGAAAAGAAACATTAATTCGAAGAAATTTATTTATAAAATAAAAGTAAAATATCATACGTAATCTTACATCAGCAACTTGAAGTCTTCATTTGTCCACTATTCATTTAATTATTAATTAGAAAAGTAAACAAAAGTATTGTTGTAAAAAGTACTCTTTGAACAAAGCGTTGTACAAATTATGTAAAATACCTACAAGACGTCGAGAATAGTTAGAAGAATTAATGGAAGCCTCACATTGGAAGAGGTCACTTCAGGAACCACAAGTAGACAAGAACAAGGAAACATAAGAAAGCAGTAGTGTGTTTATGAGCCTATGATAGCAAAACAGCATCTACTTTTGTTTGGGGAGCTTATCAATTTTTGGAAGGGCGCAGATCATTTCGTTCTTTGGGACGTTTATCACATCTTGAGCGAACAATGTCTTAGGTTGTTGAGGTGCTTCATCGACTCGTGCGAATGTAGTTTTCCGTTGTTGAGGTGCTTCATCGAATGTTGCCAGCTCGCGCAGCGTCTTCCGTTGTTGAGGTGCTTCATCGAATTTTGCCAGCGCGCGCAGCGTCTTCCGTTGTTGAGGTGCTTCATCGAATCTTGCCAGCGCGCGCAGCGTCTTCCGTTGTTGAGGCACTTCATCGAATCTATCCAGCGCGCGCAGCGTCTTCCGTTGTTGAGGTGCTTCATCGAAACTTGCCAGCGCGCGCAGCGTCTTCCGTTGTTGAGGCACTTCATCGTTTTCCGTTGTTGAGGCACTTCATCGTTTTCTGTTGTTGAGGCACTTTATTTCTTCAGAGACTCTTCAAGTGGAGTGGGTTTTTCTATCTGATCTAGTTTGATCTGAGGCGTCAGATAGATCAAACTAGATCAGATAGAAAAATCAACAAAGAAAGAAAAGCGAGAAGTTTAAAGACAAAGTTCACTGCTATGTTTTGAAAAAAAATTACAGTGAAACGGTGCAAGAAAAAAATGACAAAGCAATCTTGTGACGAAAAAGAAGATGAAATAATGCAAGACAAAGATTTCACGACTCTATAACTATACTTGTAAATACATTGCCTGACACTTTAGCCCATGCATGACTTTTGAAGACTTCTTGTTGCAGATATAATTTTTTTTACATGTTGCTTTCTGTTTGTGGGTTTCATCGTCTAACATGAAGGACACGACTTAATTGTCTCGTATAACTTACCTTAACTCAATAAACTCTTGAACAACTTAATTCAGACTAAGATGTAAATAACCTATCTATCGTCGAAGTTTTATGTTCTGTTGTTTTTGACTTTCACGTAATTTTCGACCAAGTGTGCACAAGTAAATCTCTAGAGACGCTGCAATTGGTACAAGATGGACGTCAGGTAAGATGAACGTTAGATGATGAACAGACATTTACATTGACATTAAATCTTACTTGAATATTTTGCCACCTGAATTTTAGGAAAAAGCATGCAGTTAATGAGTTATGGTGCTTTGTCCATCTATGGTTTGTTATGCTGCAAAATAGAAATGATAATAATCATGGTGGTGACATTGTGTGGAAGTTTTAAAACTGCTATGGTGAACTATAAACTCAATATCAGGAAACAAATTATCCATCCTAATACCACAAAGCTTAAAATATATTTTGGTAAGTGGTTGTTGATGTGTTTTTATCTGTTCGATACCAAACAAGCGATCGTTTCAGGTGGATGGATGTAATAACTAATAATAGTATAATGATTTTTCATTTCAGAAATTTTTCTTCAAACTGTTTTTTCTTAAACCACCTTTATCACTGCTGAACGTTTAGGAGTTGCAGCTGGTCGCTTATGACGATGAGTCATATCAGGTATTAAACTTTTCTTGTAATTACCTTTTGTACTTGTTTGATCATTACTTACAGTTTCTACAAAGCTGGTTACATTGAGGAAGATGTCATAATAAAAAGTTATGATTACAGTATGATGTCATAATAAAAATGATTCAGCATTTAATTTTTAATAAATTTTCAAAATTGGAATAATGCTTTTTGGTTGTGTTTTATTACTAAATTTAGAAAGTCTTCCAACTATTTCATAAAATTACCAAGAGTTTTGAGCAAGCGCAGCCGAAAAATTTGAAGGGAATTGCTAAAAAGCATTTTTGATTTGTTATATAACGTTATTCTTTTGTCTAATTGAAATGCATTCATGTTTCATTTTTTGAACTTCATTGTTTTGTAGATAAGGAATGATAGAATGGTGGTGTATTATATTGATTAATTGCAACATGGTTATTGTCGATTACATTCTGGCTGTCGTGGATTACATCGTACCTGTCGTGGATTTCATCGTGGTTGTCGTGGATTTCATCGTGGCTGTCGTGGATTACATCGTGGCTGTCGTGGATTACATCGTGGCTGTCGTGGATTACATCGTGGCTGTCGTGGATTACGTCATGGTTGTCGTGGATTACATCGTGGCTGTCGTGGATTACGTCATGGTTGTCGTGGATTACATCGTGGCTGTCGTGGATTTCATCGTGGTTGTCGTGGATTACATCGTGGCTGTCGTGGATTACGTCGTGGCTGTCGTGGATTACGTCATGGTTGTCGTGGATTACATCGTGGCTGTCGTGGATTACGTCATGGTTGTCGTGGATTACATCGTGGCTGTCGTGGATTTTGTCAAACTAATATTGGGCTAAGGATTACGTTAATCTATGAATGAAGAACGACGACGAGCAATGGTGTGATAATCAAACGTTAACTTACCGTTCATAAACTTTGTTGTTTCACTTCAAAATCTATTTGACATTGTGCCACACGAGTTAAAAAACACACGATAATTTCATGGTGGTTTGTTGAATTATGATATGTATCAAGATTTGAGTAAAGCTGTATGAGGGAATCACAAAAGTTATCAACAGAATAAATCCTAACACTACGTGGAAAATAAATATAGGTGAGTAATATTTGCTTATTGAATTTCATTCAATTTGCTAACTGAGTTGCTGAAATTTGTTGTAGTGAAAAAAGTAATAATATTTTAATGTTTCAAATTTCAGTAATTTCCACTTCATCAACAAACATTACGCTTCATTTGTTGATTGTCAGAGTATGTTTCATCCTATGAACAAAACCACCTTACACAACACTGCTGGAAGTTTTGAAGAGGCAGTTGGTGCTCATGACGATCAATCTATAGGTAATTCATGTGTATTTTTCTTATTGACCAATCTTTATAGTTGCTTTTTGGCTACGTTAAGAGCAGAAGATAATGTTGTAAATGGGAATTAGTAGCCTAGCAAAAAGCAATTTTATTTGTTGGGAATGTTTTGTCTTGCAAAAATATCTTTACACTAATTGTTATAACATTACACAGAATATATACGCTTTCACAATAAAATTATTATCATTTTACAATAAATTTATTTGCGGTTTTTGTGTCACGTTATTGTCAATAACCGTGCAATTTTCGTGAATTTTGAAGAATTTCGTGTTATCTTGAATCTTTCATTTGTTTTGTAGTGAAAGAAGAATGCAATGGTGGCACATTGTGATTCATACATGGCATCATTGTATCATGTATGTCGTGGGTCAAAGCATAATTGTCGTCGATCACGGTCATATAGTAGATTAACTCACTGCTGTCGTGGATTACATGTACTTTATGGTTGTTATGGATTTACCTCATCGTTGTCGTGGATTTACATCATCGTTGTATCTTAGTCCACGAATGAAGACCAAAGACGACGTTTAAGGTAGCAGGTTTATAGTGTTTTAGTTAAAGTCCTGGTGATCTATACTAACAGGAAGATGATTGATCATTGGCTGAGTGAATAACGAAGTTAGTTGTTCTTTTGATTCTGGTTAGTGTTGTTTTTTTTAGTTTTGTGCATGTGATGCAGTGCTTTTTGCCGTTGAAACATTTGCCTAAAAACGATGATACATCTTATATTGTCGAAAACGTTTATCAAATAAAACTGTCGTATAATGTAAGATTATCATTGTACAAGGTAAAATATATATGTCTGATGTCGGTTTTTATAAGCTTTTCTTTCTTTTGATCACCAGGATACACGATCTAAGTTCAAGGAAATAAGCATGGGTTTCTTTGAGTTTTGGTCGTGTTTATTATCTTGTATATTATACTTCCTAAAACTGAATCATATGTATATTTAGTTATCAAACTAGAAAAATTACGGTCCAAAAAATGGCGAAATCCGAATCACAGATTGCACGTTAAAACAACAAAAGAAATTCGGACCGAAACATGGCGTAATCCGGCATGCAAGCTGCATAGCGCAAATTAAATTAATCTAAAGTTATAAACGTCTGAAATATTCTTGCTTGATGATACTTTATAAATCATTTTTACGTTTAGTTCGAATTGTTTGAATTTTGAACCATGCAAAATTTGAAATGTTCACCAGACGCTTGAAAATAAATCAAAGTTTTTAAAATATTTTTAGAAAAAAATTAGGGACTTGTATCATCAAGACGAATATGCAACGTTGGTCTAATAAAGAACGAAACAGATTAATAAGTGCATGAAACCTGGCATTGCTTTTGCTAAATAGCTGTCAAAATCAATGTTATGACAGTGGCATGTCGAAGTTAATTAACTCACTGTTATTTAACTTGAAGAAAATAGTTCAGAGAAGAAATATAGTTCAATTATTCATGATGTATTGGGTTAGATCGTCTCGAAATCAAATCGAACATCTTCATCTATTTTATGCATGGAAGATTATTTGATAGACAGTGAGACAAACTTATCCGATACATTTAATGTAGTTCCAGGTAGAAATAATCGTAAACGGTGCCAAATTGGTACCTAGGTGATCGAGTGTTGGACACAAGAAGGATTGGTTGGCACGCCGTTTGGTAAAGTATAAGGGCCCAGGGAGGCGGTTCCCTATTCGTTAGGTTCCCTTTCGGTTCGGGTACTAACGTTGCTTTACAGGTGTCTCATCGTTCAAAGGTATGGTTTACTTATTTTTGTGCAGAATAGTTCGTAGGTAGTAGACATTCCAATCGGTTATTTCATGCCACTGATCAGCAGGGTTAGTTAGCTAAGAATGCGCTTAGGGAAAAATAGCGCAGGTAAAAGCGGTCAAAAAATGGCGTACGTCCTACAAATGACGTAAAAATGGAGCCAGTTTCGGTTTTTTCCAAAGATAAAGGGTGCATATTGCCAACAGGACACCTCTGTCAACAACCTTGTAAAGATAAAAGCAGTATAATAAATGTTGTAAACATAATAATGTGCATCCACCGACTGGCTTTCGTAGCTTGTTGGATTTCTGAGGGTTTTCCTCCGGCGTTACGCCGGTTTCCTTCATCTTTAGAGAATCTCTCTAAAGAACAACAAAAAAGGGTGGCCATGCCTTGGACCTGCAGTAGGGATTGTATGGTTATTGGGTTGGATTCCCGATCCACTTAAAGAAACAAGAATAGATTTAGACTCTTGTTGCATCTTCTGTTCTTGTTCAATTTGATTATACTGCAAAAATTCTTATTTGATGAATGACCAGGGCCCTTAATATTTTTCACGTTATGGAGTTGTACGTCCATGTGACGTCATACAATATCACCAAACTCAATTCACCACCACGTTTCTGAAAACTTTCAAAATGGCAATGTGTAGTAAAAGAAGAAGAAAAGTAGAATTTGTGCTTACTGTTTACCTTATATATTTATGAGCAAAAAGGTTGAACTTTTTTTATTCTATGGTCCTTCATTCTGCGTGAGTACCTACCCATATATTTTAAGCGTATTTTTGTATATACTTGTAAATTGTAACCTTTTAAAATATCATTTTGAGTTTGACAAGGATGAAAAGCTTCTCCCAAAAATGGGTGGGTTTTCTTTCTCGTTTCCTTATCCTGAACTCAATAGATAAAATATCAACGAAATTTACAGGGAACAACATTGCACTATATGTCAACAACTACTTGAGAACCCACACGCGGATAGCAGCTTCTGAAATATTTAAAGAAGAAAAGTCTTCAAGTTTGAGAGCAGTAATTTTGAAAGTTGTCGAAGTTTTGGCGAAGGTGATGGTTATAATATGAAATAATAATTTGACTCAGTATGCCCATGCACAAAAATAATTTTTTAGATAGGATGTTGTGACGATATTTCAATGCTTGAAACAATTAATTTTATTATATATCAACGAGCAACCATTTTATTTTCCTGGGCAGTGTTTCTTCTTTTTCTGGTTAGTTATGGACAATATTTGTAGTCCAAAAGCTTCCAATTTTTGAATGACAAAAGTTGTCCAACATTAATGTTAAAAAGATATGTATGATAATATTGGATATTGGTTATTTCATCTGGCCAAGGCATTGTTGGGGGGTGTTGTGGAAATGGAATTAACAAATATTCCTCCATTTTTATTCATGTTTCAAGGGAATAAGAGTTGATGATGAAAATTGGTACATTGCCACAAGGAAGTTGTATTCAACATTAGTCAGGATTAAGGTGACAAATTTTGATAAGTTTTGAAAAGAAACTAAATATTTTGAAATACACATTTATTCATCACAAGTCAAAGTTAATTATTTTCATTTAATCAAATGTTTCTTATTTTAGGAATGAAGGAAGATAGATTAAAGAGGAAGAAAAACAAGGGAGGTTTTCGTAGTTTTGGTCTCTATAAGATTCGACAAATATCCCTAATACCCATGTTCATCTAAGCTCTTAGAACTTTATATAAACTATTTTTTTAATACTTTGCAACATTCTGCCAACATGTTGCAAAGTTATTCTCGACTAGTTGAGTAACTTGAAATTTTTGATAAACTTAAGTCTAGTTATAAGAAAATAGAAAAAAATATCAATGAAAGTGAAAGTATTATTAATTACTAATGTTAAAATAAAACATAAAAATAGTTATAAACATAACCATATGCGCATATGTTAATATACAAACAACATTTATCGTAATATATATATATATGTTGTAAATTGTATTTATACACTTTGTATACCTATTATATATATACAAAGTGTATTAAATGTGCCCTCCCGGCTATCACCATAGTAAAATGGTGACTCCTGCACTTGGGACACAGGATGTACGGTTACACATTGTATGGATTGTTTTGTAGAGTCACCAAAGTGCTCAAACCTGTAAAGTTGAGCTATGCATAGCGCTAAAGTTGAACGTTTCAATACCGAACGGCTTAAATACCTCAAAGTCGACTTGTCACACGATAAATTTGGTATAGAAATCGCCGAGATCGTTCTCTCTTTCTTCATGCACTCCTCAAATACTCTTGTGATAACTGCTTTACTTTATCTTTCGCTGTATGTTTCATTACCTTGAACTCTTAATTCTTCCAATGCAATAGTCGAGTTACATTGTTTACTTTTTTTTTGCAGGTAGATTTGGTCGCTACCTGCCAGAAAACGAAAACAATATTGACCAATGATCATTATAAAACTAAGTTTTTAAGTTCAAAGGAGTTCTTCATCAGATGAGGACAGAACTTCTTCGCAAAATGATGCAACGTGAAACAAAGGGTATATTTCATAAGTAAACATCAAACAATACAGTTATTTTGCATATTTTCAAAAAACATCCGAAACTCTCAATTACACTTTTAAAGTAAATGGTTTGAGCCCGGGAGTATCGTTACATGTTTGTAAATGTAGATCGTCTAGGTTGGTATACTCGTCGTAAGAACCAGATAACAAATACGGCTAACCTGACGTTTACTCCACATTTGACTCTGAAGATGACTACCGCATGATTTGAAAATCTTCGTCCTTTCATGTTGAAATTCTCCTCATGATTTTAGAATACTCAATGCCCATGCTGTATTATCTCTTGCTTCTTTTTGGAACTCTTTGTTTCTCTCTCTTTTCAATTTCTTCAACTTGTATGGCATCTCGAAATCTGTGGACACGTTCTTCCTTCTCTTCAATCTGACTTAAGAATAAATTTATGTCACATTTTTCTTCATCCTTTAACAAATCTTGAGTTGCGATCTGCTATTCTAACAATTCCAACTTATTAAATTCACTCATATCTTTAAGTGCACAGATTAAAATAAACGACGTTAAAACTACTGCCTAAATGCATCTTTTCATTTTGGAATTTTAATTACTCTTCTTACAGCGAAACAATCATACTAACTAACTCACTGATGATAATCACTTAAATGAGAACAGGGCATCTTAAATTCAATACCATAAGTACTCCCTCGTGGCTTTGGTCATGTTCTAAGACGGTTAGAGCATAATCACTTGTGTCTTATGGGATTTAGAGACCCTCGCATCAGATAAAAATTGCCCTCGTTAATTTGTATCTAATGCACGGCGGAACTCTTAATCCCATAGAACACACGTGATCATGCTCTAACCTTACTTATTCTTATTTATCTCGTCGTAATTCATGAATGATAAACTGTTTTAAAAAGATCTCTCAAGCGTTAAAAACTTATTACAATGAAATACTTATGTTCATCCATTCTTTCTTGTTATAGATATATAAAACTGGCACTATTATTTTATGATTGAAACCAACCTCCACGGAATTATCAAACAATGTGACTCACCCAAGACAGCTGGTGCCCACAATAATAAAATATTCTTTTGTACTTACCTATGCTGCATAACTTGCAATCATAGTTAGCGGGTGTGTCAAGTTATTTCTCGTTTATTATTTTATTTGAAGATTTATATTCTACACCATAAGCGCACCATTCCCTGAATGAAAATTGCACAGTGCAGTTGTTCAAATACGTATTCTCACCAGCTTTTAGAATAAGGTAAAACAAACGCACTATTTGAACAATTTTGCAAAATTCTTCGATGAAGGTATTCATATGTTTTACTCAGTAATCAGAATGGCGAAACGTCGCAAATAATCATCATAAGAGTTACGTTTCAGACTTTGACAAACGTGCGTGTTTTTTTAACTGAAAATTCCTTTTGACGTTTCCAAATAACAAAAGGTAAATCATAAAAAACCCGATAAAGGGGAGGGCTATGCCTTCCTTTGTTACACTTTTTAACGTGAAACTTTAAAGAGTCATAGGTGGTGCCAATAAAAAATTACAAAATACGTATGGGTGGTTAACTTTCGAAAACTTACCAACTTTCTTCTGGAATTTTGGCCATGAAGATCGCAAGTTTTTCAAACAAATCTAACGCATTTGGAACAACATCTTCCAAATTTTCTCGTGCTCGTTCATTTACACCTTTCGGCTAAACGCAAAATTGATAACGCTTCTTCTTATTTATCGATCAATGTTTCCAGTTTGGTAAGAACTGATCTTTGGAAGCCTATAAGATAGACGAGAAAATTATACAATAATTTATTTGTAACCTGCGTAATATCTAAAAAATACAAAACCACACACAGTATGCTAACAAAACGCTATTCAAAACCTATATACTGTAAAAGATACCATTAATGTTTGGTTGAGATTGAAGTACAAATACAATTTGAATATAAAAACCACGAATCTATAATTTTATTTGAGAAAACTTTTTTTGATGTTTGCTTGACGAGATAAACAGACAAAAAAGAATAACTAGCAGCTTTAGCAGCAAAACGTGTAAAGTAACTTGGACTGTAAGACAATGACGTCCGACATGTCTCGTTTTTCTTCCTTTGAACAACATGTACAACAAAATACGCGGTAAAATAGATTAACCACATATCAATGCTTTACAAAAAGTCAACTTGGAAGATTAAAGAAAAGCCGTTGTTGGGGCGTGGTACGGATTGGAAACTTAATTTTTTTATGAATTTAAACTAGTAGTGTAATGAATACGAATAAATTTGATTTGGTATTGCAATAAATTTAAATTGACATTACAGTTTTGCAGCAATCCTATGGTGGCTGTATCTTTTGTCTATATGACATGTGTTTTATACTAAAGTGATTAATGATCTGCAGTTCGCATCGTATGTATGTAAAACAAAGTAAATTCAGACTGTGAGATAATGACATCCCACATGTCTCAATTTGCTTCCTTTGAACATAACACTTTTTATATTTACTTTGATGAAGCGCCATTGGCAATGAACTTTTAACAAGCAATTGGTATAGAAAAAAGAGATCCGTTTTCAAACTGTGAATTTGTTAATTTATGGAAAGTATTGATGGTTTTCATACGCGCCTTGCTGATGGACTCCTTACAAAATAATATCATTGGATTCTCATTGCTATTAGGCGACATGGTGGATGCCCTTTCTTTGTTGGCTATTCCCTTAAGACACACATAAAAACAAGGAATCGTTGTTGTCTGAATTATGATTAATATTGGTGTGATGAGACGAAGGCAAGGAAGATCAACTCCTCGCAGCTTTGACAGAAAAACGCATTAAGTAAATTTGGAAATTTGAGATGTATTGATGTCCGACATTTTTAGTTATGCTTCCTTTGCAACATAAGTCTTTTTACATTTAGGCAAAGTTACAATTCGTTCGTTGAAGTTTGGTGAAGAAGCGCCATTATCGATGAAGTTAAAAGCGATGTGGTAAGTTTATGTTATGTTTCTATATCTTTAGATAATTCTTGGCTCAATGTTTTTCTTCAATCGTATTTAGCTGATATAATCAACAACAACTCGATTTTCACGTTTGCCAACGTCAGGAATACGTCTACAAAGAGATATTGTGATGAAAGCTGCTGTTTCAGTTCATTGAAAGTTCCGTAGGTACTTTGCTCATTATAACTCATTTAATGGCGGAAAGCTAAGCTGTTATGAATAGCGCAACTTACATGATGCTTCAGAATAACGAGAAAGATATAAATTTTTGAACAGAAACTGAATGTGATCTTCAGAAAAGTGTAAAGATGTTTATTGATAGTCACAAAGATTTCATCATTAAATGCGGCTTTCATGGGTTAAGAACATAAATCTAAAACTGCTTGCTGTTCGCACACTTTTTTATTAAAAGATTATTGAGCCGTAAAAGGAAATATATGGTTTATTGATTGAGAAAGATCTGTAAGGAGACTAATAACTTGCGGTTTCTCTGGCATAAAAAGGAATGAAATACTACAATTTTACAAGTATAGTTTTTCACTGTCGGTTTTTTTATTGTTAAATATTTTGTCTAACGCGAAACGTTTTCCATCTACAACAAAATTCCCGGTAAAAGAGATTAACCACATATCAATGCTTTACAAAAAGTCAACTTGGAAGATTAAAGAAAAGCTGTTAAGGCGTGGCACGGATTGAAAACTAAAAATTTTTTTTTATGAATTTAAACTTGAGTAATGAATATGAATGAATTTGATTGGTTTTGCAATAAATTTAAATTGACGTTGCAGTTATGCAGCATCCCTATGGTGGCTCTTTCTTTTGTCTATATGACATGTGTTTTATGATAAAGTGATAAGTGTCGTCGTCTCGACAGTTCGCATCACATGTATACATGTATGTCAGGAATACGTTAGGTCAGGAAGAAGTATAGCTTATGACTTAGGTGGAGGCATTACAATATTTGTGATTTAGGGAATGGACTATAACTGTCAGGTGTTATGGTGTTGAGTTCAGGAACTATAGTCTTTGGTAGTCAATGTAATATAATATGAAAGAAATGCACGAGATTTCATGATAAATTAACTTTGCGGATGCATTGTTACTTTGCATATCTTTATTTCATGTTTTCTTGTATTGTAGCTCCAACATGGATGTAGTTGTGAAAGTCCCTTTGCCACCTGTGTCCTTCGCTTCAATTACTCTTACTAGTTTTTCATTACGAATGTGTCATGGTGATTCATGGCCAAGATTGTTTATGTGTATTTTGATTCATTCTTGATGTCAGTTGTTTGTTCATATAATGATGATGGGCCCCATTGTTATATGGAATATCAACTGATAATCAAAGATGATCAACTCTGCACTAAACAATCTTTAAGTGATGATATAACTGGGGTATTGAAGTCCCTTTTCCTTTCCTCGAAGCTGTTTCTATAAAAGTGACGATATAGACTACTATTTCCACTCATTTGTTCTGATCTTGAAAGAATATGGAAAATAAGCTACAAAAGAAGATGGAAAATGTTTGGTTATAGAGCGGCATCAACAATACAAAAGGTTTTGTGATAAATGATTATATGCTACTTGATTTACCTCTATTGTTCTTGTGAAAATCTCAATGGTTTTTATTGATGGTACTGATTTTGGTTTGTTTATTGTATGGCTGGCACATTTATTCAGGTCATTGCGTAGAGGTACAGTTTTCTCAGATTATGCTGTAGACCTGCAATAAATGAGAGCTGTATAGTTTTTTCGGTTGAGTTTCTGAGCCTTATAGTTATTTTTACTAGTTGAGAAATTTAGTTAGGGCAAACAGAATGCCCAAACCATCTCCTTAGCTTAAGGTTTACTTATTGTCTTTGTGAAAGGTGTTGTGATGTCAATTAAAGAAATGTTAACAATTGCAAAAGAGTCACTTTAACGTTGTAAAAAGAAAGGTAAATTTTGTGTTTTTATCGTTTTTACCTGTTATTATTAAAGCTTTTACTGTAAAATGCTTTAACTACAAATTTAATCCTTTGATCCTTTGAATGTTCTTGTTCGATTGTTTAGTTTTTAAACTCAACTGACCTATTCTTGATATATATGTTTTATATGTTGTTATATTGTAAATTAATTTTGCGGATGCATTGTTACTATGCATATCATTACTTCATGTTTTCTTGTATTGTAGAAGATCCAACATGGATGTAGTTGTGAAAGTCCCTTTGCCACCTGTGTCCTTCGCTTCAATTACTCTTACTAGTTTTTCATTACGAATGTGTCATGGTGATTCATGGCCAAGATTGTTTATGTGTATTTTGATTCATTCTTGATGTCAGTTGTTTGTTATAATGATGATGGGCCCCATTGTTATATGGAATATCAACTGATAATCAAAGATGATCAACTCTGCACTAAACAATCTTTAAGTGATGATATAACTGGGGTATTGAAGTCCCTTTTCCTTTCCTCGAAGTTGTGTTTCTATAAAAGTTACGATATAGACTACTATTTCCACTCATTTGTTCTGATCTTGAAAGAATATGGAAAAAGTTTGGTTATAGAGCGGCATCAACAATACAAAAGGTTTTGTGATAAATGATTATATGCTACTTGATTTACCGCTATTGTTCTTGTGAAAATCTCAATGGTTTTTATTGATGGTACTGATTTTGTTGATATTGTTTTCTATTTTCTTATAAATAGACTTAAGTTTATCAAAAATTTTCAAGTTACTCAACTAGTCGAGAATAACTTTGCAAAATGTTGGCAGAATGTTGCAAAGTATTAAAAAAATTAGTTTATATAAAACAACAGTGTTATAATATCGGTGGGTGTTATAACACTGTGTAGTAGATAAAAGATAGATAGCGGTTAAAGTTATGAAATTCTACTTAATGCGAGTGGCAACATTATGTTGTACAAGTGTGTACATAAAACAGCGGCATGCAACAAAATTTCCAATTATTTCACGTTTGTTATTTTTGTTCATAGTTATGTAAAAAAAAAATATATTAATGGAATAATCTCCGATATTAATGCACATAATCTACGATAGCAGTTTTCAATGAGGAATTTTTGCTCAAATTATACAGTTTGGATGAACACACGAAAAATGATATCTTCCCTGATGCCAAAGATGATGACAAAAACAGGTGATGGTCTTTATAAAATGGAAAAGTTGAGTATTTCTTCCCTTTCTCATTTTTTCCCTTTCCCCTTTTTTTCTTGTTTACTAACTTTATTTAAGTGTTTAGGAAGAGGAGATAGACAGAACAGATCATGGTTGTCTGGATAAACACAGAAACACAAGTTGATTTCCCCCATTTTAATCTCCATTTGCAAAACTGACTGTTTTTCAGTTTTTTAGGTACAAGGAATACAACACAAAATGGTGATTGTTTGTAAAAAACAGAAAAGTTGAGTATTTCTTCCCTTTCTCATTTTTTCCCTTTCCCCTTTTTTTCTTGTTTACTAACTTTATATAAGTGTTTAGGAAGAGGAGATATAGACAGAACAGATCATGGTTGTCTGGATGAACACAGAAACACAAGTTTGATTTCCCCCATTTTAATCTCCATTTGCAAAACTGACTGTTTTTCAGTTTTTTAGGTACAAGGAATACGACACAAAATGGTGATTGTTTGTAGAAAACAGAAAAGTTGAGTATTTCTTCCCTTTGTCATTTTTTCCCTTTCCCCCTTTTTTCTTGTTTACTAACTTTATTTAAGTGTTTAGGAAGACGAGATAGACAGAACAGATCATGGTTGTCTGGATGAACACAGAAACACAAGTTTGATTTCCCCCATTTTAATCTCCATTTGCAAAACTGACTGTTTTTCAGTTTTTTAGATACAAGGAATACGACACAAAATGGTGATTGTTTGTAGAAAACAGAAAAGTTGAGTATTTCTTCCCTTTGTCATTTTTTCCCTTTCCCCTTTTTTCTTGTTTACTAACTTTATTTAAGTGTTTAGGAAGAGGAGATAGACAGAACAGATCATGGTTGTCTGGATGAACACAGAAACACAAGTTTGATTTCCCCCATTTTAATCTCCATTTGCAAAACTGACTGTTTTTCAGTTTTTTAGATACAAGGAATACGACACAAAATGGTGATTGTTTGTAGAAAACAGAAAAGTTGAGTATTTCTTCCCTTTGTCAATTTTTCCCTTTCCCCCTTTTTTCTTGTTTACTAACTTTATTTAAGTGTTTAGGAAGAGGAGATAGACAGAACAGATCATGGTTGTCTGGATGAACACAGAAACACAAGTTTGATTTCCCCCATTTTAATCTCCATTTGCAAAACTGACTGTTTTTCAGTTTTTTAGATACAAGGAATACGACACAAAATGGTGATTGTTTGTAGAAAACAGAAAAGTTGAGTATTTCTTCCCTTTGTCATTTTTTCCCTTTCCCCCTTTTTTTTGTTTACTAACTTTATTTAAGTGTTTAGGAAGAGGAGATATAGACAGAACAGATCATGGTTGTCTGGATGAACACAGAAACACAAGTTGATTTCCCCCATTTTAATCTCCATTTGCAAAACTGACTGTTTTTCAGTTTTTTAGATACAAGGAATACGACACAAAATGGTGATTGTTTGTAAAAAACAGAAAAGTTGAGTATTTCTTCCTTTCTCATTTTTTCCCTTTCCCCTTTTTTCTTGTTTACTAACTTTATTTAAGTGTTTAGGAAGAGGAGATAGACAGAACAGATCATGGTTGTCTGGATGAACACAGAAACACAAGTTTGATTTCCCCCATTTTAATCTCCATTTGCAAAACTGACTGTTTTTCAGTTTTTTAGATACAAGGAATACGACACAAAATGGTGATTGTTTGTAAAAAACAGAAAAGTTGAGTATTTCTTCCCTTTCTCATTTTTTCCCTTTCCCCTTTTTTTCTTGTTTACTAACTTTATTTAAGTGTTTAGGAAGAGGAGATAGACAGAACAGATCATGGTTGTCTGGATGAACACAGAAACACAAGTTTGATTTCCCCCATTTTAATCTCCATTTGCAAAACTGACTGTTTTTCAGTTTTTTAGATACAAGGAATACGACACAAAATGGTGATTGTTTGTAAAAAACAGAAAAGTTGAGTATTTCTTCCCTTTCTCATTTTTTCCCTTTCCCCTTTTTTTCTTGTTTACTAACTTTATTTAAGTGTTTAGGAACAGGAGACCGACAGAAGTGATCAACTTGATTTTCACGTTTGCCAGCGTCAGGAATACGTCTACAAAGAGATATTGTGATGAAAGCTGCTGTTTCAGTTCATTGAAAGTTCCGTAGGTACTTTGCTCATTATAACTCATTTAATGGCGGAAAGCTAAGCTGTTATGAATAGCGCAGCTTACATGATGCTTCAGAATAACGAGAAAGATATAAATTTTTGAACAGAAACTGAATTTGATCTTCGAAAATTGTAAAGATGTTTATTGATAGTCACAAAGATTTCATCATTAAATGCGGCTTTCATGGGTTAAGAACATAAATCTAATATTGCTTGCTGTTCGCACACTTTTTTATTAAAAGATTATTGAGCCGTAAAAGGAAATATATGATGGTTTATTGATTCAGAAAGATCTGTAAGGAGACTAATAACTTTCGGTTTCTCTGGCATAAAAAGGAATGTAATACTACAATTTTACAAGTATAGTTTTTCACTGTCGGTTTTTTTATTGTTAAATATTTTGTGTAACGCGAAACGTTTTCCATCTACAACAAAATACCCGGTAAAAGAGATTAACCACATATCAATGCTTTACAAAAAGTCAACTTGGAAGATTAAAGAAAAGCTGTTAAGGCGTGGCACGGATTGAAAACTAAAAATTTTTTTTTATGAATTTAAACTTGAGTAATGAATATGAATGAATTTGATTGGTTTTGCAATAAATTTAAATTGACGTTGCAGTTTTTCAGCATCCCTATGGTGGCTCTTTTTGTCTATATGACATGTGTTTTATGATAAAGTGATAAGTGTCGTCATCTCGACAGTTCGCATCACATGTATGTAGGAATACATGTATGTCAGGAATACGTTAGGTCAGGAAGAAGTATAGTTTATGACTTAGGTGGAGGCATTACAATATTTGTGATTTAGGGAATGGACTATAACTGTCAGGTGTTATGGTATTGAGTTCAGGAACTATAGTCTTTGGTAGTCAATGTAATATAATATGAAAGAAATGCACGAGATTTCATGATAAATTAATTTTGCGGATGCATTGTTACTATGCATATCATTACTTCATGTTTTCTTGTATTGTAGAAGATGCAACATGGATGTAGTTGTGAAAGTCCCTTTGCCACCTGTGTCCTTCGCTTCAATGACTCTTACTAGTTTTTCATTACGAATGTGTCATGGTGATTCATGGCCAAGATTGTTTATGTGTATTTTGATTCTTTCTTGATGTCAGTTGTTTGTTCATTTAATGATGATGGGCCCCATTGTTATATGGAATATCAACTGATAATCAAAGATGATCAACTCTGCACTAAACAATCTTTAAGTGATGATATAACTGGGGTATTGAAGTCCCTTTTCCTTTCCTCGAAGTTGTGTTTCTATAAAAGTGACGATATAGACTACTATTTCCACTCATTTGTTCTGATCTTGAAAGAATATGGAAAATAAGCTACAAAAGAAGATGGAAAATGTTTGGTTATAGAGCGGCATCAACAATACAAAAGGTTTTGTGATAAATGATTATATGCTACTTGATTTACCTCTATTGTTCTTGTGAAAATCTCAATGGTTTTTATTGATGGTACTGATTTTTGGTTTGTTTATTGTATGGCTGGCACATTTATTCAGGTCATTGCGTAGAGGTACAGTTTTCTCAGATTGTGCTGTAGACCTGCAATAAATGAGAGCTGTATAGTTTTTTCGGTTGAGTTTCTGAGCCTTATAGTTATTTTTTACTAGTTGAGAAATTTAGTTAGGGCAAACAGAATGCCCAAACCATCTCCTTAGCTTAAGGTTTACTTATTGTCTTTGTGAAAGGTGTTGTGATGTCAATTAAAGAAATGTTAACAATTGCAAAAGAGTCACTTTAACGTTGTAAAAAGAAAGGTAAATTTTGTGTTTTTATCGTTTTTACCTGTTATTATTAAAGCTTTTACTGTAAAATGCTTTAACTACAAATTTAATCCTTTGATCCTTTGAATGTTCTTGTTCGATTGTTTAGTTTTTAAACTCAACTGACCTATTCTTGATATATATGTTTTATATGTTGTTATATTGTAAATTAATTTTGCGGATGCATTGTTACTATGCATATCATTATTTCATGTTTTCTTGTATTGTAGAAGATGCAACATGGATGTAGTTGTGAAAGTCCCTTTGCCACCTGTGTCCGCTTCAATTACTCTCACTAGTTTTTCATTACGAATGTGTCATGGTGATTCATGGCCAAGATTGTTTATGTGTATTTTGATTCATTCTTGATGTCAGTTGTTTGTTCATATAATGATGATGGGCCCCATTGTTATATGGAATATCAACTGATAATCAAAGATGATCAACTCTGCACTAAACAATCTTTAAGTGATCATATAACTGGGGTATTGAAGTCCCTTTTCCTTTCCTCGAAGTTGTTTCTATAAAATATCTACTTTCAACTTCATATCAACTTCAACTTCACTCATATCATGCTAAAAGTATATGGATATTAGATATTGTGTATGATTGCTTGTTGTGAAATTATTAAATTTTTGTTGAATAATTATTTTAACAGCTAATTGATTCATTATTTGTATTATTAATTATATTATCAATTATGTTATTAATTATATTATTTCTTTGAAAGTTTTGTAATGAATGTAATTAGTTTTGATTATTCCGACACAAGTAACATTGTATTGCTTCTTTCATCTTCATATTATGTACTTATGTTTACTATGTACTGTGTCTGTGTTTTTCTACATAATTTAAATATAGATGAACATTTATTAAGATTGTAAATTGTGTCATGTGTATAAATAGTTTTAATTAAGATAATAGTTATAATACTGCTGTAATCATCACAATAAATGAATAGATTCTAGTTTGGACAAATAATACTTGCTGGAAAAGAATGGTCAAATATCAAAATAAAAACTAATGTAATATGAATAAATTATGTTACTGAATTATATTTCAAATTTGATGCAGACTGACCTATAAAATCAACTGGAGCGGTGATTCAGGGGGGGTTAACAAAGTATGTTACACGACGAGATTGAAGCTGTGTTGTTTGAATACATGGTAGTAGTAGGTAGTATGGATACATAGCCATCATGTTGTTTGTGATCTACAAAAGTTTTAACACTTTATGTCATTTTATTACATGACAGAAGATCAAATTGAAAAGCATATCCTTATCAATTTAGTAGGGCTACTTTTGAGCTTAAATTATGCTGACCTTAAGAGAAATTTGGAATATTTGGAGTTAGGTAGGTCGGAAGTCAGCAAGAGAAGTAAGTGTGTTTTGTTTGTTGTATTTATAGCAAAAGGCCATTATTTTTTGTGAAGACAATTAGTTGATTTGTCTGTTGTGTTTTCTCAAGAATTTTACTTTTTCTTAAATGTTTTCAATTACACTTCATTGTTTAGATATATTTTTATTTAGACAATCTAAAAAGGAGTAAGTTTAACCTAATTTTTAATCCGATTTTCGATTCAAATCGGAAAATTTTGAAATTTCGTGTTGTTGACTTGCGACGTATAATTGATAGATGGCATTGTGCACCCATCACTTATGCCTTTCACCAGGCAGAAATATTAAAGTAATGACTGAATGACAGAAATCAGTTGATGTGAGATAAGGTGCTCTCTTGTGATATTGATTGTTGAAATTGATTGATAATGAATAGTAGCCGAATCTCTGTAGAGATATAAAATGAACTACAAAAGTGTGTAGCAGATAGAACAACTTTCATATATGTTATCAAGCGCGGAGAACTATGTACTATGTTGTTATTGGGCATTACACATAATGGTAAATGTCTTAAAAAAAAATCTTTTAAAGTGAGTAATAATATACGTTTGCTGTTTCCGGTTGAACAATAGAAAATTATCACAAATAACTGAAAATTTACTATGGAATTTTTTGAGATTGGTTTACTTTTGTTTTATTATTTCGAGTCTTAATTTCTTGACCTACATGCAGTAATGTAATTTTTATTCACCGAGAATTATACCCACACAATTACATATTAAACGAAGGAATACAATTTCTGCATGTGTCGAATACAATTTGGCTCGCGTTTCACTCACAACAAAGTCTGGAACGAGATAAAGCGAAGGGTAATAATTGCATTGAACGCCAGCAAAATTTGACGTTTGAAATCCACGATCAAATTTTGCATTTTGGTCTAATAAAATTGCTTATTGTATTCGTTCAACACATGCAAAATTCGACGTTTGAAACAGGCCTAAGTTACACCCACGAAAATGACAAGTTTGACAGCTGATGACAATCATTTATATTGGATATGCAATGCTTGGCTTGGTTAACGGTGCCTGTGCAAGTGGGCGGTCGTCGTAAGCGTTGTGTGATAATTAAATTAAAGAAGCAAGCAAACTCACCGCAATTTTCTTCAGGCGAGAAGGTTCGATGCTTTTTCATATGATCATGTGAGACGCAAAACATGACAGAAATCCATTGTTTAATTTACATTTTGATTGAAGAAAAATAGTCTCGGATTAGCAGCATGTTGTCGTCCAAGTAAAAACCACGAATCTTTAATTTTATGGAAAGCGTTGAGAAAACTTTTTTATGTTTGTTTATTTATGTATGTATGACAGGAAAGAATGAATACCAGCTTTTGCAGCAAAACGTGTACAGTTACTTGGACTGTGTGAGATAATGGCTTCCCACGTGTCTCATTTTGCTTACTTTGAACATAACATTTTTTATAATTAGTTTGATGAACTTCTAACAAGCAATTGGCAGAGAAGAAAGGGACCGTTTTCAAACTGTGAATTTGTTAATTTATGGAAAGTATTGGTGGTTTTCTTATGCGCCTTGCTGTCAAAATTATTATTATTGTTTGCCTGATGAGATGAAGACAAGGAAGAGCTTTGGCTGAAAAACGTGAAAGTAAATTTGGAATGTGATATATATTGACGTCGGACATTTCTCGTTTTGCTTGTTTTGCAAACATAACTCTATATTTATAGGCAATGTTACAATTCGTTCGTTGAAGTTTAGTGAAGAAGCCATTATCGATGAAGTTAAAAGCGATATGGTAAGTTTATGTCATGTTTCTATATCTTTAGATAATTCTTGGCTCGATGTTTTTAATCAATCGTATTTAGCAGACAGATATAATCAACAACAACTCGATTTTCACGTTTGCCAGAGTCAGGAATACTTTAAAAAGGTATTGTGATGAAAATCATCTCGTAAAATCTATTGTATTTAATTATTGGTGGAAGATTTTCTTCGACATTTCTACCAGGTGCTGTTTCAGTTCATTGAAAGTTCCGTTTATTTGAAATATTTGAAAGAAACCATTTGAAATATGGACAAGGAGAAATACTCTGAGGCGCCTTGCGCGTTTCGCATCAATGTTCATTCAATTGCTTCAAGGTAGTAAGAATAATCGCGATTATTTAAGCGTCAATAAACTGATTTATAGAGTAATAATATGTACATTAAAAGAAGAAATTCTCGTTGTAGTTTTGTCACAGCCACAAACGAAGAATGTTTACGAAGCTCAAAGCCACATGTTGTAAGTACTTTGTTCATTACTCATTTATTAGCGGAAAGCTAAGCTGTTATGAATAACGCAACTTAAATGATGCTTTATAATAACGAGAAAAATATAAATTTTTAACTGAAACTGAATGTGATCTTTAGAAAAGTGTAAAGATGTTTATAGATTTCATCATTGAATGCGGCTTTCATGGCTTAAAATATAATCTGAAACTGGTTTCAAACACATTCTTTTCTTTAAAAGATTGTTGAGCAGTAAAAGAAAATATATGGTTTACACTGATTGAGAAAGAAGATCTGTAAGGCTGCCAATAACATGCGGTTTCTCTCTGCATAAAAAGAAATGAACAACTACAATTTTACAAGTTTCGTTTTCACACACGGTTTTTTTATTGTGAAATATTCTGTCTAATTCGAAATGTTGTCCATCTACAAGAAAATTCTCGGTAAAAGAGACTAAACACACATCAATGCTTTACAAAAAGTCAACTTGCAAGGTTAAAGGAAAGCCGTTGTTGGGGCGTGGTACGGATTGAAAATTTTCAATTTTATATGATGAATTTAAACTTGTGCAATGAATATGAATGAATTTGATTGATGTTTTGCAATAAATTTAAATTGGACGTTGCACTTTTGCAGCAACCTTACGGTGGCTATTTCTTTTCTCTATATGACGTGTTTTCTAATAAAGTGATAAGTGTCGTCGTCGTCTGTACAATTCGCATTGTATGTTTGTAAAATAAAGTAAGTTTGGACTGTGATTTCAAAGTATACTGTGAATTTGATGATTTATGCAAAGTATTGGTGGTTTTCTTGTGACAATTATGATTGTTTGATTGTTTGTCTCATTTCTCGTTTTGCTTCCTTTGCAAAATAACTCTTTTTACATTTAGGCAATGTTACACTTCGTTCGTTGAAGTTTGGTGAAGAAGCCATTATCTTTAAAGTTGAAAGCGATGTGGTGGTAAGTTTATGTTATATAATCTTTAGATAATTCTTGGCTTGATGTTTTTCTTCAATCGTATTTAGCGGATATAATCAACAACAACTTGATTTTCACGTTTGCCAGAGTCAGGAATACTTTTAAAAAAGGTATTGTGATGAAAATCATCTCGTAAAAATCTATTATATTTAATTATTGTTGGAAGATTTTCTTCGACATTTCCGACATTTATTCAAAACCATTTGAAATATGCAACAATGGACAGATACTCAGCGGCCTCTGCTCCATCCTCAAAAAATACATTTATAGAGCAATATACATTAACAGAAGAAATTCTCGTTTTAGTTTTGACACCGCCATACATGAAGAATAATGTTTACGAAGCGCAAAGCCACATGATGTAAGTAGTTTGCTCATTATTACTTATTTATTAGCAGAAAGCCAAACCGTTATAAATTGCGCAACTTACACAATGCTTTATATTTACGAAAGAAATTTGTATTTTGAAACTGAAACTGAATGTGATCTTTTGAAAAGTGTAAAGATGTTTATAGATAGGCACAAAGATTTCATCATCAAACGCTGCTTTCATGACTTTAATTAAAACTAGTGTTTTCGGCACACATTCTTTTTAACCACACATCATTCCTTTACAAAAAAGTCAACTTGACAATTGAGGAAAAGCCGTTGTTCAATAAAGCGAAAAGTGTCGTTCGTCGTGTGTAAATGTCGCATTGTATGTATGAAATGTTAATTTTTACTGTTTTTGAACTATAAAGAGCAAAACGAAGGCTTTTAAGAATATGTTGTCTTGTAATAATGAAACATATCATTTAATACTAACTATTTCGCTTTTTAATTCCTGTTATTTTGATGATTGTTTTAGGTGACAAGCTGATGAAAAAAGCTTAAGTATCTGTTCAAGGATTATCGACGCTGGGAATAATTATTAAAATGTTTTTTCTCATTCCTTTTTTTGCTTTAGATGATCATCGTGTGGTACAAGGCCTGCTCCTTTTCCCTCCCTTTAGCTAGGTGCGCTGAGAGAAGGTCCCTGACAAAGGACGGGTTGCGTGTTCTTCGGAGCTCGCTTTAACGTAACGTGGTCATGTCGGACTAGAGCGCCCCATTAGGCTCCCGCAATGAAATTTTCTGATAAAGATACATTCTTAGATAATTAAGTCAAGCAGTTAAGTTAAGAAAAGTTCCTTTGTTTGTCTGAGGGAGCAAGATAAAAGGGTCTATGTTATTGTGTGTAGTTGGTGTCATTGTAAGGTTTAAGCTGGTGAGTTTACAAATGTTTGGATAAGGTTTGGACGAGGAACCACCTTAGCCTTGAAGGTCAATACGGGGACATGTATCTTTGCAAAGGCGTCAACAAATCCATTAAGCCCACTTCCATCTCAGCAACAATGGAAGAAACTTGCGTTGCTGAGGTAAGTTTGCTTGTTTGCAGTTCTGTATTAATTATCGTTAATTGTATGTTGTTTTTTTTTTTCAGCTCTGCTGGCTGGGTGGCGTCACCGCACATTGACCCAGCTACCCAATGACTTCCCTGAATTTTCATTATGTGAAAACTGAAAAAAAAGAATGATTGTGCATGCATGAAGGAATATTGGTACCAACCAAGTAAGGAGCATTACAACTTGTTACTACTTGTACCAAAATGGCAAAAAGATTTATTAACAATTGTGATTTTTCTGAACAATGGTGAAAGTGCATGTCAGCCAGCTTCTTTAACAGAAGGGGAGTTAAAAAGCTGTTCAAATTGCAACTAAGCATTGTGGGAATGCTTAGTTAACAATTTCTGATTTTGCCATATGTATTATTTTGTTTTTGCTTGTGAGTAAGTAACAAATTGTAATACTCAAGGTTAGGTAGGAAATTCTTCATTGACAAAGAAAAAATTCTCAACAATGTTAAAAAAATTTAATGTTAAAATTTTTTTTGATTACATATTTCGACAATGTTTCACTTCTGACCATATAATTCCAAAATGTTTCATTTTTTAACACATGTTTCGAAAGTATATCATAAAAACATAAAGGCATGCGGGGCCACGACGAGCGGGGAGGTGGTACTGTCACACGGACTATGGATATACCTCTCTCGATCCCGATCTTAGTTAGGTTACGGAATAGGCTCCTTATCGTGCAGGCCGAGAAGATAGAGAAGAATAAAAGGGAAGTTGTTATTTCTGTATTTCAATTATATGACTGTTTTGATTTCTTCCTAATTGTATTTTGTCTCTTTAAGCACTTTTTGTTTAAGCTCATGCAAAATGAAGAAGGTGATGGATTTCGTTTGTGTGTGGACTCCCATAAAAGAAAGAAGAACATGCTGCAATAAATGAAAGTAGTTGTAACGTCAAAAACTGGTTGGTTGTTGAAATTGTTGTTGTAATTTGTTTATATGAGTTTATTTACATTCATGAATAATATACTTGAGATGATATTTCTTTTTCTGTGCTTAATCATTTCAGATATGAAAGCAACTAAAGCTGTGATGCAAATCAATAGTGGAGCTAAATGACAATGAGGGGTAAATTACTCAGACAAAAGCGTACAAAGATTTCTTAGTTTGTTGTAATATTATGGAAAATTTCCAGAGAATTTATTTCAGTGATATTTTTTTCGTGTAGAAATTATTAGCAGCTTGTGTACTGTTTGAAGAAAGAATTATTTCATTTCAACATGTTTTTTAAAAACATTTCTAACTTTTGAAAAATTCCCAGGAATTTTTATAAATTGGTCCGAAAATATGTGTTTTATGACTGTAATGTTTGTTGAATTTTTGGTGATTTTCACCAAAAGTACGATAATCTGGAGTAATTTACCCCGCGTTGATGAATACGTTTGGACCATCTAAGCAATGGAGTTAAAGAAAAATATGTTGTGAACATCTCAGCAGTTGGACTAAATGACTATTTCAATGAAATGTTGATGTTATTGGGGAAGAAACTGGGCAAAGTCTTAAGAGATTATGGACTATAGATGAAAAACAGAATTGGTATGTTTTGTTATTGTCTCTTCAGATGTTTTTTTTTAAGTACGACAGTCGCTGCCATTGACGTTTTTCGCTTCTTGGTTATGTTTTTGATGCCCGTTTTTTTGAGAAAAGAAGAATTTCTTCCGAAGTGTTTTATGCGATTTTAAACCAAGAATTGAACTTCTGTTTAAGTTTCCCTCGCACAGGTTATTGAAGCGTTGTTGCGAATGGTTTTAATTCGCAGATATTGCTTTTGAGATGACTCATCGTCAAAGATTGTAAGCAGTGGAGTTCAATGTAATCAACATTGGTGCGCTACAAATGCAAAAGAAGTGTGTTAGAAAGAAGTAAAGTCAATGGACTCTGGCTGCAAATGGAGTAATTGTGAAAAAATTGCACGTTATGTCAGCAGATAATGGACAACAAACATGGTATGTTTTGTTATTGATATATGTATCAATATGCGATTTTTGCTGCTTCGTTATGTTTTCCATCTAAAATTTCGTTGCACTTTGTGCCTTACGATGCTTGTTTTTGATAACAATGCGGCTTCTGCGGAACTCTTCAAACCATGCAGCTTGCTTTTGTTGTGTCAATTATTGAAGCGTTGTGTTGTAAATGGTTGTAATTTGCAGATATTGCTTTTGAGATGACTCACCTTCAAAGATTATACATTCTCTTAGTAACATTCTTTTTTGCCATTATTTGAAAACCGACGGTGAGCAATTTGTTGTATATGTTACAACCCAATTTAAACATAAAAAATCTTCATTTTTTTTTTTACTTCATCAAAATGAAATATGTTTAATATATGTTTTTGTGTTTAAAAATCTATTGGAAACACATTCTATTTTCAGATGGCGATACAAGTGAAATTGAAGGGAAACGATGATAATAATGCTGTTAATGGTAATTGTTCAAGGAAAACCAGCCCAGAATGATGTTCAGTGAATATTGCTTATGGTAATATAGATATATAGTTAAGATTATAGTTTGGCTCCACTATAAGTATAATTGTCAATCTAAATAAAGTTGGAAGTTCCCCTTCCTTCTTACTTTATTTAGATGAAGTTTAAGTTAAATGCTTTGTCTGTCAAAATTGCCCCACACAATTTTGATAGATAAATGCAATAAAATAATATTGTAAATTGTCTTTTTGTCAATAGTTTAAAGTAATTATAATACTCCTGTAATGATCATAATGACCGGAATAAGTTTGAAGTAATATGAATAATTTAAATATTTACTGAATAATTTGTATAATTTGATGAATATGGTGACCTTAATATCTGCAGTATTAACTAAGTCAAGGGGGGCCGAAGACAGTACAGTGAAAGCGGCAAGCAAGGAAGGGGTTTGAACATTGAGCTCTATAAGACCTGGAGGGGCAAAGGGGCCTGGACCCCGTGGTCAAAAACATGGCGGTAATGGCGGATTTTGGTTGTCAAAACTTCCACTTTGAGAAAAATTTTTAACATTCGCTCCCTCCCGAATCCGGAACTCTATTACTGCTTATATCAATGACAACCAGCGAAAACAACCACGATACCGTAAGCATAAAATATTGAAAATAATGCTTCAGATTTTTGTGAAATAGACACACACATTTAAATGAGGTAAATCTACTGTAAAATAACGTATGTTTTGTCAAGTAATGCTTTAGCTATGTTAGAAATAAATATCAAACGGCATTCTTTACACTGTCAATGTGTCGTTAAGCTTTAATGCATAATCCCATGCGCAATACTTGTGTTTTTGACTATTTTTTAACAGCTTCGTGCAACTGTCTTTCTTGAATAGATGGGTAAATATTAGTTAAAATGTCCAAAAAGGAGTTAGAAAAAGTTAGCTTACCCCTACGACTTAAGTCGACTGGAAATATATTATAAGTAGGTATGTATTTTTTTTTGAGTTTTTTTTTGGTAGGATTGATTCTGGGTGTCTTATAAGGTATTATGATATTCTGATAAATCTACTGAGAACTTATGAAGAAAATATCTCGAACTAGGAGAGCAAAAGAACGAAATTCAGAAATTCTATAATCATGTTGCTGGTTCTGTTTTGAGCCAAGATATTAGTAACTGGATTGTCATTGACAACCATGGATCTACTACTGAACAGAACTACATTAATTTCCCATTGAAAATACGATTTCTTAAATTAAAGTGCATTGGTTTCTCTGATATAACACTTTTCTTATTGCTGCATGAAGGCTAACCTGTTTAAATAATTATAATGTAGGTGAAGATATTTAGCATGTTGTATAATTGTTATTATACAGACATTATTTATAATATTGTGGCCTTGTGTAATGTATGTCAAGAACTTATTAACTCTCAAAAATGCTAACCTTCTTGCACTACTTTTCTCTTGTGTCCTTACAAATTACAGTTAACTGTACTAATTTTTTCTAGGTTCAAACAACTTGACAAATTTTTGAATTTTACATTATGCCTTGGAATTTTTCTTTTTGTCTTTTGGTAAAAATATCAGTAAATGACTTAAAAATCAAGTTTATCTAAAATAGTATTTTGTACAAAATAACTATACATAATTGGAAAAGTCTCATGTTGAAGGCCGATGTGGCTTCTTTTACTAGATTGCTACTCTTATTCTTTTAAATGATATCGTAATTCTTCAAAGACATAAAAGTTCTTTGTCATCAATTTTGCTTCTTCCACATTCAACTTCATTGCAAACCAATGCATCTTATGTGAATTTTAATCACCTGGAATTGAAAAACATATGGACTTTGTCAGATGATGCAGTACTGTATTTAATGTTTCATGCATGTCATGATAAGCTTTGTTGAGCAAATATTTCAAGGTAGGAGCAAAATTTGGCACATTATTGAACAAAGTAGTTTTTATCTTGATTTTGATGTACTAACCTGTTTACTACACTGTGTAACAAACAATTCATTTACAGAAACACCAGATGGCATTCATAAAACTTTTAGCATAAAGCAAACCATTACACACCATCATCATGATTGTCCATAATCTGTCAAATTGTCCAGGCTAGCTGTTTAATACAGGTATTTTTTTATTGCGACATGTACCAAAGAGCTCATTAATTAATCTTGCACTGCATTTGATTTCAATACAGCTCTGTCCTTAATATTTGCTTCATATTTTCAGAAAAATATCATGAAAAATCCTCCATTTCAACTCAGTTGAAACAAGGAGTTTTAAGATATGCATATCTCGATAAGAACTGGTTGCTTTGCCTCGTCTAGCAAGCGATTAAGTAAAGAACAAATAAGAATGGATGAACATAACTTAAATTATAACTTAGGAGTAAAAACATTCACAAAATATATACAATCACACTTCAAGTATTGACTTAAAACAAAACACTGAACACTTTAAATGGTAAACAATCTTACGTTGCTTACCGGTATCATGAAATGTTTCCTTTCTGGCATTACTTCAGCATCCAAATCTACCAAACAAGTTTGCAACATGTTTTAAAGATAAAATTTCTAAAAGTTTTGTGTTTGGCATTGATATTTTATATAATCGCTATTGTGGTTGTCAAATCCGGGTGGGCGAAAAATTTCATTTTATGAGCCCGCGTCTCCGCTGACTTTGACAACCAAAATCCGCCATGTTTTTGACCACGCGGCCGCGCGCTGATAATTTATAGTAATTTTGTTGACGTTTCCCCTCCAGGTCTTATAGAACTCAATGGGTTTGAAGCATTAATAAACGTGGTAAGTCGGGGGGGAGGGATGAAATGGAAGTCAATTAAATAGATGGCGGCCATCTTGTTGTGTGACTACATTTGAAAATGGCTCGGTAGGTTTAATTTGAGGCTGAATTGCGTTGATGTTATGAAAAATTCGCAATATTACTTCAGTCGTGAAGTGTGAGGACGGATTAAAAAGTGTGCAGCAGAGAGTTATAAGCAGAAGTGAAACTTTATGATTTAAAATGACTACGACGAGAGGAGAAAAAGGTAACGCCATGTTTCACATTGTTTATTTATTCATTTCATTTGTTGAACTTTATGAAGACTAAATAATGTATAAGTAATATATTAATATTGAAATGATACTCGATTGAAATCAGGAGGGGAGGAAAACGTTTTGAAAGCTTGATGAGCCTGCAACTCTGGTGAATACAATGAAATGTGGCGCCGCAAATCACTACCGTGAAACCAACACAACATTCAACTAAAATTTATCATTCAAAATGATAAATTGAAAAATCGTCTTTAAAACACATTTTCCATCAAATACAACAGTAAAAAACAATTCTTAACTGTTTATTATTATTTTACTGTCCTTAACCATCACAAAAAATGTATAAAAGTCAAGAAATTGAAGAAAACACTAAGATTTATATTACAGTGTGCTTTCTATAATTTAAAAACTACACGGTAGAATTTTTTTAAACTTGGCCAGAATATAGATAATTATGTTGTCTAAAATATATCCAAAATCTGGAGAGTGCACAAAAAAATAAGTTGTAGAAAATCATCTACAAAGTCGGATGACACAAAATACGCGTAATACAATATTATATAATTAACTTCCTATATACAATATTAACTTCCTTTGCAAACAAAGGCCTGTAAATAAAAAAGTACACGGTAGAATTTTTTTAAACTTGGTTTGCCATATTATACATATTCTTATTGCCTAAAATATATGCAAAATCTGGAGAGTGCACAAAATATAAAAGGAATAATACTCCTTGAGAATGTACTCTGGTATAAACTGTGAAGTTGGCACCACATTCGACAAATAGCTCTATAGCTAATAATTATATAAGATCATATTACGCGTATTCGTGTCATCCGACTTAGTAGATGATTTTCTAAAACATTCTTTTTTGTGCACTCTCCAGATTTTCGATATATTTTAGACAACATAATTATATATATTGTGGCCATGTTCAAAAAAATTCTACCGTGTAGTTTTTAAATTATAGGCTAATTAAGAGAAATGGAAACTACACTGTAATATAAATCTTAGTGTTTTCTTCAATTTCTTGACATACATTTTTTGATGGTTAGGACTGTAAATAGTAATAAACAGTTAAAATTTTACTGTTGTATTGATGGAAAAAATTTTTAAAGACGATTTTT